ACGTCTGGAGATGAGTTGTCCGACGTTGTAGCTCCTTCGCTGCCAGCTGAAGAAGGAATTGCGCTCGTGAAACGTCGCTCTTTGCTGCCAGCTGAAGAATGTGAGCCAGTTAAACATTGACGTGCTTCAAAGAGGATCCAGAGAGGTTGTGTGTGTCCCTAACTTAGAACACTAGCACGTCAGGGGCCGTGTCAAGGCTCGTCAGTGCCGTGTCACATGCGCGTCGCGACCTGCGGCAAGGCCACATCAAAATAGCTACGCCTTCACATGAGTCGACGTGGCAACGAGGTCAAACTGACTCAAACACTACTTCATGCTCCTGGATGCTGCACCTCATGGAATTCCAGACTGAGGCATTTTTGGCACATCTGTTTTGTTCGAGTTTTCAAGGGAGTTCGGGTTGTCTCTGTTGGTTTTGCATAACAAAATCGCATTGTTGACTTCCTTCGCAGCGTGTGTCACGGTATAGCAGGTGTATCACATCCCCTATTGGAATATAACTTGATGCATAACTATGTGCTGCTTTGCCTGTCCTGATGCATCGAAATGACATTATAGCTTGTTTAAATTAAACATGTTGATGTTCGAGTTTATCTGAATCACCTTGTCTCTCAATTGGACGGGTAAGTGAATTACAATAATCTCAGGAACTGGCACTAACTCAGGTATATATCGGGCACTTAGCTCAAAAAGCTGTGAACTAACATAGCTATTGGACCAAGTTGCCGAGCGGGGCTATATTCTTTGTTCTCGGGATAAGAGGGGCCTGCAGAGAACATCGGGAGATAGAGCTAGGTAGAACGACCCGATTTCAACATCCTCTGGTTCGCTTGATTTATCTCAGCATTTGACAACCGGTCCAAGACTGTCCAAGAGCGTTTCAGTGTCAACGACTTCCCGTAAATTCCTTTCATTCCAGATTATTATAATGATCCGGGCTCAAATATTTTTCATTGGGACCGTACAGTTTGGCTTCAAAGTCAAACTTCCAGTCTCCTGCCCAGATTCCACCGCAGTTTTCAACCCCAACGTCATTATCCTGTCTTTCGACTGAGGGCAACCGGTTATCACCGACACTGCCCCACCTTGAACACCGTCGCCATCCTTATCCACCGACTCACCATATTGTCTGATCTGTGATGACGAGACCGTCACTTGAAGCCAAAATTCGAGGGTGGGTGACAAATTCAACATCTGACATGTCACTGATCTTCTTAGATGTATCCCCTATCGGTAGTTCTGACACTGGGCACTTGAACGACATGTGCAACTTCAGAACTTAAAATCTCCGTGCGAGCGGGTAGCCACCACGATGTTATGTATATTGTGTTGGTCTGTTGCGTTGTCGGAGCACTATAGGGCAAGGAAACATCTCACACTGAACACAAGAGCCAAGAGCAGGTGAATTTCACCTGTGAACCTATCAGACGTCATTCACGCTGGAGTCACAAGTTCGCTCTCATCAAGTGCAGATCACTAGCCACGTATATGGACCACAATAAGTAGTCGGGCTCTGGCTCTGTCACAAATCTTGCAGCAATCTAAACAGCATTCAATCCTATCGACTCGGGCCACGTATGCATTGAAAGCTAACTTGGAGTGAATATCACTTAACGGTTTCGTTTCAATTCTGCCAGTATGTCCAAGATACCCTCTTCTGTGGAGTATAAAATAGACAGTACCAACAACCAAGTTGCCAGCAACCTCTCAAAAAGTGGAATCAGCTCATCATCATGTTTATCTGCCTCTCTACTGCTTTCGTCATGCTCCTCGGCCTGACGGCCCTTGTCAGCGCTGATGTGCCTGTAAACCTCTCTTCGCGTCAAATCTTATCATATTGTCAAACGAAGTTCGCAGGTCCCCGGCAAGCGTGACAATGTTGCGAGGGTGGCCCAAGTAAGCCTTGTTTCGCACCGGATGTTTCAAACTCACCGCGTCATATATGCAGCCCGGACCTGACCTAAGCATGCCAGGAACCCGAGTGAGCCTTGTTTCGCAATGAACGTTTTAAACTCACCATGTGATGTATGCAGTCTGAACCTACTTCGAAGTAACAGGGCACGCGCAAGTCTTGCTGTACGGCCCAGGTGGTTAGTAAGACTTCTTTCGTATCAAATCTCATCGTGTTGACTGACAGCATATTGTACACAGGGCAACTACTATGCGGAATAGAGCCTGTATGCAGAACCAGTCACAAGGGATCTCAAGTAGAGTAGTGCTCACAAGGATACAAGACGAATTGGAATGCTAGGTGTATTATGTCAGAGTCTACGCGTCCATCGAACTTGTATGAAGCTCCGAAGTCCAACAGGCCCCAGGAACGAGTACTTGCATGTATAAAAAAACAAATGCTCAAATTTCTCAAATGCTGTAGACATGACTCACTGAGTATAAGTAGAGTGAAACTCACCCTGTCCATCCGAATCGTGTTAATCTGCATGTACTCATAGTATACAAGCCGTTGTCCCGAGCCTGAATTTATAGTTGTCCGACTGAATGATATGCTGAAAAGCGCATTGGGTTGTCGTGAGTGAGGACGCGGAGACACTGTATATTTACAGACGATGCTAATAAATTAATTAAGAGCTCAGGCCGCAGAAAAGCGTTTTTTTTTGAATCCCCCAGTGCCGTGCACCCAATCATTCGTACCGACGAACCCTCAAAGGCACTCCAATACTGTCCTCTCCAACAACCCTTGGGCGAGGCAAAAGTCCCCTCGCAATCTCGACCTCAGTATCCGGTCCATCCCGCATCTCAAACACAAAGTTCTTCACCAGAACCGACAATACCACCTGTATCGCAGCGAGTGAGTAACGTCCAAACTGGCTGATTCATCTCAATCACCTTGAATTCCGCGATCGCAAAATCCTTTCCGAGACACGTCCTCGGGCCGTCGACAAATGTGAGCAGGTGCCTATGACCTTGGACTTCCTTGGCCTTCCCGCTGATGCCGTCTTCAGTCAGCCAACGATCGGGCTTGAATTCCTTTGCGTCAGGTCCCCAGATGGCCAAAGAGCGATTGATTGCCCTCATTGAGATCACTATCAGTGACCCCTTCGCTATAGATATACTGTCCGTCATTTTCCCGGACTTCGTGCACACAGGTTCGCTCAAGGGAATAACGTCATCTTCGCGTGCCTGTAGATTTACTGTCAGGGTTTCTATTCACATGTAGGTGCGCGTACTCACACGACGAGTGAACTCGGGTACCGCAGGATGGAGTCGTAGAATTTCATGGACAACCGCATCCAAGTATGGAAGGTTGGCCTTTAATTGGTCGTATGTCGGATCAGGACCAAATGCAAGTAGTTCCTCTCTGAGGCGGGTTTGGACATCGGGGTGTCGCGATAGCTCGATCAGCGCCCACTGATCACCACGTAAATAGCGTGTACAGACGTTATTAGACAGTAGACCTACTGTAAGACTAACTGGCAGCGAAGGATCAGCTAATATGATGGAAGCGGACAAAAAATCTACTCACTTGACGTCGTTTCGTAACCCGCGACAAGCAAGACCCTCATCTGTGGATATCAGTTTGCAAGTCATGGTTATGATACATAGTCTGCACGGACCTGAGCCATTACTTCCTCCTCGGACATATGAAGCTCAGCTTCCTGACCTTCAGCTTTGACTGTGATCGTTGCGTCAATCAAGGGACTATGATGAATCTCTTGGAGAGCGTACTCAGCAGTCCAATGATAGATTTTTCTTCTTCGGCCTCTTTCATATTCACATCCTTCTCCCGGCGACTGCGAAGTAACAAGTCATTGCATATTTCACCCATAGTTACGTTAAGTTTCGTCCTCAGCTTCGCCCGCTTGGTGGGTATCTTGACAAGGATAGGAAATGCCGACGCGAGCAGGAATAAAAAATCGTTCAGTGCTGAGACCTGTGGGTTCTTTCCGAAAGTATCGAAGACTTCCGTAACGCTAGCATGTTTTCCATCGAGTGAGCCAAAATCATGAGAGAAACCAGCGATGCCAATCGTATCCAAACTGCTGTTGCGTTATTTTCGGGACTTGTATGGCAAATATCCATCCCTTACGAGATATGATTCATCCTTGGAGTCATTTTGATGAGGAGTGCAAGGTTTGTGTGCCAAAAGTTACGCACCAGTTTTGAACTTCAATGACAACATTCCCATCTTTGCTCGATTCTAGATCGGTGTCCCATGCACTCTTGACCTTACAGTTTCGAGATCAGATGTGTCGCATTTCATATATTACAAATACTTACCTTGTATACTGAATCATAAAACACTGATGTGAGTGTCCGAATAGCTGCGTTACTAAATGCCGGAGTAAGGGCCTTCCGCTGCCTAATTCACAGGTATTTGATCAGTCCCTGGCACGAGGACAAGATCTGGACACTACCTCCTGTGACTCTCACCCTGAGACCATAGTACCCCTCTGCCGACCTATCAAGAGATATCAGATAGACGATATCAGAGGAGGGCATCAACATACTAGGTTCTCTATCAACGCCAGAGAAAGGGGCGCCTGCACATAGGTCCAAGATTCTCGGGCATAAAAATGTGCGATGGCTCTTGGATCACTTAGCACGATTCTGGTTTTTCCGAGGACCGACGGAATCATGTACACTGCCCCATATTCCTGCGCCCAATGTTCATACATTGTAGCACTGTCTTTAGATGAGGCGAGGTCATTCGAGACACCATATATGAAGCTGGTACGAGGTGGGCCACGGAGTTGAGTCGTCCTCAATCGCCAGCGAAGTGCCCTTATCACTTTGACGAAAGTCCACAGTGCTGCAAATGAACAAGCGATATTGAATGCACCAACCGAACGCATGGTTGTCCAGAGGCTTGATGAAGAGCCAGGTATAGCAATAGTAAGCGAGGCCTTCATTGTAGCAATTAATTTGATACTCGATCTATTGGGAGGTTTATAACCACTTCTGCGGTGGCGGCATGACTATGAAGTCCACCGGCTTGCTGTAGGAATTAACACTGGCCTGTTGACTGTGCCATCATTGGCGTGACGTCATCGGCGTACCATCATCGGCGTTGTTCAGGTGCCGGGTGACAGTTTCCCAGCACAACTGAGCGTTAGTGCAGTTTTTCCCTCGTTTGACCTACCGTTGACGTCGAGACACACATCCTCCTTATCGTTCCTTGTACACCCCCCTTAATTTACTACGATTTTGTAGAACTTTCGTCGTCGTTAGCATAGAATATATGACATATGATTTTTGGCTATTTGCCTTGGTCACAGTCGAATTCGTAAGCAGGTTTCCCGCCCAGCGGCTCCACCTGCTTGCATCCTACTCTGAGTTAGCCCTCGTGTCACCGACTCTGGCAGAGCCAGACGAAGCTACCAGTGGAGTGATTCTGATTCTGCATAGAGGGTACCGTAGTACGTATTCAAAAACCAAAACTAAGTCAAGAGAAATATATGTGCCACGATATTTTGGAGGATGAAGCACACCATGCCAAAGAATTAGAAGAGCGGTATGGGACAATGCGTGAATTTGGCAAACGCACCCGTGAATACGACACAGATATCTGGACATACATATCATGTTCGATTGAATCAACACCAGTGTAAGTCGCTCGATATTATAATAACTAGGTATTTGAGTAGCCTTACCTGCGAACATTTTCAGAAATGTTTCTCATCGTGATTTTGCGGTACATACCTTGGATTTGGTTTGAAAGTGAAGACGATAGTTTGAAGTGGGCAAGAATACAGTGGGAGGTGAGTAGAATTCAACGTGGCTGCCGCGTTGATGATCTGGCTTGATGCCAGCCTGCAACTTAATGGCGTAAAAACAATAAGCATCACAAGATCACAAGACATTGCATGTAACCAGTGTAAAATGTACATGTGCCAATGGTGCTACTCCATATCATTGTCCTCAACGACCTTGAAGTATGAGTTGGGAACGTTGATGTCGAGTTACGAGTAGCTTCCAATTGGCGGTAAAATAGCGCTGAGGGGGGTAGAATACTATTCGAAGTCAAAAATAACAATGGTTCGAGGTTGTTGAACCGGCCCGTTCGAGACGGTTCGTGGCCTGGGCCCTGGTAGCCGAATCTACGTGGCGCGTCAGAAGTTTGTCGGCGTTCCGATGTACTTGTGAAATAAACAATTAGAGGTACAACTGATTTTAAACTTGAGCTTGAATATTGGTATCGTGGTTCGCGACTCGTGGCCCATCGATTTGAACGAATGAATCTGTTGTGAAGTACGATATGAGCGAGCAATCAGATGACATGGCTCATGCATGGTCGAGCTGAGCATCGGATATATCCGAGTGGCGAGGAATACAGACGGAATTCTCCGAATTGAGTTGATTGTGCGCGACTCACTCCTATTGTGTGAATCATCATAGCTGCTTAACTTGCATCACGCTATATTGCTCAGAACATAAGTAACATCACAATCAAGGATACCATTAGTGAAACATTCCTAGGCCTCGTCAGCACCTGCAATTATAAAAACCCCACTCAATTCTTATTTTATCCTGCCATTTTATTTTGTGGCTAGTAATAGTATAAGTTTGAATGCAAGTACGCTTCTTTGAGCTGCTACCACCGAAACAGACTCACTTGTGCCATCCAAAAGTTGACCAAAAACTGTAAAACGAACCTGAGAGAAGACAGCGGGTGAGACAAAGGCAAAGAGAGCTGGAAAAGGGAGTAGGCTAGCCGCTAGGTGAAATGACCTGAAGCTCGAGACTGCTGCATTATGTGATGCTGCTGTGAAGCCAGAGAGTAAGCATGGACTCAAAACTGGCTGCTGTCAAGTACATCACCTCGGATACAAATTTTGGTTGAACCAGGGCACGGTTTTTATGACAGTAAGTCATGCTTTATTAGATTGACTTGTGCTTACCTCAGTGCCGCTATTCAGCTTGCACATAAGACACTTGGGAACCATGTAACCTATGCCCAAGTCCGCAGTTTTTGATGGAATCAGGCTTGGGAGAAAGGCAAGGTGGTCATCACAAATATTAACCTTTAGGGGCACTCGACATATACAACTCGAATATAGGTAAACTGTACCCTCAGCAACAGAGATGTTGAACCCCAGCAGTCTTGAGGCCTGACTGTTCAAAGTCCTCACCTACTAAATGGCAGTTGCTGGTTGGTAGAAGACGGGGCGCCGTGGGCATCTGCCTTGGCTGATAAAAATCGAGTCACTAGCTATCGAGTCATGAACATGCCACAAGACTGCATGAGTCAGCCTGAGTCTGAAGAAAACACAACGCGGCAGCTGTGTTGAATTCTACTCACCTCCCACTGTATCCTTGCCCACGTCAAATCATCATCTTCACTTTCAAACCAAATTGAAGGTATGCACCGCAAAATCACGATGAGAAACATTTCTGAAAATGTCTGCGGGCAAGACTACTCAAATACCTAGTTATTATAATATCGAGCGACTTACACTGGTGTTGATTCAATCGAACATGATATGCATGTCAAGATACCTGCATCGCTTCATCCTCCAAAATATCGTACTGAATTTTTAATTTATCCATGTGTATAGCGCTCCGAGCTCGTCTCATATGCATGTTTCAAACAAGTCTGAATCCTGATTGGACGTTTGTTTCTCTTCCAATTTTCAGACTTGACCGAAACTCCGCTGATAATGTTTACATAGAAAGAAAATTACATGACTTCAAAAAGTCAATATCCATCAATATCAAGTTGATCATGATTGCTGATTCCCGAATCGTCCTGATGTTTTTGTCATTATCGTTGTGGCGACAATATATCTCACTCATAGTTATCAATATGGACCAACTTCCCGAACAGGGCCCAGGCACTGGCAGGCTGTTCTTTGTTTTCAGGATAAGAGGGGCATCCGATCGAGCGCTTTACATTCGTCACGATACTGTAAGCAATTTTGAGTGTCAGCGGTCTCATAAATTCGTTTGATTCCAGATTAATGACCCAAGCTAAAATATTTTTCGCTGAAGCCATGGCGGGACGTACAGCTTGCCTGCGAAGCCAAACTTAAAGTCGACTACCCAAATTCTACTGCAGTACTCAACCCCAACATTGCCGTCCAGTATTTAGCCTGAGGATAGCCAGTCATCACTGACACCCGTCTCGAAGCACCCTCGCCATCCCACCAACTATATTGTCTGATTTGTGATGACGAGACCATCGCTATAATCTGAAATTTGGGGGTGGGAGATAAACTTAATATCTGAAATGTCACCGATCTTCTTAGTACTGGCATCCCCAGATATCCTTTCCGGATCGGCAGTCCCTGACCCAAGCATTCTACAGATCAGAACTTCGTCACAGATGTACCTAGAATTTGTGCCTACACAAGTTTCTGCCACTCACTTGGTAATCCACGACAGCGACTTAGATGAAAAACCCGAATGCTTGCAGTGATCTGACGCGGCCTTGGGGCTTAAAGCCTAAAGCTAAAGTCTAATCAAAACGAACTCAAAGCATGCATATCAGCTGACTAAATGCAGATGTGGCATTGGGCACCCGATCGACGTGTGCAACGTGAGCGCTTAGAATCCCTGTGCAAGCAGGTGACTGCCACGAGTGATGGGACGATATGCATATTGTCACGTTGGTCCATTGTGTTGTCAGAATACAACAGGTCAAGGAAAAATTTCACGTTGTAAACCCAAGGTCTCCAAGAACAGGTGAATTTTACCTGTGAGCTTATCAGCAGCTACACGGGTCGCTCTTATCAAGTGCGAATCACCAGCCACCAATGTAGCAGGTGCACTCAGTAGGCGGGTGATATCAACCTCGCGATTTCATGGCAATAGACCACAGAATGAACATCAAAAAGCGAAAGCTGCACATACACAAGGCAACTCGTTGAGTGCTGGTGCACTGATACCACCCGTTAGAACGTACCGTTTTCTCCGAAATTTTTCATCCATTGCTAGGACAAGCAAGGGAACGGAGGTTCTCCACACTTTTATTACCCCTGTTGGGCCAGTCTTCTGGAAAGTGGGTCATAAATTCTCATAATAGGACAGTCAGAAACACGGTCATTGCCATGAGGCCCTCCTCCCCGCTAACTCAGGAAGGCAATAAGTATTCAGGTTCCGGCTCTATCGCCAATATTGCAGCGATCTAAACAACATTCGATTCCATCAACTCGGGCCACGTATGCATTGACAACCAACTCCTTTGAGCTAATACCACTGAACATGTCAGAGACACGACTTGATGCTCGGAGTTTTCTGTGGGGTATAAAACAGACAGCACCAATAATCAAGTTGCCAACAAGCTCTTTACAAGTGGAATCCACTCATCATCATGTTTATCCACCTCTCTACTTCTTTCGTTATGCTCCTCGGCCTGACGGCCCTTGTCAGCGCTGGAGTGCCAGTAAGCCTTTCCCCACGTCAAATCTTGTCAGATTGTCATGCGGCGTCCGCAGCTTCCTCGTGAAAACGGTGACAATGTCGGGACAGTAAGCCTAGCTTCGCATCAGATCTCACCTTGTTGATCTCACCATGGGATGAATGCAGTCCAAAACTGTTGAAGCCCACGTAAGCCTTGTTTCGCGCCCAACGTTTCCAACTCACCATGCGATGTGTCCAGGCCGAAACTTTCACGAAGCAACCTGATGCCCGTGTAAGCCTTGTTTAGTTTCGCGCCCAACGTTTCAGACTCACCATACGATGTGTTCAGGCCGAAACTTTCACCAAGCAACCCGATGCCCGTGTAAGCCTTGCTTTATGTCACGCCCAATGTTTCAAACTCACCATGCGATGTGTTCAGGCCGAAACTTTCACGAAGCAACCTGATGCCCATGTAAGCCTTGTTTCGTTTCGCGCCCAACATTTCAGACTCACCATACGGTGTTCAGGCCGAAACTTTCACCAAGCAACCGGACGCCCGCGTAAGCCTTGTTTTGTTGCGCGCTCAACGTCTCAAACTCATCATGTGATGTATGCAGGCTGAACCCACCCCATTTGCCCGCGTAAGCCTCGTTTTGTGTCACGCCCAACGTTTCCAACTCACCGTATGATGCATGCAGGCTGAAACTTTCACGAAGCAACCTGATGCCCACGTAAGCCTCGTTTTGTGTCGCGCCCGACTTTCCAACTCACTGTATGATGCATGCAGGCTGAAACTTTCACGAAGCAAGCTGATGCCCGCGTAAGCCTCGTTTTGTGTCGCGCCCGACTTTCAGACTCACCATGTGATGCATGCAGGCCGAACCTACCCAAAAGTAACAAGGACAGCGCGTTGTACGCGTGGACTCTTCGCCCCAATGGTTAGTAAGACTTCTTTCGTATCAGATCTCATCTTATTGACTCACGGCGCATTGTAAGAAGGGCAAATATTATGTGGGATCAAGCCTATATGTAGAACCAGTTACAAATAGAATATAAGTAGCGCTCCCAAGGATACAAAGCAAATTTACATGCCAGGCGTATCGTGGATTTTGTATTTGAGTCTGCGCTTCTATCGAACTTATGTGAATATATATATCAGTGCTGAAATGCTGCAGGTATGATTGCTCAGTATAAGTGGAATCGACGTGGAATGAAATTCGGCTGTTCATCCGAATCGTGGTGATCCACATGCACTCATGATTGTCCTTCGCAGAATAATTTTGATGGTCAACGGAACGCCTTGAAGTGCAAGCTTCGGTCCCGACAAAGCAAGGAGTACCAGACGCCGAATGTCAAACAGTGGGGACCTATGAGATATCCATCTTGAAGGCACTCGACGTGGTCAAAGTTGAGCAGCCGAATGGCATTGAGTCACATCGATGTCTCCACTCTGGCAGGGAGGACCGATAGCCATAAAGACAGCCTCTGGGAAATGTTGATCGCAACGCGAGTTGCGATGGTTGTCGAGACTTCAGAAAGCAGCCCGAAGAAAGCCATGACGAAATATATAGGATTACTGGCCGAGCCGCCATCATAACTACGTCTCTCGTAGCAATTCAGCCATTGCTTGCCCAGGACAGTACCAAAGGCAGCAAGAAGACTGAGCGCGGGGTTTGTGTATGCAATAGACTGTGTCCAGACTCCAGAAGTTGGAGGAAGAGTAGCCAGTTGAAGGCGACAGAATCGTTGGCTGGGCAACCGTGAGGGACCATACAGACAAGTTGGATCAAAATAACGTTGGTGATATCAACCGGATCCGCGTCGCAATGACCAACGCAGCCTTGAATGCGGAGAACAGACCAGCCTAGTTTCAGTTCCCGTCGAGATATAGTGTCGACAGAAAAATGCGCAAAATCTCACATACGTTATATCTATATTGTCATTGCACCTTTCTAACTTGTTGTCGTCAGACGCTTTTCTGTACGGAAAACAAGATTTAGAAACGGGTAGTTTTTCCTCGCCAATTGTGTAAATTGAAGTCCAGATCTGCAGAGGATATGGACAGTCTACTGGAGAAGACCGTCCATACTAGTACTTGAGCCAACGCGAATATTCTGCACGCAATTACGGCATTGAATAATTTGAATGAAGACTTACCCGAGGATCGAGATTCTAGAGAGGTTTGGTCAAAGTCAAAATCGATTGACTATATGCCTTGTGTTCGTTTAAGTGAGTAACGCCTTTCATCAAGTCCTACGATCTACAGGACTACAAAGGACTCCCAACGCGCCCGCACGGCCCTCCAAGCGCTCCAAACTGTCCTCATCCCAAGCTACTTTCTAGTCCGTGCGCTACATCAACTTGAACCTCGGCGAACATCCCTAAGATCATCGTTCCGGATCAAGAATTATAATGCCTTTGAGCATACTCCTGCAGGACGTACGCGATGGCCTCATCGATCCTTTATACGATCTTGAGGACCTGATGGATGAGGGTGTCTGTGCGCATGCCTGTTCCGTCAGTCTGAATGTCAATCAGAAGTGTCATCATTCAAGCTCTACTGACCTAACACTACTATCACATGTACCCTGCATGCAGGGCTGAAGATCACGATAGCACAAATGACCGATGCACATAATCACGACCAATCTCTAGTAGCAAAACAATACAGCATACATCATACATATTCAAAACCAAAACCAGCCGAATCCTTTCTAAGATACACCATCAACCACCCCCTACGGAGAATTCGCAAATAACCACATCACATCTCCCACATCCCCGGCATCCAATTTCCACTTCGCATCCGTCCCCTTCCCACTCGTCGACACCGTCTCCGCATTATCCAACTCATTCAACCTCCTCAGCAGCTTCTCGTCACCACCTACAGCGAACACAAACCCTGTCTCTCCTCCTCCTCCGTTCACGGGCACGTCTAGGTCGGGCACCGAGGAGGAACGCGGGGAGTGGGCGGGTCCGCCTGGGTGTAGGATCGCGCCTACAGCTGTGGAGCGAGAGATGTTGTTTGGGAGGACTAGGAAGGAATTTGAGCCTGGGATTATGCGGAGGCCGTAACGTTCGCCGAGGCTGGAGTAAGAGTTCATTAGTGAATATGATAATGAGGGTGAGGGTATGTGGAAGCGCACCTATCAAAGATATGATTCTGCGCTTCGGCAGCTTGACGCCTCGCCCACTGACGATCCGAACAATCATCCGTCGGACCAGTCCAGAAACGCCACACAACAGATGCCTCGCGCTCTTCTACAAATGAACCAGGTGTTCGCTCTGTGAACTACGCCCACAACAAAAGTATCACGTCAATCAGTAACACCCAAAACACCCCCAAAAACACACGCACATAATTCAAAATCTCTACACAAAGACCCTTCCACGTCAAATTCAAATTCGCAACCATACTTATCCACACCCCTCCTTTCCCATTCTGCACCGGGATCTTCGCAAAACACCCGTTCTCTGCGACTATACCCACCCCAGGCGCTTTTGCAGCGACTTGCTCAAGGCTCTTGATAGGTAACCCGCTGAGCAACCACACCTCGTTGCGCTTATTTGCAGAGAACTTGTTTAGGAGCTCTACTGCGCCTTCGGGGGGCACGAACGGTGCGAGGAGTCCGGCGCGAGACATGTCGGGGCGCCAGAGCGTGCCTTCGAAATCGAGCAGGAGGATACGGCGAGGGGAGTGTTTGTAGCGTGGGAGTAGGAGCGTGGTGTTGAGGGCAGGGACGGAGTTGAGGTCTGTTTGGGTGATGTGTTCGGTGTTGGCGCGAAGGCAGCGCGTGAGGAAGGAGGTGACGAAGGTTTGGGCTGTTTGTGTTACCACATGGTTATGGAGGTCCTGTTTGGGGTAGGATGGGCGCGTATTTAATGATCGGCGTGTAAGTGATGGAATGTGAGAATATGGGGAAATGGGCGCGTGTAACAGGAGATGAGCGCGTATTTAATGATCGGCGAGCGTTTCAAAAGCAGGTCAGCGCACATCCATTGATCAAGCAAGCAAACACTCACCTCCCATCTCGACAATGCCTCCTCATCACTCATAGTCAAGGCCTACCAAAACACTCAGTCACCACTCCCGATCCCCTACCAATAAACACAAAAACGCACCTGACGAATAGCCTTGGCAGTTCCATGCGTATCGTACGGGTTCACAGCAATACAGGATCTGAATCCGCTATAACTATACGATCCAGTAAACTTTGAACCCGGGTTAGTAAGCGGAGATGTGTGGAAAGGGAGGGGAGGGACGAACTTCACTCAGAATCAAAGGTCTATGTCTCCCATCTTGACATTCAACAAACTCGTGTGTCCTGTCAATTCATACCATCAGCACTCCACGACAACCAAATCAAAATACGACGCAAACAACGAGGAAAATAAACCCTGCGACAAACCGAAAACTCACCTCAGCGCCATCCCCTCCCTCAAACTTGTCACCAAAAAGCATCCGCAACAGTCAAAAGCGCGAGATACTGGCTAAACGTGACTTCTTGCGTATGAAGGAACACGACAGGCTGGTAGGTGAGCGTGCTGAATGCGCTGTTGATTCGTGCTACGACATCTGAGACGCCACCTGCTGCTAACTCGTTGGATTCGGTTGTTTGGAGGGCTACTTGGAGGAGGAGGACCTGGTGGGTGTGTGTTAGGTTGCGTTTCGCATCGAAAGGAGGGGAGAGTGATGGAAAAGGAGGACGAAAAGTGGAAGAAGAGGCAAAGGAAAGGGCGACAAAACATACCTTGCCCTGATACTCAGGCCACTTCCTCAAGAACAACTCAAACGCCTCGAGCTTGTGCTTCACGCCTTGGATCTCATCCAACTTATCCCTCCCTACAACTATCATCATACCCGCATAGCGTTGCCTAAGGAGTTGGACCCAATAAGAGACGTCGGGCTCGCGGCGCCGCTCGCGTAGGGCGCCTACGTCTATACCCATCGGGAAGACGCCGACGTCTACAAAGCGGCCGTGGCCTTCACGGGCGCCGCCTGGGATGCCGTATTCAACCTGCGTGGGTGTTAGATTTGAACAGGGAGGGGTGGAAGAGAGGAAAGGAAGAGAAAGCGGGGAAGAGAGGAGGGAAGGGGTGGAAGTGAACACAATCATCACTCCACGCCCCGCACAAAATGAGCATCAAAACGAGGTAGAAGCCCACCTGTATCCCCTTGGGCAACGCTTCGACTGCAAGAATACGAGAGACGGTTTGTCTGTGTGGATGTATCGTGCGTTAGTTCATGCATCGTGGGTTGGGAATGAACGCGAAATTAGAAGGGTGATGAGAATGGGAGTTGATGAGTGCAGGGAGTGCACAGACGAAACCAGGAAAGCCAACTCATCACATCTCCCAGCACAACCCAACTCCCGCAGCTGAAACAAATCAAAACGCACCTAAAATGCCTCGCATAACTCGCAGTCTGAAATCCTACAAGATCCGCACCGAGCATACCACGGAGGAGATGTTCGCGCACGCTTAGGCATCTGTGGAGTTGGGGTTAGTGTGGGTTTAGAAGGTGATATAACGGGATGGGGAGGGGTGTAACGTATAAGGTTGTCGCGTCTAAAACACACCAACGTAACGAAAACACAACCTACCTAAATATCTCACTACTCGGGAAAGCAACATGCATGAAGAACCCGATTGGAGCGCAAGCGAGAGCGGGTATGCGGGTGCTTTTGCGAAGGAGTAGAGGGAGGAGCATCAGGTGGTAGTCGTTGATCCAGACTGAGAGCGTACGTCAGACAGAACCAAAGCCTTCCGCAACGAAAGACGCACCGACATCGCCCTCGGTCCATACGCTCTCGATAGCCTCTGCAAACCGCTTATTAACAGCGACATACTGCTTAAACGCCGCGCTCTCGAAGAATAGTTTGGTTTTTGGCGCGTCGGGGACTGCATAATGAAGACACGGCCAAAGGACCTATATATCAAACATCAATGAGGAAGCAAGAAGGACAGGGAAGAAAGGCACCTGATGACAAAACTCATCATAACAACTCTCAAACTCTGCATCAGGAATCCAAACCGGTAGACTAGAATGCTTCTCCTTCATCCTTCGATCGATGCCGGCTTTGAGTTCTGTGCTATAAGCGTCTGTGCTATTACCGAGGGTTCCGACCCAGAGTTTGCTCGTCATGCGGTCTTTGACGCTGTCGACCGCGTTCTTGAGACCACCATTGCAGTGGATATTTGGTGCAAAGTAGTAGGATTCGGAGGGTACGTTTGTATGGGAGCGGGTGAGAGAGGGGTACCTAGGTGGTTTTGAAGATGATGATCTGCGCTGAAGACGAATAGAATGGACTGGGTCTGGTTGAAACTTTGCGAGTGATGCGTCTATGCTTTGCATGGATGGGGGTGAGATTGAACCTTTGCCTGCAGGGGATGGAGCTAGTGAAGCGAATTTCGAAAATGGATTTAATTCAGAGGGAGGAGTGCTGATTGGAGTGATTGCGCGAGACTTGCAGGGGTTAATTCATCGTACCTAGAAATGATAGAAAGAGCTGACCTTTAAATCATCGACTATGCTCTTGAGAGGAGCTGGGGTACTGCCGATAGATCGTGATGAAGCATGTCTGAATGCTGGAGGACGACCGCCCAAGTCCTGTGTAGCTGTTGCCCCTACCTCTCGAGCATAAATGTCTGGTGTAGGGGGACTGCTTTCACCTAGAACTGCAGTCGTTGGCAAGAACAGTGAAGCAATGATAACACGGTGATTTCGTAGTGAGCTCATGATGGTCGTTCGTGATCAGAGCTCGTTAGCCGCAGCACTCGCCTCATAAGCAACATCCCAAATCGTCATCATGCTTCATCGATTCCATCCAGTTTCCACACGGCGTAATAACAACAAACGTGCAATCGAACCGACAACACCCGGAATCTTCTATTTCGGGTCAGTCATTAGCACATCTCATCCGTCACGAGGCTGCAAGCTAAAAAGCCTCAACATATAATTAAGACGGGCTTATCAGCTCAGAACACTGTGTCTAAAACTGCTATCCAAGTGCACTCCCAAACGTTCTCATCCCGTAACTCGGATGGAATCGGTCATTAAATTAATCGGCCAGCCTCGCACAATGTGCTTGTTTACGTGGCATCAAGTATAAAATCTATCCAACTCCCTTTTGACCCCACGGTGAGAGTGTTGCGCTACTACCTGGCGTCTCACAGTTTAACATCATATATCAAGAAAAGAGTCAAACAGCGGGTCCATTGATGCGGGGGACCAACGTGAGTTATGGCTGAATATTCAATGGCCATCACCCCCTCTTGCTAATCACGTTCATGACAACTCTCGAGTCTAAGTACTGCCGGCACCAAACTGGTAACTCATCTTGCCCATGGCCTCATGCGATCCATCGTGGGTTTCGTTTCATCCCTAGTACTTCCACGTGACCGAAGTTCCCTCAGCATCGTATCAATCCACTGCCTCCGACGCAGTTCGCAAGTGACAGTCAGCTTACTCGTTGGTCTATATTCCCGTTCTGCTGTATCATGATGATCTTTCTTGACCAGTGCAATCCGATAACAGGTCTCGATCTGAAGACTCAATCCATAATATTGATACCCATGTCATCTACATCGTTGCAAACGTAAGAAATACCCGACTCGCAGTCTTGACCTAGGTGCTCCACAAGAGTAATGCACAGCGTCCATCTTACTCTTATCATGCCCATGCGATGTTCTACACTGTTGATCAAGTTGGCAAGAGGTTGGGATTGGGAGGCAGGATATATTAGTCCGAGTCCAAGCTTCCACAACGAGCCCTTGAACAACTTAGACTCCGTAGTGCAGGTCCTCAACTCACTTAACCCGAGAATTGTCGGTCAGTTCTTCTATCCAACTCAAAGTGAGTGATTTTATTCTCGATGCATGACTGAGCTGAATGATGTTCTTCCAGGAACAGACTTATGGTTTGTCAGACCTCAAACGCTCCTTACGACATGGAAGTCCCTGTACAGCAGTCGATTCAGTCATCCACGGAACTGATGTTAGCCACCAACACGATGTTCGGGAATCCATGATTCAAAATCATTGCTCCGCAAGTCGTGATGCCAATCTTTATGTTCAAAGTCAGTCAGTTTTGCAATTGTTCGTAGGCGTGGTGCATCTCAGAATGGCGTAAAGGTGTTTCTGTCTGTTGCTTTGAGGATACTGAGTGACTTCTAGTGCCATTACCTCTCGAATAAATACTTTCGACATTTTTGAGTGTACGTTCGACCATTATACAATGCGCATATAGAATATTTGACTTGCATGAGCGGTGGTGGCTAACACCGTTCTGGCATCATTATCACTGCTGCGTAAAGGGTGCCATCGCAGTCTACGAATTCGGTATTGCTAAAATAACACAATAAGCACAGGTCATCAAAGCAGAGTCACAGTAGCAACATAACCGCTTCAAACGCTGAGACTTGGATCGAGATGAGAAGACTTACTCGCCCATTGGCCAATTGCACATCATGGTGCAGAATCCGGAGATGGAAAAATCGACTTTCGGATTTGGGTTGTCCCAAGCTTGGCCCGCGTAAATAATCTGGGGCCAGATGATTCTACTTGCGAATTGTACTACATCACTCTGAAATAATTGGAGCAAATTTAGACCCACTCAGAATACACCTGCGCATCCCACAATTGTGGATCTTCATATTGTGTTGAACATCCAGCCTGAGGTTCCTCTTCATGGGACTTGATCAAGACTTCACAGAGTGGTTGTACTGACAGGGCGAGGACTATACCGAGAACGACCCGCCGCGATCCACCAAGTCCTTAACGGGCCCAAATAAAAGTGCAACCCCCATATGATTCCTGCAGGGATTGGTGTTATCAGATCTGGCAATAGAGCGAATAAACATATTATGTACTACATACCCTTAGCGATAAATTCGACGCTTATACTCCGTGTAATGCATAGGCGTTTCTGAAATAGCTGGATGCGGATATAAGCAACAAAGTGACATGGTCCATCCCTTTCATCCACTTGAACGTCATCTGGTGGGCAACCCAAAGAGCGTCTCAAGGGCTCGTCCTCGGGTGCTTATGGCATACCAAATTAATTGATGCGCTCTCGGGTAGATAATAGTAACTCACAGTAATTTACCCCTAAATTCAACTGCTTGAACAACGCCTGGTCGTTAATCTTCGTGCATGCGAGACGCAAGTCGAAACGGCCAACAGATGAAAATCGGGGAATGAATACAACAAATGCTGAAAATGCTTCTTGCCGGTTATTCACAATTGCCCAATACAGTGCAGTGTGACCCTTGATATTGGGTGTTTGCAGGAGGTGGGAGAACACTGCGGGGGGAAGAGCAGCAGCACAGGCACTGACTATTGGGACAACAGAAGAAGGGATGAAATTAGGAGCGGAGACGATATCGCGAACGTGAGATAGAACCGTCTTTCATTTCTGCGTAGTTCGTAAAAGGGAAAATACAGACGGTCGTCTGTATTGGGCAGAATCTGCTAATGATGCAAATGTAGAAACCGTCTCATACGAGGGAGGTGCGGTAGTAACTGAGATCTTATCAGTAAAGTCCTCGGTTGTGGTAGCCATCATTATATGGAGAGGCAGGAGAAATGAAATATAGGAGCTTGTCAAGCATTCTTTTGGGGGCCATTACTGGGCAAAAATAAATTGCGACTTGAGTTGACCTGATTTGGACCTGATTGTGACTAAGATACAACAGCCATGATGAATCACAGTGTATGATGACAAGCAGGACCCTTAGTGCAAGACCACCATGGGCTGTGTCCAAGGACAAGTTAAATCTTAGTTTCACCCTTGGAAAGCACCATTCTGCTTTTGGTTTGATCAGATTCACTTGGGCTCGTCTCTTACTTTGTCCTCTGCTTTGATTATGCACTTGGCTTTGCACATCACCTGAGTCACTAGTACTCTGGCACGGACATGGGCAAGGCAGGCGTGGAGAGCGAGTCAGTTGTTCGCAATCCCATCATCCATGGGGCACTTGCCTTCAAAAAAAATTCCCATACAGGCGGGTTGTATCAATGGCCAAGCAGGGACTGTCGCTGGAGATCCTGCATCCGCTGTTCTCAGACCTCTGAAAGGTAGCAAATCATATCTACAATGCAGAAGATGGTCCTATTCCATCCACCATGACAGGTTTCTGACTCAACTTGTGTTCCATATTTGCTATCTTACTACAATGTCATCTCTACTGCCACGTGGAGGGTGCCATCGCAGTCTACATATTCAGTGTTGCTAAAAACAACATAATAAGCACAAGTTGTCAAAGAAGAGTTGCAAAATAGTAACATAACTCCTCCAGGGTTGCTGAGATTTGGATCCAAATCAGAAGACTTACTCGTCTATCACCCAATTACCCAACTGATGATAGAATACAACAGTTATATCATTGGATTTCGGCATTTCCAGGTTATCCGTTCTGATCTCTGTTTTGATCTCAATAGGTAAATCCAAAAACCAACTTGGGAATAATAAACTCTCTTCGAATCATCCGAATAAATTTTAGCTTACTTCATATCCCCATGAAGCGTTCGCTGCTCGTTCCGCCATTGCGAATATGCAGGTTGGGTTGCACATTTAGGTTTCCCTTTGTGGGACTCGATCATAACACCACAGTGTGCTTGTGATAACAATGGCGCAGGAAGCTTATGCCGAGAAAGACCGATCACGATACACCGAATTCTCCCACAATGAAATTGCAACCTCCATATACGTCCTGCAGGAATCGGTGTTATCATATCAGCGAGAGGAGCGTGTACTACATACCATTGGCAACAGATTCAACATCCACTTCCTGCCTAATGCGCAGGCGTTTCTGAAACATTCTGATGCGCATACAAGCAACAAACTGACATGGTTTGTCCCCTTTATGTACCTCAACTTCATCTGGAGGACAACCCAAAGAGCGTCGCAAAAGCTCGTCCTTGTGTGCTTAATTCACACCACATCAATCAATGCACTCTTGAGATAGTTGTTAACTTACGATAGCATCCCAAATTCAGCTGTGTGAACAATTCCTGGTCGCTAATCACCATGCATGCGAGACACAGGTCAGAACAACAAACAGATGAAAATTGGGGAATGAAAGCAGCAAAGATTGAAAAGGCTTCTTGCTGGTTATTCACGATTGCCCAATACAGTGCGGCATGACCTTCGATATTAGGTGTTTGCAGGAGGTGAGAGAAGACTGCAGGTGGGAGAGTAGCAGCACAGGTGTTGGCAACTTGGGTGACAGAAGAAGGGGTGAAACCAGGAGGAGAGACAAGGTCGCAGATGCGAGACAGAGCGGATTTTTGTTTCTGCGTGGTCCGTAAAAGGGACAATACAGATGGACGACAGTGAGTAGTACATTGAATGGAACCTGCTAATGACACAGACGAGGGTGTTGTCTTGTATGAGGGAAGTGGGCTTGTTACAGACTTGCTATCCTCGAGAACTTCAAGCATGGTGGCCATTATGGAGGGGCGAACTGGGGCAAGGGAAGCAAAGGAGTCGAACAGAAAATAGGGGCCTGTCAATATTGAAAAAGGTAAACAAGTAACGCCCGACCTTGGGCAGCTGCGCCGCGCACCCAAGGTCATATGTTAAATTTTCGGCATGTTCAATATTGGTTAGAATTTGACGCGGTCAGAATTGTTTTCAACGACCTTTGATAATGTCAATATTTGCTTGAGCGTTGCTCAACAGTATGGTGCCAGGCTTCAAGCTTCAAGCTTTCAACGTTTCAATTTCGAAGCTCAGTGCTGAATCAGCACTCAGCACCGCTTTGTTATTGTACAGGGGGCACTGCCACAGTGTGAGGACTGCCACAGTACCAGTGCAAGGACAGGCTGTCACGGTGCCACGATGATGGACAGGCATTTACTCTACTGACTTGGCCACCACCTTGCTTTCGGTTACGACTATTACGAACCTCAAAGTAAGTAATTGCCTGCAGTTATAATCCATCAATATCTTGATTATAGCACACCAATTCGAAGCATTTTGAAGTCATGGGCCAGTTAATGAACAGATTTTCCAGGGCCCCCAGTATTATACCCCAAGTCGGCCTGGCACCCGAACTTTGGCTGGCAATATTTGAGCACCTTCCTTTGCGAGCCCTTCACGACGTTGCCCTCACTTGCCAGTCCTTTCGTTATCTTGCGCAACCTCTCCTATTTCGCTCGCTGACATTTTGTCCCTACTCCCTGGACACCAACAATCAGCGCTTTATTTACCGTCTCGAAACAGTAGAGCGTACAAAGCAACGCATACAGTTTTGTTCCTCACCACGCATCGCTCACGCTGTTCGGGAATGCAAATTTTATCCCCGATATATTGTTGGTGCCGTGCCCAACACGGAGATTGCATATAATGTGCTTCTGGATATATTACTCGATACCCTACCGCTTTTCGTCAATCTCCAATCGCTATCGTTCATGTTCGTGGACCTCAGCCAGCCCCAGGTATTGAAACTGTGCGCGCTACGAAGCCTTGGGAACCTTTTCTTGGGCAATTGTATGGTGGAACATGTCCAATCGCTTTCACATCCCAAATTGCAGGTTACTGAGTTGACCATCATCTGCGATAACAAAACTATGCTTGGGATGGCCAGAATGGTCATGGACTATCTGTCTTCTCACCCGACCACATATGTTCTGTCTCTGTAATCAACCCAGTCGCTGCCTCACACTTCCTGAATAATTTCATGGGGAACGCATCGCAAGGTTTACTACAACTCCGATGCCTCACATTACCTTGCGATTTAGAAGTCGTGCGCGCTTTCCGTCCTTTGCTTCATCTCATCCCAGAGCTATCCGAACTCAAATTCGCCCGCCCTTCTCAAATCCAATTCAACCTTCCCAAAGATGAAAATTTCTCCCTGTCTATGCATTCCAATCCACTTAAACCCCTCTTGAAATACCAAGGCCCTCGTCAACTTTTACCTCACTTTGTTCGCCCTGGTGCGCTCGAACATCTCAACTTGTGGAGTACACGCCCCATGTCCACTGATGGTTTGATGGATCCCATGGAACTGTACGGAGCACTTGTTGGAGGCGATGAACTCGTCAGCGTATGCGATCCAGAGGTCCTCAGGACTGTACAGACGCTGGAGTTGAGCGTTAAGCATGTCAATGCCCTCATGCTCGATGCTATTTGCACCCACTTCCCAGTACTTCGATCGTTATACGTATGTGCGGCAAGGGGCTTCTTTCGTGATGCTGATATGCAAGCGTGGGACCTTGAGGTACATGTCAAATTGTTCCTTCTCTTTTTTTCGGGCTAAATTGTGTGTTCTAGATGATAATGAACGCTCTTTTGACCCTTCCCCTTCCTCCCACCATTCAGCGTTTGCGACTCTCTTCGTATTCAGCTGTGTCATGCAGTGGGCTCGCGATGGAAGACCGCCTTGCAGGACGCAAGCGGGACCTCAGGGTAAAATATCCTAATTTAACTTTTGTTTCTCTGGATGAATCGGACATTAACCTAACATGGGATAGGATAGGGTGCTCCATTGCTGAGATTTGAGGGTTCGTTCAACACATACTCTGTATTTTGATTGTCCTATAAGCATCTATTTAAGTATCTATGCATAATCATGTACCACTTGTTTCGGGTCGCTGCACTATTATCTCCGAATAGGATGATATTTCTCAATCACTCCCTTCGTCCATCCTATCATTGCCGTGACCATCGACGATCTCCCACGACGCACTAGCAAGCTCTTTGGCGTCATCGCTCTCCAGGCCTATGCTCATAAGCACACCATTACTCGTCCTCGTCCTTGCAGTTTGTTCCACAAACCTAGCATACCCCGTAAGCGGGATCAATGTAAAAGGTGCTGTGACAAGCGATAAAGTCACCCTCATCGACGTTGGTTTAGTGTGCCGGAATATGGACGGAAAAAAGTCTGCACGGGATAAGCAGGTGCATGGATGCTGACCCATGAAATGAATGAGTTCGAATACACGCTATACGCCGTTACATACCTGGAGATTGTAGCGATGACAAGTCACACCATGCATCGAATGCTGCCAGGTCTTTATCCTGCAACCCTTGAGTCACGTTTCGCTTCGCAAAAACTGAAAGCTCGTCCTAGAACCACATATTGCTTTATTATGGTTCGTGCGATTAAAGTGTCAGCATGATCCTCGCCTTATTTGACAAACCAGTGGAGAAGTTGCAGCATAGATCGGTGAACGTTGTCTGTGTCGCAGGAAAAGGTAGAGAGACTATGCCTCCCAGTTGTCCCAATCGAGAACACCTCCGCCGGTTCAAGTGGTCGGCGATCATTGCGATGTCCTCCCGACTGCCTTTAAGTCTGTGGGAAATCAGTTGATGGTATGTTCATTGTATGTCAAAGAGAATAGCATACCTCGGTGACAGCGTAGCGGTCTCTACCAGCGACGAGATGACTGCAGACGTATGATACAAGCTGTTTTTCTGCAGTGTCCCGTCAGGAAATGATATGTAGAGTGAGGAACGTCATAGGCAAGTACCTGCGATAAGTTAGTTTCCAACATATACCATCAGGATGGATTTAATATTGGGAAAACGATATCCGAGAGCTGATGGAGACTTTGCAACACAAAGCATCATTGATAATTCTGTGTCGAGAAGCTGATTTCAAATGTTTATGTGTGAAAGCGCATTCACTCACATTGTGGATGCCAGCGTGATTAGGGTCTGCGCTTGAAGGGAAGTTAAAGTTGTGTACAGAAGCCTTGAGAAGCTGGTCGAGGAAGGAAGTCAGGAAAGTATGCGAGAGACCCCCAAAGGTTGGTGTATCGTGTATCATTTCAATCCCTGCAGTCGAGGACAATTTAGCAGATGAGTGAAAATGGTATGAAATAGAGCCTACCGGAAGTTATCGCAGTTCTCGACGAGCAGACGACACGCCCCTTCCATGAGTTCTGTATCCTGGAGAAGTATTATAAATATCACAAGACGGGGAGAAAAGGCAGGTACCTCATTATTTCGGCGGAAGATATCTTGGCTGACACTCCACCCGGCCTCGGTACTTTCCAGTGCGTCAGGGATGGGCTGTATAGAGAGGAGAACAGTCGGACCGGTATTTGATAATTGGGTGTGTGCATTCCGTATCGCCATTTTCTTCTATAAGATGAGGGTGATATTCACTTTGAAGGATCGGATCTTGTGTCTCGCGAACTACCCTTCCTCGTCTGCAAAGTATCAGCTCGTATGGTGAACCGCTTTTACAATCACACTTACCAAGTCGTATAAGGTGGAGCATCAGTAGTTGTATCATGGCTCGTTTTTGCGAGTGTCCCGAAGCTTGCTGCTCAGATGAGCTAGAAGGCTTGTCAAATATCAACAGACGTGGACAAAGAGTTGATACCTGAGGACTTCGTCATCGTCGTCATAGGTGAAAGTAGTTTGCGAATGAGCCTTCTCATATGAAACGCATCTGAGATCTGTACGTAAAATCAAAGTCTGAAGTCGGCAGGTCCGGTATTTAGACTATTATCAGCTCGTTGCACTGCACGGCGCAATGCGACTCCAAACCGTCCGACTGACTCACCCACCCTACCACTCATTGTGAACCCTCTCAATTTCCAATGCTGCGTGTCGCTCATCGTTTGTTTCGTCACATAATCACGTGTGGTAGCCCAGAAGAACGACATATTAGACTTGAAAGTAGGTCGCATACTACCTTTGTATTCGGTTCGTGATCCTTACACTCTATTTACAGTCATCAGCGGAAAGAATCTTCAAGTCCCTTCTCACCGCATACCCGCTGGCATTTACGTGTCCATCAATGTCGACTCGAGGGGACGCTGGAAATCAGCCCTCAAAGTCCTATCATCCGAAAAATCAGCAGTGTGGGACGATACTGTGACCTTGTAAGGTCCTTGGTGACCTCAGCTGTGATTCGAGAACTGATCTTTGGTTTATAGATCATCGCAGATGTCACCTGCATTCTCAGTGGAACTCAGGGCACCCTATGAGTCCGATCGAATGCTAGGCAGTGGAGAGCTCATCGGGAAACTTCAAATGCCGTGGGAGGAGCTACTCGATCGTGGAGAACAGCCATTCGGTGAGTAACTTGCTCCTCATTCATGCACATTCACTAATATCTCATAGAACTATCCTTCCCATCCGTGGATGGTGTCCACCCTTCCCTCACAATGAAGGTTGCCGTTGTACATGCTTGCGACAATCAAAACGGCGCATTGTGTGATGTGAGTGACGCCGGACTCGATTCCGTGAACTTTTGCTGACGGAGCACCGACTGCAGTCTCTGGTAGACAGCGAAATTACTCGGGACACGGATGCGGGCCACGCACAATTTGCCGCATACGTGACAAGCAAGACAGTCTCTCACCTGAATCATGCTATTCAGCATTTTCAGTTGGTTCTGGACCAGTGTCCGGTCAGCCATCCAGACCGCGCGACGGCTCTCACCAACCTTGCGTGGGCCCGCCTTAAAGGTTATATCCAAAATGATCTTCAAGACATTGATGCCACCACTTCTCTCTTCCGCGACGCCCTTGCATTGCGTCCCCAGCACCATCCCGATTATCCCTTATCTCTATATAATCTCACCGAAGCGCTAACTTGGCGCCACAGCAAGAAAAGTACTGCTGCCGACATCCGTGAAGCCGCCCAACTCTACCATGAACTACTACTACCTCTTTGTCCAGAAGGCACCTACCTTCGTAGCATCGCGGCAGGGGAAAATGGTGTCGATTATGTGTTCATGGGATGTAGCAATCTTCCAATAGACGCATCCGATGAAGGCATCCAGCTTCGACAAGTCGTTCTCGAGTTCTGTCCTCTGGACCATCAACACCGTCATGTTGTCCTTCACTGCCTTGCACAGGCAATGGAGGCCCGCTTCCAACAGTGTGGCAGTATTGATGATATAGACGAGACTATACAACTTCGTCGTGAAGCCGTTTCCCTGTGCCCCGAGGGACATGCTGATCGTGATGTCCACTTGAGCAATTTGGCCTTGTCACTCGTGTTTCGCTTCAATCACCAAGGCAAACCTAATGACCTTGATGAGGCCATCTCTCTGTACGAAGAAGCAGTGCGCCTATCCCCTGTTGGGCGCGAATCCCTTGTTATCTCATCGGACAAACTAGGGACCGCCCTCATCACCCGTTTCCGCGCACATGGCCACATTAATGACATCACCCGAGCTGTCAGCCTCTTGCGCGAGGTACTGACATTGTGCCCGCCTGGGCATCTGCATCGTGACACCATACTTAACAACCTTGCCACCGCGCTCAACGCCAGATATGAAAAATTGCATGTCAGCGAGGATCTTAACGAGGCCATTGATCAATATCGCGAATCTCTTCGGTTAAAGCAACATGACGATCCAGAGCGCCATAAAACTCTTTGGAATTTGAGCTCGGCGCTTTCCTTTCGTTTCAAGCAGACTCAGGAGAACAAAGATATCGAGGAGGCCATTACTCTTTGCCAAGAATCATTGGCGGCTCTGTCTTCACTACACCCGGACAGGTGTCTCAGCTACCTGTGGTTGCAGATGGCCTATTTGTTTCGTTACCAGATTCTACACGACCCTGCTGATCTGTCGCTCGTTATAGAGAACTTCAGACTAGCATCGCAGCACCCCACTCAAGGGTTCCCACAACGCATCATTGAGGCATATAATTGGGCCGTTAAAGCTGAGCAACATGGTCATGGATCCGCACTGGAGGCCTACTCAACATTTTTCGACCTTCTGGATGCTCATTTGGCTACACGATCATCAGCAACTTCACGGCGCGAAGCTGCCGCTTCCTTCCATCATTGCCAGGTCATTCCCTGTGGATGCAGCATCATGTGCTATCCGCTGCGGTAATCTACGACAGGCAGTTGAACTTATGGAACAGGGTCGTGGCCAGCAATGGACACTGGCATCCCGACTCAGGACTCCAGTTGAAGACCTCGAGTCAGCAAATCCGACACTAGCGCATAATTATTTGGAGCTGAGCAAGCTCATTTCCAATGCCGCCCAGAGTTCTGCAACCATTAGTGACAGAGCTGCTGCTGATCGGGCAGCAACAGAGTATAGGAGACTCACAAGGCAATGGGAAGCTGTGGTAGCTGCGATACGTGATCTTCGTGCATTCTCGCGGTTCCTGCTCCCACCTTTGTACGGAGACCTGCAAGCGGCAGCGCGCCAGGGCCCGGTCATTATCCTCATTGCCAGTAAATATGCGTGTAGCGCCATGATTGTTCCGACATCAGGAGAGCCCCATCATGTTCCTTTACCGTCCATCACTCTCGCAGATCTGAAGATTCTCAAGGATCGCTTCACCAGGGCAATACGACAAGCATCTCGGATGAACCCAGCGGAGTCGAGGACGGACCTAATAGTACTCTCGCGGATATTATGGGAGGAGATCATGCTACCCATCGTCAACGTACTCGAGCACGTCCTCAAACTAAAGCGTCGCTCCCGAATCTGGCTATGTCCGACTGCAGATTTCACGTCCATTCCTCTCCATGCAGCTAACCCCTTTCAAACAAAGGCAGATCGCTCCAAGGAGCCATGCCTGGAAGATCTCTACATCTGCTCTTACATACCGACACTTTCGGCTCTGATTAGATCTAGACAGTCGATGAAGAAGCGTGTGTTTCCGTCCTTCGTGGCGATCGGACAAGGTCAACCGGGTGCAGGGAAAGGCAAGGCATTATTGGCTGTCGACAGCGAGCTTGAGCTTGTCCATAAGCTCGTCCCTGCGATGGCCAACTGCACCACTATTTCCGGCGACGCAGCTACACGAGTCGGTGCACTCGAAGCTTTGCAAGAGAATACCTGGGTGCACCTGGCGTGTCATGGCAAACAGGATCCTACGCAACCTTACGATTCACATTTCGTCATGAGAGACGAACATCTGACGCTGCTCGATATCATGGACAAAGATATTCCGCACGCTGAGTTTGCGTTTTTGTCTGCGTGTCATACCGCCGTAGGGGATGAAGAGACACCCGACGAAGTCATTCATCTTGCAGCTGGTCTGCAGTTTTCGGGGTTCAAGAGCGTTGTTGGCACGCTGTGGGAGGTCGACGATGCTGTCGCAAAACACGTTGTTGAAGCTTTCTATAAATATATGTTCAATGAGAAGGATAGCGGTGTCATGGACTGTACGAAGGCGGCCTGGGCACTCAACTGTGCTACGCACGCCGTGAAGACGAAAGTGCCGCTCGAGCAGAGGATGGTTTTTGTTCATATCGGTGTGTAGTTTTACGTCGTATTGCTGTCGTCTGGTACGTTGTTGATTTGCGATTCTCTTTCATGATATCTTGTTGTAAAAATGTCCTTGATATATTCTTATGCTCCGGCTATCTCATTTTCGTATACTCTGTTGTGTTTTTGTCGACTAAAACGTTCACTAGAGTTCTTCTGCTCGAGTACTTAGATAGTATTATGCCTTCCAGTCACACCGCCCATCCTTCAAATTTCAAGCATTCAAGTCCAATGTTCTGCATCCTGAAACCACGGCTAACCACCACCAGTGTAATCAACACCAAGTTAGAAGCAGAACTCATCCGTGCAAACGTACGCACCCGTCGAAGTCGCCGGTAGTGTCGTCAATCCCGGGTAACTTATGGCCCATCTGTGCACTGCTTACTACTAGGTACATCCGCTCCGACCTCAATTTCCAACCAGGTGTGTACCTAATATATGGCAGCATTCAATATTCATTTCGTATGGTGAGGCACTCATAATTTGATACTGAAGATGCGTACTTGTGAAGGGTTTGGCGATCTTCTCGACTCATCCTCATGCGTACCTCGCGTTGACGTTATAACGAAGTTGTGATTTCTCTTTGCGGCGGATACATTCACTGGTGAGCCTGTCGCTGCTGTCAGGCATTTTACGATTGGTGCATGTGCAGGAACTGCAGCTGGACGTGGGAGTGGCTGTCAGTATTCCGGACGAATAGATTCAGGGCAGTGAGTGTAGCTTAGGAGATCAAACAGGTGCGAGTACCAGCCATGCTAGACGCGGTTGTGAAAGTAGGCCCTGGGGATCCTTACCAACATATAAGTGAATTTTATTCGCTGGTATTTGAACCAAACTGTCCAAGTTCAGAACACGAAATCAATCGAATAGCCCACCTGGTGAAACATCGACATAGCCTGTGATACCAGTGGAGTAAAAATGTTGATTGCGCGGGGATACTACTACATACCGATATCATTGAGAGTCTGCATGGCCAAGATCATATTGGTCCAAGGCACCTCAGCCGCAATACTCTCCGCCTACACAGCTGCGAGCGCAGGATTGATGGGAATACCAGGAAGTACTGTTCTTATTTGATTGGGTGCACTGTACGATTAGCACATGTTGGCCCGGGACGGATGGGCTAGCAATCAGTATCCTAGGATTGAAACTTTCTACCTAGAATGCCTAGAAGTCAATCCAATCAGACGAAGACTGGCTATAGGCATTATTCTCGAGTCCCGCGATGTCTAACCTACAGCATGTAATTTGCCTCTGTTGAAGCTGGGAGTGAGAGCGTATTTCCGCCTGCCAAGCTAATGAAGTTGATTTTTTCTCTACATAGTTGGTGTTAACGGAGTTGGCCACACCAAGCATCCATATACATGTCTAGACCTGATGTCGTGCCAAGGGTTGGTCGGATATGCATGAGTATGCGAGTGATGCTATCCGAGCTTGGTTACACACACTTCCTACATAGTTTTATCACAATCATCAGAACGCATCACGGTACCGAGTCATCTCAACACCAAAAGAGTGAGCGAAAGACAGTGCACTGGGCTTTTGTGATCGTGTTGTCACAGCTTCGATAGCATCAGATGCAAAACATGAGCTGCGGACGACGTGCAGAACAAACTTCTCGAGCGCGGGGTATGCAGTATTTCGATTTCCTGACATGCTGATATTCAGTATTGTCGCTCTTCAGTAAACGATGGGAGAAAGAGAGTACGTGCCTCTTATATCTGTTTTGATGATTGCAGGGTAGTCCACTCGGTGCATACCGGATTTCTCGTAGAATGTGATGTTTGTGATCACCTTCTGCCTTGCATGGCGTTCGGGGGGATTGACAGCAATCAGGACGGGCATGGCAAGGTCTTCGACAAACACCCTTGCAGCCTGCTGCAAACAGTCTTTGCATCTAGGTGTTATCAGCTCAACCTCAAAGTCGTTCGCAAGTAAAATCTGCTTAGGAAGGCCGATGACGACACACGCAGCGTCCACATTCTCTCCAGCCAGAGCGAATGCTTTCTGAGTGACCTCATGCACAAGTGCACGAACATCTGCATAAGATGCCGAGAGCGCTGAAACGGCTTTGGTGAGATGCCCATAGTGGATAGAATCTACGACGTTTTGTCGGATTGGCCGGATATGTCAAGGAAGGCGGGTTTGAGATGGAGGTGGACGGTGATGGAGACGCGCTATTCGCGCAGGCGTTCCCTGAAATTTGCGCCAATATTTGCCGTGAGCTGGATGTTGTCGACGAGCACGACATCGGTGGTGGAGTAGCTGCCGCTCGGGAAACTCCGTCAAAAGTTTCTCAGATCCTGAACCTTGGACCAGTCCCCTGCTGCGATCATTCTGAAATACTCATGATCACCATGACGCTGTCTGCCCTCCCTCGCGGCATCCGTACGTACTATCATCCGCACCACCTCAAGGAACCGCCCCGGAGTCGACGTCCATTTACAATTGACTCGAAGGTCACCTACCTGTTCCATCAACCCTACCTCCCCTCTCCATCGTCGAAGCCCATACTCTTCGGACATCCAGATGTTTACTGCAACGGCCCGCTCCTCTAGCCCCGCTCATTTTCTAGTCTCAAGGCACACCATCCCCAATAACCATGTCCTCGGCCAACATGCCATTAACATGTTTCCATCACCTTCAGCGCTTCCATACGCAATGGACCTGCTGGCCTGTTCATGCAGTTCCTGCAGTGCTACATATAGTTGATGTTCCTCTGCTGCGAGGTCAATTAGCTCGGTTCGATATCACTTGGCGCAACTCTCCGATGGGTGAATCCGGCAGCGGTCACAACTTCCTGAATACTTCGATCATTAATCATCTCCGCCGAACGGGCACACAGCTGGTTGCGTCCTCGCTTTTGAAGTCGATGATTCTTATCCCTCGGTGCAGGTAAGATCATGTACTGGCAGCTCAATCGGACAAGTCGTATAGAATCATTGGTTTTCTTTGCGCACTGTCTTCGGTTTGACTATTACTTGCATTGGCAATTACCTTACGAAATATACTCTATTCTATATTTTGCATTTGTGTGCTAACTGAGTAGTACGACTCCATGATACAAGTCCAGGAACAACAATGAACACAAGTCACTCTGAGTCTCGCATGTCCCCTTCAACCTTGGCGGACCACTTTCAGCTGAAAACTGATAATGACATCGTCTACTTCTACAGCACAGATTCTTCCGACAATTCTGGTTGGTGGTCTCGATTTCCAATGCTTGGTGCAATCATACCAGCGTCTATCGTGCCGAACACCCCTCGACAACGTGAAATACACGTGAAGCATGACCTGAACCCTCAACCTCTTCTCTCCCTCTCAGTCAAACCCCATCCACAGTTCCACTCATTCTCAATTTTCGATGCTGCGTGCCGTTCGTCGTTTGTTTCGTCCTGCAATCACTCGTAGTAGTCTAGGAGAACGACATATCAGACTCGAAAGTAGGTCACTCCATACTACCTTTGCATTTGGTTCGTGATCTTTACGTTCTATTTACAGTCGTCAGCGGAAAGAATCTTCAAGTCCCTTCTCAGCGCCTTCCTGCTGGCATTTACGTGTCCATCAATGTCGACTCGAGGGGACGCTGGAAATCAGCCCTCAAAGTCCTATCATCCGAAAAATCAGTAGTGTGGGGCGATACTGTGACCTTGTAAAGTCATTTGTAACTTCGGGCGCGATTCGAGAACTGATCTTTGGTTTATAGATCATCGCGGGCGTCACATGTATTCTCAGTGGAGATCAGGGCGTCCTATGAGGCCGATCGAATGCTAGGCAGTGGAGAGGCCATTGGGAAACTTCAATTGTCGTGGGATGAGTTACTCAGTCATGGAGATGAATCTTTTGGTGAGTGATTGGCTCCTCATTCGCGCTCATATACTAACACATTGTAGATATCTCCTTCCTACCTGTTCGTGATGTCCACCCTTCCCTCACCCTGAAGATTGCCGTTATGCATGCTTGCCAAAATCAAAACAGCGCACTGTCTGGTGTGAGTGACACTGGTCTATGTCCTGTTAGCTTTTGCTGATAGAACACCAACTGTAGTCCCTCATAGATTGCGAGATTGGTCGAGACACAGATGCGGGCCACGCACGATTGGTTGAATATGTGACAAGCGAGAATGTCTCTCACTTGAACGCTGCTGTAGAACATCTTCAGTTGGTCCTGGACCAGTGTCCGGTCAGCCATCCAGACCACGCGACGGTTCTCACCAACCTTGCGTATGCGCGTCTTCAAGGATATATTCGCAACCACCTTCAAGATAATGATACTACCACTTCTCTCTTCCGCGACGCCCTTGCATTGCGTCCGCAGCGCCATCCCGATCATCCCTTATCTCTATATAATCTCACCGCAGCGCTGATTTGGCGCCACAAGAAGAACAGTACTGCTGCCGATATCCGCGAAGCTGCCCAGTTCTATCATGAGCTACTACCTCTCTGTCCAGAAGGCACCTACCTTCGTAGCATCGCGGAAGGCCCAAATGGTGTCGATTATGTGATCAGCGCATTCAACAATCTTCCAATAGCATCTGATGAAGGCATCCACCTTCGACGAGTCGTCCTCAAGCTCTGTCCTCTGGGCCATCAACTCCGTCCAAGAGCACTTCACAAACTTTCAATGGCTCTCAGATCACATTTTACACAACACGGCAACATTGATGATCTTGACACGAGCATACAACTCGATCGTGAAGCCATGTCTCTGTACCCCGAGGGCCATGGTGACTACCTGAACAATTTGGCCCTCTCACTCGTGCTCCGCTTCGAGCACCAAGGCAAACCTAATGACCTAGATGAGGCTATCTCTTTGCAGGAAGAAGCGCTGCGCCTGCGCCCTGTTGGGCACGCATCTCGTGATATCGCATTGAGCAATCTAGGGCTCACCCTCATCACCCGTTTCTACAAACGCGACGACATTGATGACATCACCCGAGCTGTCAGCCTCTATCGCGAGGCACTGACGTTGCGCCCACCTGGGCATCCACGTCGTGACACCACACTTAGCAACCTTGCCACTGCCCTCAACATCAGATACCACAAATCGCATGTGAGGGAGGATCTTAACGAGGCCATTGATCTGTATCGCGAATCCCTTCAGTTAAAGCGCCCTGACCGTCCAAAGCACCATGTGACTCTTCGAAATTTGGGCTCGGCGCTCTGCTCTCGTTTCACGCAGACTGGAAAGAATGAAGATGTTGAGGAGGCCATCAACCTCTGCCAAGAATCATTGGCGGTTCTGTCTTCATTGCACCCGGCCATGTGTTCCAGCTACATACAGCTGCAGAAGGCATATCTGTTTCGTTACCAGATTCTGCATGACCCTGCTGACTTGTCGCTCGCCATGGAGAACTTCAGACTCGCATCAGGACACCCTACTCAAGGATTTCCTCGGCGCATCGAGCACGCTATCGACTGGGCTCACTAAGCAGAAGTCTATCAACATGAATCTGCCCTCGAAGCATACCAAATGTGCTTTGAGCTTTTCGACAGCCACGTGATGACGCGATCGTCGATCATCTCACGGCGTGAGGCAGCAGCCGCTTTTGGTGGTGCACAGTCACTTCCTGTAGATGCAGCCTCATGTGCCATACATCGTGACAATCTACGACGGGCAGTCGAGCTGATGGAACAGGGCCGTGGCCAGCAGTGGTCGCTAGCATCGCGGCTCAGGACGCCGCTCGAAGACCTCGAGTCTATCAGTCCCGCACTAGCTCATAAGTTCTTACATCTCAGCAAACACCTGTCCGATGCTCAGTGTTCTGTAGCCAGCACAGACGGAGTTACTGCTGATCGGGCGGCAACAGAGTATAGGAGACTTACAAGGCAGTGGGATGCTGTGGTAGCTGAGATACGTGATCTTCGGGCGTTCTCGCGGTTCCTGCTCCCACCATCCTACGAAGACCTGCAAGCAGCAGCACGCTATGGCCCGGTCATCATTCTCATCGCGAGTCAATACTCGCGCAGCGCCATCATTGTCCCGATGTCAGGAGACCCCCATCATGTTCCCCTGCCGTCTGTCGCTCTCGCAGAGTTGATCAATCTCAAGGATCGCTTCGCCAGGGCAATACGAGACGCATCCAAAATGGGCCCCAAAGTGCCGCGGAACGATCTAATAGTCCTCTTGCGGACAGTATGGGACGAAATCATGCTACCCATCGTCAATGTCCTCCAGCATGGTCTGAAACTAAAATTCCACTCTCGAATCTGGCTGTGTCCAACTGCAGCTTTCACATCCATTCCTCTCCATGCAGCTCACCCGTTTCGAACGAACGCAGATCGCTCTAAGGAGCCATGTCTGGAAGATCTCTACATCTGCTCTTACACGCCGACACTTTCGGCTCTGGTCAGGTCTAGACAGATGATGAAGAGGCGTGTCACTCCGTCCTTCGTGACAATCGGACAGGGTCAAACGGGTGCAGGGAAAGGCAAGGCACTCTTGGCTGTCGACAGCGAGCTCGAGCTTGTTCATAAGCTCGCCCCTGCGACGATCAACCGCACCACTATTTCAGGCGACACAGCCACACAAGCAGGTGCACTCGAAGCTTTGCAGCAGAACACCTGGGTGCACCTCGCTTGTCATGGCAAGCAGGACCGTATGCAGCCTTACCATTCGCATTTCGTCATGAGAGACGAACGTCTTACGCTGCTCGATATCATGGAGAGAGACATTCCGCGCGCCGAGTTTGCCTTCTTATCCGCTTGTCATACCGCCGTTGGCGATGAAGAGACGCCTGACGAAGTCATTCATCTTGCAGCTGGTCTCCAGTTTTCGGGGTTCAAGAGCGTCGTTGGCACGCTGTGGGAGGTCGACGATTCTGTTGCAAAACACGTTGTCGAATCTTTCTACGAGAATATGTTCAAAGATTTGAAGGATGATAGTGTCATGGACTGTACGAAGGCAGCTTGGGCACTAAACCGTGCTACGCACGCCGTGAAGACTAAAGTGCCCCTCGAGCAGAGGATGGTTTTTGTTCATATCGGTGTGTAGTTCTACGTCGTATTGCTGTCGTCTAGTACGTATTCACAAGTTGATATGCGATCCTCTTTCGTGATATCCTGTTGTATAAATGACCTCGATATATTCTTGCGCTCCAGCTATCTCATTTTCGTATACTCTGTTGTATTTTTGTCAACTAGAATGTTCACTAAAGTTCTCGTGTACTCGACTCGTGTGCAGCCTCGTCTTCTGCTTGAGCACTTGGATAGTATGAGCCGACTCGTGCCTTCCGGTCATACGATCCTTTAAGCGTTCAAGTCCTTTTGCACTAGTAGAACCTCGACTAGCCACCACCAAAGATCTCAGGATCTCACAGGTGAACTCCACGCTCAAGGCAACTCAGGACAAATTACATCTCATCCAACCCCGAATTGACACTTGAACGGTATTGGTTCGCACATACTATACAACAATGACAGCCTGAGGCTGACTCTTAGAGCAACAAAAGTTGCAAACATCAACATTGTTTCCCTAAGATTAACTGCCTGCCTGCTGAACCGGCACGCAGCAAACCCAAAGCAGAAAACGAGCCCGCCATCCAGCCTGTCGTATGGTGATATCATGTCTTGTGCCGGTCGCCCCTACAGTACTAGTAACTGCGAGAGGCGTCGTGGATGCCGTGGCAATGGACGGTGGTTGCTGTGAAGATGGCGGATTGCTTTGTGTCGCTCCGCTGCTTTGTTGCTGCGTGGTAGAAGGTTTCGAGGGTCGAGAGGAGCTTGTAGAGGGCTTCTTTCTTGCATGATAATTCCTCTGCGTCAACATCAGACATCGATAAAGAACTTAGAACAAAAATACGCACAGGCTTTCCCGCTGTTAACGGGACTTCAACTATTGGTGGCGAACGGACGTCCGATCCATCTCGTCTGCGTAACATGCCAGGCATAAATTTTTGAGCCCAGCTGAGAGGGTTGGTGGGTTGACGTGGTGCTGCAGTGTGGACCGTGTGGTGACCGTGCGATGTCGAGAACTCCTGACATATTGGTTAATGAAACCGCTGAATTATGAATAAAGATAGCGTACATCATCGAAAAACCCTTGGGGTACTCGACGAACGCCTTCAATTTGCATGGCTCGTCGTCCAGCCTAAGGTTTCCATGTTTAAAAGCAATAAATTTGCCAAGAAATGCCATCACACACATTCAACACCGAGTTGTTGACAGCATTCTGTGATAAATGAAGTTTGGTTGTATCAAGCAATGCTGTCGAAGAGACTTGATGCAACGTACTACCTAAAGGACGTATGAGCAGACCCATTGTCAGCGGTATGATGATGAAATGTATCCAAACTTACATTTTCTGACAGAATGTCATCGAGGTCAGCTTTTTTGACAATCACAGACACATCCCATGTGTATACATGATGGTCGTAACAGCCCGTGGCGAGGAACTTTCCAGAAAAGGACACACATCTTACCTCGCGTTCATGGCGGAGGGGTGGGCCGATGGGCTCATTGCTTTTGAGATTCCATATTCGCGCTGTGTTATCATCAGACACGCTTGCGAGGATGCGCTCGTTCGGAGATAATGAAATTGCATTGATAAGTCTTTCATGCCCATCCAGAACGGCGATTCCAGTCCAAGTGTTAGTGTCGAATGTCTTGATCTTGTTGAGTGACCCGACGATAAGTAAGCTTCCACCCGAGGCCCACGCCAAACACGCGACAGTGATTCCAAGTGTTTTGAGTAGTTTACCAGTGTTGGCATCCCAGACTTGCAGTCCGTCCGCACCTGTTGCGATCCTCTTCCCATCAGGCGAGTAGCTAACTGCCCATACGATGTTCCCTTGCCCTGTCTCAATTGCTTTGAGGATGGTTTCTCCGCTTCCAACATCCCATACTCTTACTGCCCCATCGAACGATCCGTTTGCTACTCGACGACCATCTGGACTCCAGCCGACAGACTGCACTTTGTCCGTGTCTCCCGTCCATTTTTTAATTACCTTGCCTGTGTTAATGTTCCACAATCTCACTGTATCACCTTGACCACCGCTTGCTACTGTCTTGCCGTCTGGTGATAGTGCTAGGGCCAGCACCCCTTTAAATTCGCTTCCTTCATCCTTCCAGGCACTCCCAACCTGCTTTCCACTCTCCAAGTCCCAGACTCGAAGTGACCCATCAGCTGAACAGGTGATTATCCGCTGTTTATTGGGCAGGCCTAAGATGCCACAGATTGTACCCGTATGTCCTTCCATCTTGTGGTGGGGCTTCGCCGCTGGTTTCTCTCGGTTCGCAAGGGCTGACGAAGACATGATTTGGCTTGAGGAGTTCACCTAACAAGCACAGGTCAGTTCTTACCTTCAAGAGCTGCACACACCCGATGATCACTTACTCGGACTCAGAGGAAAAGATGAGTGCGGTGTGAAAGGTGCGATGGAGTTACGTATCGTTCGATGTAGACTCAATTCGGTTGGGTGTTCGCCATCAAGGCGTCTACAGGTGTATATTCTAGCTGTTCGCTTCACTGATTGGCACAGGCTGTGCAGATCAAGCGCCCGAACTTTCTTTTCTGGAACTGTAGTTTCTTCGCACCCATTGATATATCGGCATTACATCTGATGGTCTTACTATCGAACAAGCCCACATTCCTGTGTCTCTTCCCTCTGAGTGCATTAACGTTCAAGAAGGCTCTTAAAGATTTGAACTGTCTATGCCAGGTGGCTGCGACACTCACTACTAGTGGTGGTGTCATGGACTGTACGAAGGCAGCTTGGGCACTGAACCGTGCTACGCACGTCGTAAAGACTAAAGTGCCGCTCGAGCAGAGGATGGTTTTTGTTCATATCGGTGTGTAGTTTTACGTCGTATTGCTGTCGTCTGGTACATATTTACAAGTTATTGATATGCGATCCTCCATCCTGTTGAAAAAATGACCATGATATATTCTTGCGCTCCAGCTATTTCGTTTTCATTTACTCTGTCGTGTTTTTGTCGACTAGAATGTTCTCCAAAGTTCTTGTATACTTGACTCGTTCGCGGCTTCGTCTTCTGCTCGAGTACTTAGATAGTATGAACCAGGCCAGTCAAACCGACTCGCGCCTTCCAGTCACACCACCCATCTCTCAAGTTTCAAGCATTCAAGTCCTTCTGATTCGAGACAGTAAGTGGTATAGCTCTGCACATTGTGAGATTAGCTTAGAACATCCAACAGGTGCGAGGGTACATACATATACCAGCCATGCTAGATGCGGTTGTGGAAGTAAGCCCTTGGGATCCTTACCAACGTGTAAGTTGGTGTTTGAACCAAACCGTCAAAGTTCAAAATACGGAAGGTGTCGTCTAGTATGCTCCTGTCAAGACAAGCCCGCCGGTGAACATTGAAATGGACTGTGACGCCAGTAGGGTGAAAACGTTGACTGCGCGGGGATACTACATACCAATATCATTGAGGAAGGCCTGGATGGCTCAGGTCATATTGGTCCAAGGCATTCTCCATAGTATGACTGCGTGCACAGGACCGATGTCAACACCAGTAAGTACTGTTCTAATTTGATTGGGTGTTACCACAGCAAGTGGAGATGTCAGACCGGGGCGGACTCTGGGCTAGATATCCTGGGATTGAAACTTCTTGCGGAGCATGCCCAGATTAAATTGATCCAATCAAACGAAGACCGGCTGTGGGCGATCGAGCCCCGCGATATCTAACCTACGGTATGTAATTTGCTTCTGTCGAAGACATACTTATTGATAGTTGGTATAGAGACCACGTTTCTCAAGCACCGCATAAAGTAGCTGCAGCTGGAGTCTCACTTCTGCTAGGCTTCTATCTTTTCATGTGAAGAGGTCACGTACTGCTGCTGGCATCGACGTCCAAAGACGAGTAATGGTCTTGCTTGTTGTATCCAAGATCATGCCACGATTTATAACGTAATGACTCAAATATGGTGTGTGATGTCCTGCTTTACTCTGCCTTCAACTTGAAATTTTCCTGATCGAAAATGCTGTTCGCTATTGTTCCCTTGGGGTCGCTGACACCCACCTTGCATACGTAGGTTCGGTCTTCATAGTCATGATTATCTCAGGATGCTGCTCTGCACATGTACATGCGATTTCCATATTGCACGTTCACGATAACACTGCACTGCCTTCAAATAAGTCATCGAACAAAACGCCGCCTGCCCTAATTGGCGACCCTCAAGAGTAGCCAAATTCTGGTGAGACATTTCTGCAATTATCAAGGCAGTGGAGTGTGCTTCCAGTGGGCCGAATCATTTATAGTTTTCTCAGCTACCTTGCATAAACGATGCGGTTACATGCACTTCCACAAAGGCTCTCAAGCATGTAAGTGCAATGAGTGGACTACGTGTTCTTTTTTTTCATACATTCCTTCCGCTCAGGTCTCTTGCTACTGGTGCACGCTGTCATGATAGTCGCTGGAGTAAACTTTACCCAGTGTCTCAACGACATCATTCAGAGTGCAAATGCTACCAAAAATTTATCTGGTTTACTCGACAGTGACGGACATCCTGTGTCGAGTGTTGCTAATGCGACATCGATCAGCTACTCGTTGTGCACATCCCACTGCGGGACTGGACAGGAACCTTTCCAGTGGTCTGTGTTTTCGCAAGAATTTAGTGCGTGGCTGCTGCCAAATCTTGCACTGATTTCGCAGCTTCCCTTTGGGGCACAGTACAGGGTCGACAATCTCATGTCTGCTCTGTTAACTGTTGGGTCACCGGCACTTGCTGGTTACTCTCTATTCATCACCCTCCTTAATTCTCGCTGGATCAACCGCCGATTTAATCACTCGGTAGACCATCCTAATTCACGTTTCGCGGTCTCCATCTTGAGCAGCCTTCAGCAAGTCCCACTAAGATTTCATCCTGACCGCACACACTTATACTCCCTCATTGCCCTTCCGGAAAACGATTCCTGGTGGAAATGTCTCGCTGAATTTGTTGACTACACCCATACGTGGTCCATTGCGTCCGCAACCTCCATTGCATGGGTCATTATCGCCTATATCCTGACCGTAGCCAACTCACTATCGGATGTTTACGCAGACGTTCAATCCAATGGAGAGGCCTCTGGCTCAATGTGGCTGTGGTTAATTCCAATAGTCGTCGGATGGCTACAGCTCTCCCCGAAATGCGATTTCAATCGCTTACAAGCGGCTTATGAGCGTGCAGACAAACACGCTTTGCGCACAGGAGCAGCAGATATTCGTACAAGAATGCCACTTGCATCATCCCGGAGAGCTTTAGCAATCACTGCTAAGGAGGAGGATGTCATGTCCCCAGACGAATTCCTCACCCCTCCAATATTTAATTACTCGCGTTCGCTGCGATGGGCATCTACAGCAGAGACCATCTGCCTGGTGTTCAAAGTGGCATCAGAGAAGGCTCATAGTCTTCCCTCTGATCTTGGGAGTGAGCGTGCAGAGTTTGACACTGCCATCCAGTCTGACACTACCCGAGACACCGACGACCGCGAGTCCTGCCAAGATCCCATCATGTACTGCGCGCAACCCGGCGAGGCTCAGAGCAGCCACTGGGCACCTGGCGTGTTCACAAGAATGGCTATCGCTTCCTGCGCTTCGCTTGCATTACAATGGGGAACAGTCGGAGCAGCTCTTCTGGTGGGCTGGTTCACTCCTACAACAGTGTGTTTCTTCCTGTATGCCTGTGGTTTGTTGGCTAACGTCAGGTAGGAAATGGGGTGTCGAGCTATGGGTTATCTCCTTTACGGAGTCATATCGACTTTGATTTGGATGATGCTCTTGATGTCCAGTATTCTCGCCCACTACTCCGCAGCTTATTCCCATCGGAAATCATTATCTGCACGTGTTGCTCTGGCGTTGTCACACTTCCTGCGATGGATGGGCAAACTGTGGGCCGTTATCAACTTTTTTTTGGTGGTCTTGGCATGTATATTTCAGTATTCCAACTTCTATGATAGATGTTTCTGTAATTCCAGCGTATTTAGCAGGCGAGGCGCAGCGTACACTGTGATCATCGAGACTGCAGCCCAAGCTGGACGGGCTAAGACTGCCTGGATCGTTGCCCTTGTCCTAGCGTGTACATCAGCATCATCCTTCCTTGGTGTCGTGTACCTTTTATTAGACACTGTTCCGTCGTAGAAGCCACTTCTGTTGAAAGACATAGTCTCATGTAGAAGTAATCACAGCTTTTTCTTGGTATCCTTCTAATGCCGTGATGTTGACGGAGTTGACATGCAGGCCATCACTAGGTAAAGCCACACCATGCATTCATACATGTGTCTAGACCGGAAGTCGTACCAAGCGTTGACTATTCGGACATGCATGAGTGTGTTAATGCTATCCTAGCTTGGTTACACACATTTCCTACGCGGTTCAACCATCACAATCATCAGAACGCATCGCGGTAATGAGTGATCTCAACACCAGAAGAGTGAGCAAAAGACAATGCACTGGGCTTCTGTGATCGTGTTATCACGACTTCGATGACATCAGATGCGAGGCATGCGCTGCGGACGATATGCAGAACAAATTTTTCCAGCGCGAGGCATGCAGTATTTGCAATTTCCTATCATGGTGATATTCAGTATCGTCGCTCTTCAGGAAGTGACGGGAGAAAGAGAGGACGCGCCTCTGATATCTGTTTGATGATTGCAGGGTAGTCCACTCGGTGCATACCAGGTTTCTCGTAGAATGTGATCTTTGTGATTACCCTCTGCTTTGCGAGGCATTCAGGGGGATTGACACCAATCAGCACGGGCATGATGAGGTCTTTGACAGATACCCTTGCAGCCTGCTGCAGACTGTCTTTGCCTTTGGGTGTAATCACCTCAACCTCGAATGCTCCAGGCAACCTTGGACAAATTCCATTCTGTCACCTACTACAAACGGCTTCGTCGAATTCCGAAGTGACACTTCATCAATATTGGTTCGCACAATACTACGCGTTGGTGGAGTGGTCCAAGTCACATGTACTATACAGCAACGACAGCCTGACTTTGAGGAGCACCAAAAGTTGCAAACGGAAACATCGCTTCCCTGAAGTTAACCACCTGCTTGGTGAACTGGCACGCAGCAAACCCAAAGAAGAAAACGAGCCCGCCATCCAGCCTGTCGTATGGTAATATCATGTCTTGTGCCGGCCACCCCTGCAGTGCTAGTTACTGCGGGAGGTGTGGTGGATGCCGTGGCAGTGGCAGGCGGTTGCTGTGATGATGACAGATTACTTTGAGTCGCTCCTCCGCTTGGTTGCTGCGTGGTAGGAGGTTTGGTAGGTCGAGAGGAACTTGCAGAGGGCTTCTTTGTTGCATGATAATTTCTCTGCGTCGACATGAGACACTGATAAAGAATTTAGAAGTAAAAAACGCACAGGCTTGCCCGCTGTTAACGGGACCTCGACTATTGGTGGCAACTGGACGTTTGATCCATCTCGTCTGCGTACCATACCAGATATGAGATTTTGAGCCCAGCTGAGAGGGGTGTGAGATTGGCGTGGTGCGGCATTGGGCCCGCGTGATGGCAAGGACTGTTAGCGTATTTCTTAAAGGAACCGCAACAGAAATTATATATGGGGTCACATACATCATTAAAAAACCCTTGGGGTATGCGACGATGGCCTTCAATTTTCGGGGCTCGTCGTCGTGTAGCATCAGCCTAGGGTGCACATACTCAAAGTCATGCAGCAGGTCAAAGAAAATATCAAATACATTCGACATTGATTTGTTGACAGTATTCTGCGATGACAAGATTAGTGAGTACTAAGGTTGGCGGAGAGACTTGACACAACATACCACCTGAAAGATATGTTGTCAGTGTGATTGAGATTGGGATGCATCAGAGCTTACATTGTCCGACAAGAGGCTATCGAGACCAGCTTCTTTGATGATGGCAGATACGTCCCATGTGTATATGCGGCCGTCGTCGCAACCACTGGCGAGGAACCTTCCATCTCCAGAAAATACCACGTCTCCCACCATCCCTTCATGGTAGAGGGGTGGCCCGACTATCTTATCGTTTTCGAGGTCCCATAGTCGTGCTGTTTTCTGGTTTGATGCGCTTGCGAGGATGCGCTCATTTACAGATAATGAAATATAATTGACTCTGCTGTGCCCCTTGATAGAAGCAGTTTCGGTCCAAGTAGCAACATCAACCTTCTTGATTCCGCCGTCAATGATGGAGATAAGTGTCTTTCCATTCATGTCAGAAGTCCATGCCATGCGCCAAACTTTTCCCTCGATTGTTTTGAGTAGTTCGCCTGTGTTGGCATCCCATATTTTCAGCTGGTGTCCGTTCGTCGCAAGCATTGTACCGTCGGGAGAATAGCTAACAAAGACGGGCATGTTTGATGTTGCCTTGATTGGTCCAAGGATTATGTCTCCACTCTTGGCATTCCACACTCTCAATGTATGATCCAGGGATCCGCTCGCTACTCGCCCTCCGTCTGGACTCCAACACACAGACCACACAAGTTTTGTGTGGCCGGTCCATTTGTTGACAACCTTACCCGTGTGAATGTCCCACAATCTCACTGCACCATCTGCACTCCCGCTTGCTACCGTCGTACCATCTGGCGACAATGAGATGGTGCGGATTACTCCACTTCCTTCGTCCTTCCAGGAACCCCCAACCTGTGTACCGCTCTCCAAGTCCCAGACTCGAATCGAACCATCTTGTGAAGAGGTAAGGATCCGCGGTCGGCGACTGGGCAGCCGGAGGATACCAGTGATGAGTCCAGTCGCGTGTCCTGACATCTTTCTGATAGGCTTTATCACTGGTTTGTCCTGCTTTGCAGTGGCTGTTGAAGACATGATTTTGGCTCGGAGGCGTCACCTAATGAGCACAGGACGATTTCAGCTCTGACCCATCAAACGAATGCCATCACTCACTCAAAAAATCGTATCCAGAATTAAATTTAAATGAAACGCATGTAGGGTGAGAGCTGCAGTGGAGTGAACGTTTCATTCAACGCAGCGTTGAATCAGGAGGGATGTTGCTATTTCAGTCCTCAGGTGCGTCTTTCATGTTGTATCCTCGTGTTTTGATTCACAGCGTGAGCATGCTGGCATGCAGATTAAGCGCCCAAAGTCTTGTTTTCTCATATTGTCTCTTCGACGATCTCAACCTTGAAGTAAGCTCGCATGATACAGTGCGGACGCCATTGGTTCTATCCAGTAGAGCTCCTGAAATAATCAAGGAAGGTCGTCGTGATAATTGCATATGCGAGTGTGTGTAATTGATCGCCATCTTTTTTGAACCCGAGACTCGGAGATCCGCTTCGGGTATCTCATTTTGTTGTTGGTGAGCTTTACACAATCCTGGTCCCTGAAGCTGATTAACCATCTTGAAGATGCTACAGTTTTATTCAGACTGCTCCTCTCCTATAATTCAATACCTTACACATGTCCAGATGATCGGAGAACAATGATTTCTCTTATTCCACTGGTATACAAAGCTATATGTATGTGCGGTATGTGACCCGCTATTTCAACAACAATTAAGATTGACGCAGTAACAATATTCATGTACATACGTTCTTGCACGATCGCGTGGCTCATTCATCTTCAATGTAGAGTTTTGCGGTCTAGTTTGCGGTCATCTTGATGCCAACAAAACACGTCACCAACTTCCAACTTTGATCCTTTGACTCGCAATCTTTCTTTGGTCCTTGATTCCATGCTTTCTCACCACAAGCGCAGACGAACGATTTTCGATTACTCATGCAAGTACATCTTTGTAGTGCCGAAAGTGGGTCTTCGCAGGTCGTTCAACTTGCTAACTCTATTTCTTATGTATGGCACGTCATTCAAGTCTATCGTGACAACGACAGCCATGCTAGCAATAGCTAGTGGTGATGATATTCGTATTATGGTTCATCTGGGTAAACAAGAAGTGATATTCTATGCGACTGACTAAATCTGTCTTTCATTCTGTAGCAGGAGATACTCGATGTGATATTTCTGCGTCCCTAATATTAACCACCTGTGTTCTGAATGGGCACGCAACAAACCCAGAGCAGAAACCGAGCCCGCCATCCGGCTCGTTTTATGGTAATGTCAGGATGCGAGGTTCTGGCTGCTGTTGCAGTGCCGGTAACCACTGGAGGCGTCGTGGATGCCGTGGCAGGTGGTTGCTGTGATAATGGCAGATTGGTTTGGGTCGCTCCGCCATTTTGTTGTTGCGTAGTAGAAAGTTTGGTGGGCCGAGAGGAGCTCCCAGAGGACTTCTGTCCTGCATGATAGTTCCTCTGTTTCAAATGTGTTACCTAGTGATAAAGAACCCATAAAGGAACCAATGTACCGGTTTACCCGCTGTTAACGGGACCTTGACTTCTAGTGGCAACTGGATAGCCGATCCATCTCGCCTACGCAGCATTACAGAGATGAAATTTCGAACAAGGCTGAAAGGGTTGTGGGAGGGTAGACGACCAGGCTGGTAGATTCGCGTAGTGCTGCAGTATGGTGACCGCGTGATATTGACGACTGTCAGCACATTGGTCAATAGAAGTGATCGAGTATAGAAGGTCACGTACATTAACATTACGTGGTTCGTCATCAAAAAATCCTGGTGGTATTCGACGAACACTTTCAACTTTGGGTGCTCGTCGTTGTGTAGCATTAGACTAGGATATAGATACTCAAAGTCGTATAATATGTCAAGAAGGATATAACATACATCTGTGGATGGCTCATTAACGGCCTGCTGTGATGAACGAAGATCAGTGAGCGACACTGTGGAGGAAGAGATCTCATGCAACAAACCTCCTGGAAGGAAGGCAGATTTGTTATCAGTGTGATTTGGGATGAAATATACGCAAGCTTACTGCAGTTAGGAGGTCATTGAGTCCAGCTTTGATAAGGATAGCAGAGACATCCCATACGTATATATGGCCGGAGCTGCAGCCAGCCATGAGGAAGCTACCATCTGCAGCGAACACGACAATGGACACCTTCTCTTTATCTTCGTGGTGAAGGAGCGGCCCGATGGGCTGATGGTTTTCAAGGTTCCATAGTTGTATTAGGTCAGTGTCACCAGACTCTATGCTTGCAAGGATACGTTCATTCGGAGACAATACGGTGTCCACTGGAAGGGGACCAGGCCGGGGAAACCATTCATCGTTGATTTCAGTCCAGGTAGCAGTGTTGAGCCTCTTGGTCCCGATCATAAGTGTGTTTCCATCCGAGGCCCATGCCATCCCTCCAACATTACCGCGAGCCGTGAGTGTTTTGAGCAGTTTGCCTGTGTTGGCATCTCGGACTGTCCGAGTTAGTTTCGGCGGCGCGAATCCTTGATTTTGAATGGAGATCATCTTGCCATCAGTTGAGTAGCGAATGCTGGTTATCATCTGCCCAACATTGATTGGTCCGAGGATGGTCTTTCCGCTCTGGACATTCCACACTCTGAACATCCCATCCAGGGATCCGCTCACCAATCGCCCTCCGTCTGGACTCCAGCAAACAGACACCACCGCGAGTAGGTCTGAGTCGCTAGGAGCCATGTACTTTGTCAATTTCTTGATGACCTTGCTCCTGTTAACTTCCCACAATCTCACTATGCCATCCATACACCCGCATGCAATTGTCTTGCCATCTGGCGACAACGCTATGGAAAATATTCCCTCATTCTTTCCTTCGTCCTTCCACTCCCCGACATGGATGCCGTTCCCCAAGTCCCAGACTCGAAGTGAGCTAGATTCGACTGAACAGGTGATGATCTGCTGTGTATTTGGTAGCTCTATGACGCCATTCACGGGTTGAGTGTTTCCTTGGAGATGCATCTTTTGGCGAGGTTTTGTGATGGCTGGTGAGGACATGATGTCGACTTGGGGAAGGCTTCAACCAATGGTCCAGGGCGTTATCCTCACGAATGCTATCACTTACTCGGAGGTACTTTTTTCGCACACAGAACGAATGTGGAATGAAAACTGCAACGAAGTGAACTTTTTCTCGACACAGAGTTGAGGAGGTCGTCCTCTACAGGTTCGCGAATCGTCACGGCCTTCCTTTAAGAGCTGAGCGCGAGTTGTGCAGATCAAGCGCCCAAGTCCTCCCACGACATGAGCGACTTCTTATTCACACCCCAGCATCGCATCTAGTAGTGCTGAGCCTGCTATCAAGCAAATCCTCATTCCTCTGTTTCACAATTTGCTCAATACGATTTTCTGGTCTTAATCTCTGCTCCCACGCTATACATCCGCTCAGAGTCGAATAAGATGACCAGATACCTCGCACCTGCTCCGATCCTTGTTCTCAATGTCCTATTCTAGTTCTTCATTATGACTGCCCTAATAGCAGCATGAAATTCCTGACCATCTTGCTCCATGATTCATGCTAATTACCCTGGTCTCTATCCCTGATGAATCGCTGGTCACGCTATGGTCAAAGAACTGAGTGAGCTCTACCGTACTGGCTTGGTGGTTGCTTAGGTTCGTACGCGCTTCTGTCTGAACAGCCATAGGAGATCTCATGCAGAACCCGTGCCAAATGCAGGTGAAAAGGACAGGGTTGTTTATGTGTCAGTCGATAGTTATCATACTTCGAACGTTGATGACCACTGGAGCGGATGATCCAGAACTTCAAGACTCATTACCAGCATCCACAAACATGTGTATCCATCTCTGAAAAAACCAGCGTGTGGGGGTATGTCTCTGCTTCTCCAAATCTCAGCATTATGTATTCGACTGACACACAATGGCCACGAAGATGGTAAGAAGTCATGCTGTCTTGAATGCTTCCGAATTCGCAAGTCTGCACACAGTTCAAGACATTGTTGTCTTCGTATATATGGCAGTGCAGATCATCATGTCATGCGTTATTTCCTGGTGTGGTATATGTTCCCACCAAGAGCGCAGATTCTGTCCAGGTTCGTATCCCAAACTTTCAAATAAGCCTATCTGTCGCGATCGTCATACCACCTGGTATGTAGCAAATCTCCCACACGCCGTAGTCGCTTTCTGCCTTGGTCTGGTGCTGTTCCATCTAACGCTAATCATTATCGTCCCCTTATAACTGTTTTGCGTGTTTGCATGTTTTGGGTTATGCGCTGATCAGGTCGCTGCCAGGTCAAATCCACCCTATCCTAGCATCGCCCTGATTCGTGTCCAAGATCGAGTCGGTAGTCCGAGTCAGATCTCACAACAAAAGCAGTTTTCGTCCCGCGCACAAACAAAGCAACCAAGATCACAGTAAATCATAGTGATATAATTTCCTGTGGTGGTGCTGTCATTTTCATATTATGGCTACGTGGCAGCTAAATTCGCAACATTGTTTGGCATTGAAATCGGAAGGAGTGTAATGTTTTAATTGGCAAGAGAGGTCCCTCTTCCGGGGTCCCGTCGTGATACACCGTATTCCATGTTATCAATAACTCCAGGCCAGGTTCGTCAAACACTGCGTGATCGCACCGACTCGTCTTGGCATCGAACCGCATATATAAACGGAGATCTGCCAGTCCTAGTATAAAGGACTGAAGAAGCTGTGCACGCGTGCTTCTCTGAAGGATAGCCCCACAATTCGCCACCGGTCATCCAGTCATGGCTTTGAGTACTATTGCCGAAGAAGCGAGCTTCAAGGACAATAATTGTGTCCAGACTGTCAATATAGACTGCCCACTGGCAGAACCACAGATGCAGCCTTACCGGAGGACAGTCGATAGCCCCGCCGTACGTATTCCATGCTTTACTCATGGCGTATCCACATCATTAAATTGTCACCCAGGCAATTTTGGGCTTGATATCCTTGGGTACTGTCTTCCTGTCTTTGTCAATACCGACGCTCGCCTTCAGGAGCGTCAACCCACCCAGCTTGATCGTAGTGATCGCCACCTTGTCAGTTCCAATATACACAAATGATCCTGATTTTGACATGGTCATTTCCAGTTACGGCGGCATCTCGCAAACAATTGTGGCCATATGGGAGATATCCCTTGGGTAAGTTTCCAATATCTGTATAGAGAGAGCTACCGCCAATTTTTTTCGAAGCAATACTTTCAGCGCAACAGTTTTTGCTACCTATGGAGGTTTCGATTTCGTATATAGTGCTATCTGTTTACCTCGAATCAGCCTTGCGTATGTTGTCAGCAAGCTTTGCTACGTCTCTTCCCTAACATAACCGCAGGGGCGGGGCCGTCGGGCAGCAGTTCTACAACGCCATCGGCATTTACCTCGGCATCTGGGGCTCGACTATATTTCTTCTCCTGTGAGTCCGAGGTAGTATACTGTGTGGATATATTTTTAATAATACTCATAGCCTTGGTGCACTTCAAACCAATATACCCTACATTGCAACGCACGCATTTATTGTTTGTGCGCTCGCTTGTCTTTCCTTGAACGCTTTCACTGGTACGTTTGCATCCGTCTGGTTATTTTTATCTGATGTCCCCGCAGGCAACCCGCAATTGGCAATTGCAGGTGGTGCCCTGGGTATCGCCGCTTCCTTCGGAGCATACTACAGCGCATTTTCACTCTTCTGGACACACCACACCACATCATCTCATTCTCATTCTCATTCATTCACTTCCCTCTCATGAAGGCCCCTGTCAACGTCTAGGCGCTAGAGTCCTCGGCAGAACGTTCTTCTCCTGTGTGATTTTGATATGGTCTTCAACTTGCACTGGATTTGCTGTTGAAATAGTGGTGGGAGATGAAAAAGTAGAGTCCTCAGATTATTGAATCGATCAGTTTTTGTACTAGTATATTGGCTACACTCATGTGAAAAGCACGGGTGTCGGAGCCGCAGTTTTGCTCGGGCATTTACCCAATGGTCACGAAATTTGGCAAACGTTGATCAAAAATTGCCATTCCTCAGAAAGACTTATTAGTCCACAGATCCGAAATGAATGCTGTAATGGACCGAACATTTGCTCGAAGTGTTGAGCCCAAGTTGAGTCAGGAGGTCGACTATCTAGGTTGGGATAGCGACTAGGGTAGCCTCCTGTTCGTTTCACGGCTTGACCACGGGCTGTGCCGTGACAGATATATAAGCGCCCAGCTCTCGTTTTCGTACGTGCTTAGAAATCGGATCCCAACTTGTTGTCGCACTGAGGGAAATCTCTCAAATCAGCTACCAGATAGGAAGCCATGATGTTTTTGCCTCCGCTCGGGAGGGGCCAAATGACATTTGACATTTCCCAACATTGTCACCGAATGCTCACCGAACCAGGCGACATGCTCGATGTCACTGACAATAATTCGACGCCCTTCCATCTGTTGACTTGCGCTCTACTGACATGATTGTGGCATAGTGAGCCTTTTTTGGTTATGCCACTTGTGATGAAGATGCTGATATGATGCAGCTGTAGGAGGTGTTTGGTGGCGAAGTCGCTTCGGACAATTGATTTGATTTTGCCTTCGGTTGGGTTCTATTTGAACTTGCGCACTGAAGTCAGTACTTCTTTTGTCATCATTTGCCTGTTCACCTTTGCTCGCCAGATGACCTGGTCAACCCAGACTTTATAATATTGAAGACACATGGTATCATTCCTTCTGGCTGCTCTGAGTAGAGCTTACTTTGGTATCTAACGCTTCGCCTTGCCCTATAAAAGTGAATAGAAAACCTCGAGACTCCCATCATCTCAGGTTACACGAGACATCTGCATCAAACAGTTACTCTACAATGAAGTGTATTTTAATTGTCACTTTTCTCTCTGCATTCGCCCTCCCAGTGTTCGCAGACTCCGTTTTTGTCGTACCGAACGCTAATTACAGCAATCCCCACACGTCCCTCTCTAACGTCACCTGCTCGCGTTTGGCACCGCGTTACGCCAACTTCTCCTCCATACCTTCCTTTCCCAACATTGGAGGTATCCCAGGTGTCGCCTCGAACCCCACCTTATGCGGCTCCTGCTGGAGCCTCACGCCCGCCCCACCCTGCAACAGCCTAACTCCCCTCTACTTCACTGTTATTGATGACGATACCAATAATATCGTTGACGCTGCCAAACACGTTAATACTACCATATACGCTATCTCCCTGCAGGCGTACGGTAACTTGACTCACGCGTCCTGCCATGTGGACGCTGTTTATGCTGAAGCCGCTCAGGTCCATGCTAGTATGTGTGGCATGTAGAGGCGAGTGTATTTTGTCCTCTTTGTTTTGCAACATACTAGAGCTTTGATTTGATCTTTAGCCCGTATGAGCTGTTGTACTAGATGGTACTGAGACTGGGAATGGTTGATGTCATCGGAGAAGATCTGCATAGAGTTTTTTGGTTGTTGCTTATATGTTGTGGTTGGAAAGTGTGTTTTACAGATTGTCCGCATTTGTCACACTCGATAGTAGGATCAAATGCACCGCTAATTCCGTTTCTTGTATTCAATCATACTAGGACACATCTGGAAAGACAGCAACGCCAATCAGTTCGTATAATCGTTTTGCAACTTCAATTGCTCGCTACTTTACACCTCGAAATTGCTCCAACTTGTGGTGCTACATCCAAGCTATCTCTATATTGAACGTTTGCGCCAAGACCAGCACATACAAGGCAACTTATTTCTTTCCGCTGAGGGCAGTACTTGGAATAACGTCGTCTACCTGTATGGTGCAGACCTGTGCATGCAAAACATTTGCTAGATCTAGATAAAATGGATGAAACAGCGAGCCGAGAGGTAATGTTAGGTCATTGATACTCATCTCAGAAAGACTAGCGAGATGTTGAAGTCGGCCCTGTGATTTCACGAAAAACTTGAAGTAACCAGCATACTTGGCGCAATCAAAAGAACCAATTTTCGTATACCACCCGGTGATACTCCCTCTGGGCAACATGAACGAGCAACTGAAAGGGCGACATCAAAGAAGCGGATAGCGCTGTACACATACATAATCGTAATACACCATGTCATACAAAATAGGGCATTGTATTCTGCAGGTAAAACCGTTAACGTATGTTCCGATAGCCTTCTGGGGAGCGAGTATCTACTCACCATCTTTTTTGTTTGCATCCCCTTATCTCTCTCGTTCTCGGGGGCAGCATCATAAACAGTAAAATCTCTACTCCATCTTCCTTTATTGTTAGTATTGACGCCATGTTACCGCATCGGTAGCAGTAATTTGGTGCAGACCACACGGTAACGAGTTGGTCATCAAACATGTATTTATACCCTTCTTGCACGAGCTGATGTGCACGAGCGATGAGACCCAAAGAGTTAACATGATTGAACTAAGAAAGATCAGGGTGACATTTGGATTATACGGATAGATCGACGAACCTCTCGCGTCACAGTTCTGCCAAATAGCCAACCAGCTCCACGTGGACTGACAGCCCAAGTGTCTATATCTTCCGGATCAGACCACATGAGGTCTGCAAAGGTAAATCAGGAGGAGCCGAGTGAACATTAATAAGTTCTGACCACAGAAGGCACCTTCATGAGGGATTTCCTGGGCACGCGAGAGGACACGAATTTGATCTAGAGTTCGAATGTCTGGTGATAAGCCACCATGCACGCACAAAGTCTCTCCGTCTATTATCTATAGAAGACTTGAGCGTTTACAGGACATATTGGAGCAGAACTTACAGCGGCAAGATTGAGAAAATCGAATACACTGCAACATGCCTTCCAAACAGCAGCACTACCGTACTTTTGTTGGCATTCATCTACGCAACACATTATCAGTACTATCAGAAACGTAGCACTGCGCTGACGAGCATCACCATAAAATCCATACACCTGTGTGATTTGTCTACTTTCATGGTTTCCGCGGAGGAGAGTGACTTTATCTGGGTATCTAGAAAAATTCAATACAGATGCAACGATTGGCTATCGATGACAATACCGAGCTTTCAGTGCCAGCAGCAAGGATACGGTCTCCAAACTATAATGCCCTCTGTCGACAAAGTCACCCTGATCGACATTAAGCATGTTCAACCCTCGAATCAAAAGCACACATACGTGCCATAAAAATATAACTCGTCTCTGGGACCTGTCCACCCTTTCGTAGCAACTCGAGCAAGTCCCAGAACTGACCGTGAATGTCGCCGCAAATTGTGACTGGACTCGAAACGGGCTGAATATTCGACTCTTCCATGAGTATGGCGCGAACACGGTCGCAAAGGACTTTCATATCGGGTTCTGGGAGGTGGCGGCATTCCATGAGTTGGTCTATCCATTTATCGGGGTTATAAGAGAACATGTCGATAATACGGAAATATTAAAGCTTGATTTATTGTCGTATTTGACTCGGTGTTGCAAGTGCTGTAGAATATATTAGCTGAAGGATCGTGCGGGAGGTTTAGGTGCTCACCGAGGCCCAGGGGGTCGTGAGAAAGCAAGTACTAACCTGCAACTTGCGCAAGCCTGAGTAAATTACTGAAGTGCAACATATATACGTCCCAGGCCTACATACGTGCTCTCACCACTTATTACCCTCTGGCGACACCAAAATCCATCAGTCTACGCGAATTTGAAGCCTTTCTTCCATGCGCTGCCTGCGCCAGCTCTTTCTCGTTTCGCTGGGTGTCACAGCATGGGCTCTACACGAATCTGATGTGGGTGTGGTGGATTGGAATACGGAATTGATCGGCGTACCACTGCATGGCTCTCCACATACTGCACCTACATTCCATGGTGATTATGTTCTGACTGCTACAAGCAACAATGTATTGGCAGCATTGAACGCCACAGATGGCTCTATAGGTGTGCATGTGTGCCCTGACATTCTGACTCTGACTTCACTGACGTGTTCGCAGTATGGAGAAGTATATATGATGCGGAGGATCCGATCATGGCTTTCAGCCACCATGATAAGAGTGCGTCATAATGCCGATTTCAAGTGTATCTACGAGTCAAACATGGTACTAGGCGTATCTTCTCTATCTGGACCGGGAGGGTCAACTTTGCGCACGTACGACTTGGAAACTGGCCATCTCATATTGGAGAAACAACTACACAGCTTGGTAGATGGACGACTCCACGAACCTCAAAATCTTGGAATTTCGCTATTGCGCTCTACTGACCCCTCCCTCAACTCAACGGCATATTTCGCACTGACAAATGGAGACTCTGTCACTCATCTGGATGAGACTGGGAACATTCTGTGGACTTGGAACTCTCCCTGATCAAGGGTGTGTTGTTTGTATTATACGGTCTTCATCTCATTGATATCAAATAAACAGGTCCTTGGTCTTGTATTCTCACATCATTGCTGATCCGTCAACGATGTATGTCGTGGGGTTCGCGAAATCATTTGCATCCTACACTTTGCACGTAACGACCCTGTCAGTAACCACGGGCAAAATCATTGCGTCTGTCAACATTCCTGCAAACATAAAAGATGAGCGATCCAAATTCGTTGCTGTTAGCTCCCAGACAGGACCTACAACTACTGCCTGTGTCAACTGGCTTGAAGGCGATGTTCTTAAAGCTGCTGTATTAGCGCCTGATCTGAAGGGTCAAATTATGGCTCTTCCGGGTGTCAAATACGATAGGATTAGTGACTTTGGCCTTTCGACCAATGGTCAGTTCCTCGCCATCAAGGAAGGAGGTGCTGCGCACGTTATGCATTTTGACGCACAGGCATCTTCACTTCGACCAATCTGGGAATTCAGGTGACGCGGTATGTTTCACATTTTATGCCTATATCACGATTTACTAAGGGCTATTCCAGGCCCCTTCGCAGGCGCAATCGGATTCTCATTTTGTGGGAAGCCTTAACCGAGATGGCCAACCGCGAGTTGCGCGCGTTTATTGGTCGAACTCTCACAGTGTAAGATCTTTCTAGTATCTGCTGGTGTTTCTCATTTAACTAGAAATGTAGAAAGCTATCCACCAGTCTCTTGCCATTCACTTATCTGAGGGCAAGGCTTCAGCCTCTGGTTTTGCGTTTCCCTTCCAGACGCTTGACCATGGTGTCATCCGGCATGTGAGTCCACTCTATCAGTCATTCCTGGGTCAGATCTTATATAGATATTAGGTGGCATTTGACGGCTCAAGCACTAGCGAAACACATGAGAATACTCGCACGTTACTGACCACCACGACAGGCTCGATACAGCTTTGGCAACATGACAAAATGCAGTGGGTTCGAGAAGAAGCACTGGCATCCATCCAAGTCGCAGAGTTTGTAGAACTTCCTGAGAAGAAGGTTGTCATGTCTCATGCTGCTGTGGATGAGGAAGGCTACTTTGAGCGGCTTCAACGTCAGTTATCTGACGCCAAGGTACAAGGTTCGCGTATACTCAAGTCGCTCATGCTAAATAGTTTTTCAAGAACCTTCCTCAATACTTGGCAAACTTTGCTAGACGCTTTGCGACTGGTTCATATGCTACTGCGACTACGTCAGCTGCATTTTCCTCAGATGAGGATACGCTCACGCGCGACGCTTTCGGCTTCCGACAGATCATAGTGGCAGCTACATCGTATGGGAAAATCTTCGGCATTGACTCTAGCAATGGTCGAGTCTTATGGAGTCGCGTGCTTGGCCTTGGTTGGGCAGCGAAGGTTGGTGGGACAATAATCCCTACCAAAATTTTCGTCACACGGACAGTGAGCGATCCAGAAGGACCTCAAATAGTGCTCGTCACACAACGTCGGGCTGACAATGTGAGCCACATTCTTGTTCCAGCCAAGATTTATGTTGACGCAGCTCAGTCTCTCGTTGACACTGTGCTATTCCATGTGAATGCACTTACGGGAGACGACGTCAGGGAGGAGTACCAGTCTATTCCTAGAGCTGCCTTGGAAGGCCTCGATGCTGTAATGGGCCCATTAGTCGATGTTTTCATGCTACCCAACGAGAACCGGACCATAGTCATGCTCGATGAATACCTCCAAGTGTGTTGTGTTCCTTTGCTTTAATCTGCAAGTCTAATGGTCAATAGGCGCGCCTTTATCCAGACACTCCATTGGCTCTGGCCGAGTTTGAGTCATTCGTCCCGTCCATACATCTCGCTCTCCGCGCGGAAGTTCCTGGCCAGCGCCAGATCTTGGGCCACCAACTCGCCCTCAATCTCGAGCTATCTCAGTTCTATGTTGCCTATCCCACATGGACACTTTCGCTACCGCCAGAAGAGGAAATTCGCGCCATCATTCCGAACACACGCGGTCCCGTTGCATCGATCGGAAAGGTCCTCGGAAACCGTATGACGCTGTACAAGTATCTCAACCCCCACCTGACATTGGTCCTCACATCTTTCCTGCCGTCCAGCACGTGTGGGATATATGTGCTGGACGTGATCAAAGGTAGTGTGATTTACCATGTCAGTGTCCCTGCTGCCGGTGGGGTATGCGACACGCAAGCGACCCTCACTGAGAACTGGCTGGTGTACCATTACTTTGACGATGAGTTTTCTGGGACTGGGCAGAGCAAAGGATATAGAGTCGTCTCTGTTGAGTTTTACGAGGGTGATGGACCAGATGACAAGACAAAAAGGTTGGTCTTTTACTGGTGTATTTCAGGCATGAGACTGATATTTTGATATAGCTCCGAGCTTTCGTCCTATTCCAACAAGACACTGCATATCAGCGCATACGAACAATCGTTCATCATGCCTCACGGCATCACTGCTATATCACCAACCTCGACGAAGTTTGGAGTATCAACGAAGGACATCATAGGTATGATCACCTTGTGACCGAGTAGTGTCTTTTTTTTAATGGTGATTGTGCAGTTGCAAATCGCAAGAACAGCATTCAGTCTATTCCTCGGCGATTGCTCAATCCAAGACGGCCAAAGCACAAGCCTACTAGCGAAGAGCAAGAGGAGATGCTCGTACAGTATGATGCTGTACTGCCGGACGATGCCCGACTCGTGCTCTCACACAACTACGAGGTTCGTTGCACGCTTTCGGTCCTCGAAGCTTGCAATACTCACGCGCTTTACAGGTCGCAAACGTCCGCCGCATAGTTACTTCTCCATCTCTTCTAGAGTCCACGTCGCTAGTCTTTGTCTACGGCCTGGACCTCTTCTTCACGCGCATTGCGCCTTCGGGCACGTTTGACGTTCTCAGTGAGAATTTTAATAAAGTGCAGCTTGTGCTGACGGTTGCTGGGCTGGGGATTGCGATTATGGTGACGAAGCCTATGGTGCGACGGAAACGGCTGCGCGAGCGTTGGTACCAGTAGACCTCACCATTGTACTTGTTCCGAAATATAAGATCGTGTGGACAGGTGGCCATGTATATTTTCCATGGGTCTGCAACGGATGCACCAATCATAGCATAATAGAATTGTGCATTATGACATCTGTTTTTCAGCCCTGTTCGGGGAGCCTGCATGTTTCGATCCAAGCTCCCGCACATTGATCAGGGATGAATTCTTCTACATATAATATCAAACAAGGAAGCAGGTATAATCCACTTTACAGCGAGCGGCGTAGCAAGCGCGGAAGGTGGGGTGCTGTTTCGGTACTACCGCAAGTTGCAAGACGGTGATTTACGGAGGGTAAGGTGGATGGTGTGGCTTATTTAAGACGGCAAACCATCAAACCAATCCTATGATAAAGTAAATTTGGAACTTGAACTAAGTTATGTTGTACAATGTATTACATCAGTATCAATGTATCTAACATCACAATCAATTAATTGCGCTCTTCATCCGTGAAGGTATGGTCGCAGTAGCCGACGTCTAAGTTTCGAAGTCTATATAATATGGCGAGCTCAGGACTATCAAATCTATTTTTAAGATCATGATCATCGATCGCAAAGCCTAGAAGTATCAATTTTACTGGTTGCAAGTCAGACTAATGGCTAGGAACTCACTCATCTCGGCACTTCTGCCAGTGTTGTCCATGTGCCATGCGGCTCAAATCAACCTCAGTTGGCCGGCTGTCCATCACCAATGTAGTCCAAGGAGTATTAAATGAATGACGGGAGGTAGGAGGCACCCAGAAAAGAAGCTGATGATCGGGTCCCACCATCCATCCATCAGCGCCCAGAGAAAAGGAGGGCGAGATATCATCATGATAGGAGGCGCCCTCCATTAACTCAGCCGGATTGCGCAGAGCGTGGTTCGGGTCCAGTGAAAAGCAAATGGAGCGATTGTTCCAAGTGTCGGTTGACATGATGTTGTCATTCGTGGCATGTATAGTGGGACTTCTATCTGAAGAGGACGCTGAATAATCATGCTTGGGGCACTCCTGTAATGGCTGCAAAATAGCTGCAGCATACCACAGCCGGATAGCGTCATCCACCGAACTAGACACAATGCGGGTCCCATCCGGCGAAAATGAGGCCGAGTTAACCCAAGCTGTGTGTCCCCGCAAGGGCTCACCAATCGGCTTCCCCGTCGCCACCTCCCACAATCGGACAGTGTTATCCAATGAACCAGACACAATGCAGGTCCCATTCGGCGAGAACGAGACCGAGTTAACCCAAGCAGTGTGCCCCCGCAAGGGCTCACCGACTGGCTGTCCCGAAGCAGCATCCCACAGTCGGAGGGTTCTGTCATACGAACCGGAAACGATGCGAGTCCCGTCCGGCGAGAACGATACTGAATTGACGGCACCTGTGTGCCCCCGCAGGGGCTCACCAAGTGGTTGTCCCGTTGCTGCATCCCAAAACCGAACGGTCTGATCGTCTGAACTAGACACAATGCGGGTCCCATCCGGCGAAAACGAGGCCGAGTTAACCCAAGCTGTGTGCCCCCGAAAGGGCTCCCCGAGTGGCTCCCCCATCGCTGTATCCCACAGTCGGACAGTGTTATCTGATGAACTAGACACAATGCGAGTCCCATCAGGAGAGAACGAGACCGAGTTAACCCAAGCAGTGTGCCCTCGAAAGGGCTCACCGAGGGGCAGCCCCGATACGGCATCCCACAGTCGAAGGGTCCTGTCATACGAACCGGAGACAATGTGAGTCCCGTCCGGCGAGAACGATACTGAATTGACGGCACCAGTGTGCCCGTGCAGGGGCTCACCCAGCGGCTGTCCCGTCACTGCATCCCACAGCCGGACAGTCCTATCCACCGAACCAGTCACAATGCGAGTCCCATCAGGAGAGAACGAGACTGATAACACCTTATCCGCATACCCTCCGACCAGGCTCTGAAGGGCCGGCCAGTTTAAATCACGCCCAGATACCAGACGGACGGTTCTGGGAAACTTTGCAGCGAATTTTGATATCGCAGATTCGACGGGCGAGAACGACAGCGCTGACACATAAAGATGCGGCGTACTGTATAGAATGATGCCACCGAAAGTTTGAACAAATCGCTGCATGTCTATTGCAGTGGCTAAGACACCTTCGTATCCGGAATGACCCTGCAGTTGTGTGAAAAAATTTGATGCCGCCCAGACATCATATGCTTACCTTCAACCACTGGATAATGTGCGAAAAGGCGGTGTCTGCGCTACTGACTGCTTGGATAATGCCAAGTACTTCGAGCCAAAAGAGCAGCCTCTCATGGTCGAAGAATGATTTCACTTCCTCCGCGAGTTCCGTGTCGAAGTCAGTTGCTCGTAAGCACGAAGACCAAAATCGACAAGAATAAGATAGATGTGGGGGAATGGAATTGATAACTCGTTCTTGCAGCCCAGGGTCTTCGCAATTGAGGAGGTGTGAAGACTTTAAATCACAGAGATTGAATTGAAGTCCATGCTCCATCACTCGAAGCGACGCAAAAGCAAGGTCGCGTTGTGCCTTCGACGTGTCTATAAAAAAGCTTCCACTGGATGCTTGGTCTGCGAGAAATTCGCGAAAGGATATATGAAGGGGTTTGATGGGTGTAGATGAGTCGGTGGTGCCGCTGAGGAGGGATCCCATATCTTGTATGACAATCTCCGCATTGTAATGCTCGCTTTGGTCTGGAAAGTGGTCCCGCATGGCATTCAGAGAGACTAAAGAGAGCGGTTCGGCAGTGACAAGTATTTGCCCTATGACAGAACGAAATTTCACTAGTCCGTCCTCATCTTGGATTGGCATGATGTCTGCCAAGATCAATCGATACATATCATATAACAGGCCAGGATCGCGGTTCCGGATAGCATTGAAGCGGGAAATTGGTTGTGTGCCAGGAGGGGTTGCCTTGATGTATCCACAGGCAAGATGCGCCCACTCAAAGAGTCCATCGCTTCGCACAGCGAGCATTGCAAACTCTTTGTCCTGGAAATCCGCCAGACCTTTCAACTCCTCAGATACATAAGTATAGATGTCACGTTCCACGACTTCCGGTAGAATATCGTCCATGGTTAACCGTAGGATATGCTGAGCACCGTCAAACTCGTCTTTAATATCGGGAAGCGGACGAGAGGTGACGAGGATACGGAAATTGGGCGGTAAGTCAGTGATTTTGGAACCCTGATCCGGAAGTTTACCAGCAATTATGCGTAGAAGATCACGCCGCGTATTTGTCCCGCCGCTCTCGTCCAGTGCTTCAATCACAACCAAGACAGGTGCCCCCGTATATCCAGAGAGCTTCCCCAGCGGTTCCATGAGAAGCTTGTGCCACTGCTGGATGATATCCGTTGTATGCTCGAGCGTATTGTCATGCTGTACTGCATCTGCCAACGCTCGTCTCAGCTCCGGATCACGCTCAGCGAGGTCGCGCGTGATGGTAGAGAAGACTTTTTCATGGCGTTTGTCGGTTTTGAGGTCCCGGTCGAAGCAGAAACATGAACCAAGCCCTCCCACCTTGCTGAACCAGTTAGCGATTGTGTGAGCGATAGCTGATTTACCCGTGCCGGCAGGGCCAGACAACCACAGCACACGCTGAGTAGTATCTTCATTGTCGTTGATCCATTCAGTGATCTGGGAGAGAATGTCCGTGCGTGTGCCTGGTAGGCATTGTTTCGTGGTATCTAGTCCCGAGCCCGCTGCGTAAGGCATACCGCTGAGATCCCGTGTGTCACCTGAAAGGGTATGAGTGGATGCAAAGTCAGAAGCGCGTCCGAATCCTTACTCGTATACTGAACAAGATTGGCTGTGTCCCGAATAGCTTGGTCCCGAAATTGCATAAGCCCATCCAAAGCGTCGATGTACTGTTTAATCAAATGATCCGTCTCTAAGAAAAGATTTTTCTCGATCCCTATGATAATGGTATAAGATTCACAATATGTGGAGTGCAATAGCTCGATAACTTACAAAAGCTCTTGTTCTCCGAGTAGGCCCTGATGAAACGCGTGCACTCTAGAGTCTGTTGGACGATCTGTCCAGCGATACTGGGATTGGATAGAATCTTGCTAAGAGTGTCGTCTTGTGACATGAAGCAATAAACTTCTTCTAATTTCTTTAGAAGAGATTGAACCGATGGATCCCGTTCTGTTTGAGCGAGAATAATCTGCATAGAGTCAACAACCGCTAAACAGGAGGGCGAAACTACACGTACTTTGGATGCAGCAGACAGCACACCCAGTACAACCTTCGAATAAGGGTCTACCTACGCAACTTAATTAGTTCGCTTCCAACCAAGAAGAGTGGCCCATACATTTGTAAGTTCCCTGATGAAAATGTCAAAGAGTTTGAGTGGTTGAAGATATGTGATCTGGAAATTGTTTGCGACATCGAGATCTTGTGGGCCATCCTTGGCCGTGGATGCCACAGAAGTGACATGTCCCATACTTTCCGTACCCTCACGGACACTCCAAAGTTCATCAACTAATTGGGGATGCAGAATCTCTTCCACACCAAGAGGAGCGTCGAGAACCTGCATGGCCACCAGAATTTAGAGATCAAAACCAGATCATTTGGCCCAAGTACCTTCGAAGTAGGTTCTCCAGATGTGGTGGGCTGATCACCATCGGAAGAATGCAGACACTTGGTAACCCTCAGACAAGTGAAAGATCGAAATAATGACCACTCACCTCAATGTTCTGATTCGATGAAGCACCTTCATGATCGACGTTCTGGACGACAAGAGTTCGGTGGCGGGAACGCTTGAAGCGTTTCTGCACAATATCAGCCATATTCCAGCTCCCCTAGCATTCACGTCGACAGTACAGAAACATTTTTGATCACATTCTTCTTGAATTTCCGCAGGACATGACGGAATCTTGTCCGGGGCTGGCTCTGGGTGAAGGGTGTGTCATGGGCAGCGACGACGTTATTAGCGCTCGTAGACGGTGATCTCATGAATGAATGTATTGAACTCTCGCCAGCAGTTGTTTCTCTGGATCCAGAAGCCTCTGCATGAGGTTTCGGCCTGTGGTCTTCGCTCATTGCGAACAATCAAAGATTGGGATCAGCCTGAGGGAAATGGATGCAAAAATCAGAGGAGGGGAGAGTACTTCGTAGAACCATTTAACAAGTACCGCCTTGACCTCGAGGAGTATGTGCACAGTTCGGACTTGAGTGTTACCTCGAGGCCTCCTCATGTCGGGACCTATAGTTATCGAGACAACGAGACTCGGAGTAGTGCACTGGATTATATGGTTCATCAACCGTTGATATGAAACAAGAACTTACACGAGTGACCTTTAGGCAAGAGATCTAGCAGTCGACATACGAAAATGAGACGTTGTCAATGCGCTTACAACGATTTATGCACTTGCAGCGTCGATCATAGGTTTAGCAGATTTGCGACGTGGTGGCGGTGTTTGAAAGCGATTTAGAACACGTTTAGAACACGAGAAAGGGGTCCTGCCGTTCTAGATATCAATATTTAAAACTGGATCGGTTTGACGTGCGGACTTGCAAAAGACTGGCATTTGACAGGGCACGTAACTATTCTATAGAACGTTAACAACGTTCTAACGTGATGCTGCGGGAAGTCATCAGTGACGAAAATAAGTTGTGTGAGAGTCTATCTGTCTCGGTCCCAAGTTGTGTATAATATAAGACCCTGGCGCTCTCCTCACCGATTCGATGCTTTAAGGTCCTCGAGGAGTGTGTGCAGGTATGTGCGCACATCACATGTTAATGGGAGTGCGATAAGCAGCTAAGATGGCACCGCTTCGTTTAAATAGCTGGCATCAGGCCGTATCCTCGAGGCAATAATATTTGATGTATCGACTCGAGCGCTATGGTAAATGAAACGGGCTATGCCCTTCATATAGGGACCTTGGGATTTAATGCTACATTGCAATATACCGCCGCGGCATGTGGAGGCCCGAATCTATGACCTATTAGTAGGCTTACGTGGTGAATCAGGTGAGCAATTAAGGCGACTTATTATATTTATAGACAATGCCCACGGGCTATGCCCTGGCAGTGCCAACCATCGCAGGCGCTGAGCGCTGGATTCTACTACATATATGTGCCCGCGGTGCCGTCCACTACATGATCCTCGTCTTTATTGTACTTGGGCGCCATTTCAAACTCGTTCAATGATTCAAAATAAAGACAAAAAGAGTAGATCGGACTGTGATGTAAATGCCCACCCCACTGTGGGTGGCTCGGAGGTATGGAACGTCGTCCTTACTGGTTGTTTATAATGATATCATTATGGATTACAGTCAACTCCCAAGCCTCCACCATTCCCACCTTCATCAGTTCAGAGGAGCCAGGTAGGTGATTCTTCAATACGGGCCACTGGAACAGCCTTGTTTCTCTTTCGACAATGAACTAAAGTCCGTCGTTAGTCCGATTCACTTGGCTGGAATGCCGCCGACGGTATCCCCAAGATTCCTAAACGCCTGGAGAAAGTTGACTCCGATCCTTCTCAGATTGCACAAGTATGTGCTTTTATCGCTGGCTTGTGCGTGACTGACCTTCATGCGTAGGTAGATTCAATTGCGAAATCAGTAATCGCATACGCGTACAAGGTGCGCTTGTGCACACATCTTCAACTTTGCAGGTTTATAAGATGTCCCATGTCAGATGATTCACGATCAGCCACTCACAGATGATGTTCTTTCCCCACTGCTTGCAAAGATCGGGGAAGTCTATGCTTTAACGACGAACGGACAGGAATCGAACAAGCTTTCATCCATGGTGGAGATATATGGACAGATGGCGCGACAGACGCTAGAATGCACTGCCTTCATCGTTTATTACTCAGAGACCAAGAATTTTTGTGAGTCGAATGTACTGAGCGGCTGCCTAGGACTTACTATGGTTTGGATAGGGAAACGAGTTGGCAAGTACGTTTCCGAGGAAACATCTGCCACGATTCAGAAATACAACGAGGTTCTCGACGACCTGATTCAGCAATTTCAACATCGAACGACTCGTGACCATCACATTACCCTCTACCGTATAGGTAAGTGTTGGCCTCAAACTCACATCGAACCTTGTTTGATAATCACCATCTCGTCATCTAGCTGACGATCTGGACCCAAACGACATGGTGTATGCCACCGGTGCTGGACTGGATATTTCCAAGTGTTGTCTCCCAGGTACTCGGGAAGGAATCCTATCCAGGATCAAGTCCTGGGTTTGCAGCACGGGAGAGGACGTGCCGCGCGTCCTGTGGTTGTCAGGCGCTCCAGATACAGGCAAATCAGCCATTGCCCACACAATAATGAAGTGGCATATGGAGCTTGGTGGTCTGGGAGCTTGCTTCTGCTTCGATCGCACACGAGGAGTAGACTGCCGCCATAAAAAAATAATTCCCACTATCGCACGTGATCTGGCTGATTGCGATCCTTTCGTGAGGCGAGCGCTGGGGAGTGTGCTCCACGATAACAACGCACTCAAGCATACAACCAAGATTGAAGAACAATGGAAAGAATTAATAATCGCACCAGTGGGAAAGGCCCCGGAAGCCATTGTTTCTCCCCTCCTGATTGTCATCGATGGGTTGAATGAGAGTGGTGAAGCAAATTCCCGGGAAGAGGTTCTTCGTCTGCTTGCTGGCAAGCCGGATGCGTCTTCTTCTCAGCTCATCCCACGAAACTACCGTATTCTTGTCACTTCCCGTCCACTACGTGACATTATCGATGCCCTTCACACCGTCAAATATTTTTCCATGGATGATATTTTGGCCTCGTCCGCAGATGACATTCAGCTTTACTGCTCCCGCAAGCTGGCAGGCTCCGACGACAGGTATATCAAGGTGCTTGCTCAGAAATCTGGCGGTCTGTTTGAATGGGCCCGGCTCGCTTGCGAGTATATCAACGGAACCACCAGAGATCGAATGATCCGTTTCCAACGTGTGCTTGCTGAATCGTCTGGAAAAGAAATATATCCGTTTGATGTTATATATAGACTTACCTTGGAAGAAGTGATGCCAGAGGAATTGATTCCCATGTTTTGCTCTGTGATGGGGCAAATCCTTGCATCGCTGGAACCGCTTCCCATGGCCGCATTGACTGCGGTGCGACAGCATTTCCCAAGCAATCATGACCGTTATGACGTAGGCCGAGTCATCGGGCGGATGGGCTCGCTTTTGATCGGAATCGCGGATTCTTCATCCCCTCCCATACGTCCCTTCCATGAATCCTTCTACGAGTTTCTCACAGAGAAATCACGGAGCCATGATTTCTTCGTCGATATGTCACTGGTGCAAAGTGATCTGGCTTTTGCCTCGCTTCGTGTCATGGAAGATGGGCTTTGTTTCAATATCTGCTCCTTGGAGAGTTCTTACCTGCCCAACTCTGCTGTGACCGATTTGGAGACACAAGTGAAGAAATCCATCTCGGCTGAGCTATCGTACTCGTGTCGCTTCTGGGGGACACATGTGCGAGCCACATCCTTCGAACCATTGCTTGCTAAGAATGTTCAAGCTTTTTTCGATGGGAAACGCCTCCTTTTCTGGCTTGAAGCACTGGCTCTAATGAAAAGTCTCGGCAGTTCAGAGGGGTCCCTCTCGTCTATCGTAGACTGGTTTACGGTACGTAGCTGGATCCCATTATTGGGATTAATGGAACCTCACGGGTAGTGGCAGGGTCATGGCGAATATACACATACCGGCAGCGCTGCCAGGGACACCCAAGAATTCGTCCGGAGTTTCGGAATCACCATTTCACACAGCACTCCGCATTTATACTTGTCCGCTCTGCCGTTTGCCCCACCAGAGTCAGCGGTGTATAAAGTATTTGACACACATTTTCCTCGAACCGCACGGGTTGTTCCTGGATGTGACATAGCGCCGCGTCAGATTCCTTGCGGGGATGCCAGCGTTATGTCTGTGACAGTCTCGCTTGATGGATGTAATATTGTGTGTGGTTTAGATGACGGAAGAATCCAGGTGTTGAATAGGACGACTGGCAAAGAGTCGGATTCCTCTCCCAAAGGTCACAACGGCGCTGTTCGGTCTGTTGCAATCTCGCCAGACGGCAGCCTCATTGTGTCTGGCTCGAATGACAAGACAGTCCAGGTCTGGCATATGGAGAATAAGAGCTCGTTTACCCTCAAAGGGCACACTGACGCCGTTCGGTCTGTCGCCATCTCGCCAGATGGAAAACGCGCCGTGTCTGGTTCGAATGACAAGACGATCCGGGTGTGGGATCTAGAGGCTCATAAGGCATTTGGTGTCCCACTCCAAGGGCACATCGGCTTCGTACAGTCTGTCCAACTAAATCAAAACCACATTATTTCTGGTTCAGCCGATAATACAATCCGGATATGGGATGCAAAGAATTGCAAGGAATTGGGTGCCATCCAAGGGCATTCCGACTGGGTCCAATCTGTTGCACTCTCATGGGATGGAAATCTCATCGTATCTGGTTCACGTGACAAGACCATCCGGGTGTGGAATGCGGAGACCAGAGAGTCATGTTATGCCCCTCTCCAGGGGCACACTGATGATGTTTTGTCTGTCGCAATCTCGCGAGATGGAAAACACATCGTATCTGGTTCAGCTGACAATTCCGTCCGGGTGTGGGATGTAGAGAGTGGTGGTGTACTTCGTGCCTCTCTTCAAAAACACAAAGACTACGTCCGGTCTGTTGCAATCTCGCCAGACGGAAAATATGTCGTGTCTGGTTCGGATGACAAAACAATCCGGGTGTGGGACAAAGCCCTTGAAGCACCTATGCGCTTCTCGTCCGACCTGGCCAGTATTCTTTATTCCACCTCCTCCGCTCTCCAAAAATCTTGCAACATAGCATCTCTTAAGGATGGGTGGATTATAGATCCCAAAGGACAGCTTCTCCTGTGGATTCCGTCTGATCGCCACCCTTCTGTCGCCAACAACATGCTGTTGATATCCGATGGTTCCTCACGGCTGAATTTAAAGAATTTCGTACATGGCACATTATGGCGCAGGTGTCGGGAAAAGTTGTAGTGATCTTTCGTAGTTTACGTCCTGGCCACATATTATAGTAATCAACAAATGCATATTTGCGTACATCCTACAAAAGAACCTGTACAATAGAGTCTGGGTAATACAATACCGCCTTGGGTAGCGTAAATATAACTCGAGATAAATACGCATGAGTTCCTACAAGATTGATAATCTAAGACGGATCATGCTTGGGCTCATGTCTTTTCAACTCTTTTATTGAAGCGATTATTTCGGACGGTGGAGATTGTCGCGATTCCAACTTGCTAATCGTGCCGCCCAGCCCATTACGAAGTACTTCGAGCTCGTTCGTTGGAGCATCTGGTGGCATGTGAGACTTCGTAGCGGTAACAAGAGCTTCAAGAATGTCAATGCCATCATCCAGAACATCAGAATCATAACCGTCGCTGTCCTGGCGGCCTGCGACATGCCATGCCATCCTCGTCATGTCCCACCACTGTTGTGTTGTGATGGCGCCAACGGCCGGTTGTTCGTAAGCGCGGAGGAATATTCCCGCGAGATAAAAGAAGGAAGAAGGAGGTTGGTCGTGAAAATTGGGGATGTCTTTGATCCATTTCTCGATATGGTGATCTTGGTCCAAGTAAGAGAGCCAGTTGGCATGACTTGCAAGAGTGAAGATGAGACCGAGACTGTAGAAATGATAGTCGGGACCGGATTCGGATTGAACTATGGTAAGTAGGGCTGGGAAGAGCTTGGAAAAGGCCTCCTTCTGTAAAGGCAACAGAACACTGGGGCTGGGAGTGCCGGTGGCGATAGCTAGATCTTGTCTGATACGATAAGCGTTGCGTAAAGCGACACGTTTGAAGTCATGGGTATCTCGACACATGAAACGAATGAGTGTACGGCAGTATTGATCAAATTTAGTGTTGTGGAGTGATGGTACCGGCAACGCGAGGAAGATCAGATGCTGAATGTCGGTGAACTGGAAGTCTGCCAGTCCAAGGTCCCCGCGATTATATTGGGACCAATCGGAGACTTCGAAGAGGCGAATTGCATTGGCAAACAAGTCGCCGTTGCGGTGTCCACGCTGGATGGGGGAACTGATGGCTGTCAGGACAGCCTCAGAGAAAGATGAATCGCAGCGCGAGTTGGTGTCAACAACCCGACAAGCAGCACGAAGTGCGCCATGGCGCAATACATGCGACTCCGAGTCATGGCTGCTATTCAAAAATGGAGCAATGAAGGCTGGATCGTACGATAGTTCCTTGCGGCCACTGAGCAAGACGAGGGCATCTCCTGCTGCTTCAAAATATTGTGTATCGTTGAAACGTTTTGCGCAGTCCATGAGCTGTGTTGCGCAGTCCATAAGCCAGTCAACGTCCGGGAGATCGAGTTCCAATCTGAATTGACCAACCCAAACCAATTCTGCATATTTCTTGTCTGGATCAACAAATTCATTCATGCCAGCACCCAGCGCCATACGCAGATCAGTGCGCATGTTATCCACCTGGTCCCGTAGCTCTGTAGAAACGATCTTCTTCATACTCTCCTTCATTCGGCAGAATGAAGTATTGCACCGTTCCAGTGCCTTAGGAAGATACAAGCTGCGCCACGATGACCAGTGTTCCCACCCCTGTCCGATTTCATTAAGTATCTCCGTCGCCCCGCCATACTTCCAGGAGATGTGGATCAACGCCCTCCCGAATGACACCGCATTGCCTTGGTCTGGTGGTGTTGAGTTAAAACATGCTTTGAACATGTCTCGTACTTTCTTGATCAACGCATCGGACAGGACATGCTGTGGCTGGTTGGGCGAAACATGCTGCGGCTGGTTGGACATGGTAACCATCAAGTCAAGCGCCAAACTGAGAACGTCAGGGTTTGTCGAATTGTCCAAGATCCATGACATGGCGGATGCAGTAGAATCTTTATGATTTTGGTGGTCAATACGAAAGAGATACCGAATGGCAAAGGAGATCCACGTCTGGAATGGACTGTCAGGGCATCTCAGAGATACCACGACGGTGGAGACAAAGAAAATGAAGCCGCAAGCGGCTGGTACGATGATGAAAAGAGAGATGATCCGGTGTTGCATCCACATCGCAGCTGCCAAGGACAAAATAAACAGAAAGAGAGAGATTTGGAGAAGGACTGGGAATGATTGCAGGACACGTTCGAAATACTGTTTTTTTAGCTCCTCAAACTTGCGATGCCTCTGCTGGCATCGGTCTCCAAGTCGACCACCGTCAAAACGGTTGGTCTTATAGTGATTCAGCCATTGCTTGCCCAAGACAGCGCCAAAGGCAGCAAGCAGACTGAATGTAAGGCTCGTATACGCAAGCACCTGCATCCATATTTTGGAAGAAGAGTAAGTGACGGGTGCCGAAAAGGCTGGCTGGGCGACAGAAGATCCGTTCCATGTGTTCTGCATAAATTGTACCAAAAGATCATTGGTGGTATCAGTGGGATTGGGCTGCATTGCGATGATGAACGCGGTATTGACGGCAGAGAACAGACCAGCCTGGTTGTTCGTGTTAGATGGTAATAAAAACAACTATATATAATTTCCCGTACGAAGAGCATTAGTATATCCATATTGCCGTTACACCTCTCGTACATGTTGTCGTCGTATTCGCCAGACATCTTTTTGTATGCAAACCAAAATTTAAAAGCCAAGTCCTCTCCTCTTTCCTCGGCAGCAATGCTGGAGGTCTCGAGGACCTCGATAATCTGCAGGAGAAGATTCACGAGTGAACTAAAATGAAGGTGTTCAATTCTAATACAATCACACGAAAATAAGGACTTACGCATTGAAATCGATGATTGGATTATTATGATTGAAATTCATGGGGAACTTCGAGCTTGGTAGATATTGGTGGGGTGGATTGGAAGAGAACTGAGAGACACTACAGCGCTTAGAAGTCGCGCATTGATGACATTAATATAGTGGTGAGTTCATGCCAGGTATCTTGAGATGCTACCGAGCGCTAGAAGTACCATTGATAATATCGATATCGAGGCAACGTTCTAAACGCTCAGCGCTCAGCGGTGACATCCGATGTGTACCTGTAACTCCCACGTATTTGAGTGATGAGTGCATTCCGAAATAGATTCAACTTATAGGAACAGCGGTGGTTGACCACAACTTCGCTTCCGCCAAGTTTCATTCAGATCATAGGAACCGCACCAGTTTAACTCCGTCACTTTCACTGCCCTCGTCCTTCTCCAGTAATTGGAGGGACGCTTTTAGCGCCCAGCGCCCATGCTCCCATATGGCCATCGCGTCCTTCTCCGCACCTTTTCTTCCGCCTAATCAATCTATATTATACCGCCGACAACGCCGGACACGCCCTTATTAACACTTTGTAACAAACGCAGACTTCATAATATATGTACAAAATTCAACTCTCCAGGCAGGTTAGAATGTGGGCCTGCCACACGCTCGCTGCAAAAATTTGTCGACAGCTTCCAATACCATCATACTGGATGATACCAAACTAATAAACTCGCGCTACCGGTCCTATACTAACCTGCAAGCTTTATACCCGAAGGTATGTATATGGCGTGCAGGTTCGCCGCAATGTCAGCTGTGACGGCATGAACTTGACACTTCTAGGTGTCATCGTGAGAGGATGAGCTTTTGACGACTGAGTAGTGCAGAGCACTAATATTCACGCGCCACCGGGCATTGGCACTCTTGATCATGATTCCACTCATACCTACCGTGCATCAAAAAGTATCACTTGTCAAGGTATGCACTTTTACTCAGGCCATTCAATTTTTAATAGCGATTTAGCCTATAGTATCACAGCGCCCTCATGTCACTCAAAGTTCAATGGCAAAACTTGTAGGCAACGGACATCAGCACTGCAATTCCCAACATTACGCTACGCATTTAAATTGTGATGCACTGTATCAACCAGCGCCCCGAATAACCATACAATTCATGCCATTGCCATCCTCACATGTTGATGGGTCCTTCGACCCAATATTAGAATTCGAGTTCCTGAGCCGTATCTGTGGTCACGATATACTATACACAGTTATATCACCGCGAGATTCACGGTTGAACGTTGAAATGTCAAAGATTATATACAGTGGTGGCTGCAATATTAACATTCTATTGAAGCGAGAATGTTGAGCAGAGTCTGGGGTCTTTTCATTGTGATTAATAATGGTACTCAGAATAAAATCTCGAACATAGTCTTCGGCTACTCTAATCTTGAAGGTCAGCTACTCTAACATTGTCAAAGCACAGCATGCAGTATATTGCAATTCAAGGTCAGTCTGGCATCATGCTTTGGAGTTCAAAAACACATGCCTGCTGCTTGTCAATGTGCTCACTGGTCTGCACGACTTCAAGCTAACACTTATCTGCTCTCAAGGGGAATGGACCCCTCCATCCACCTTGAATATTTAGAAATCTTCAAGGTGACAGGTGTCGTCCTTCACTTCTCCCTACCTCATTAACACTCACTCACACATTATTCTTGAAATATTTGACTCTTTGCTGCACCCAATGGCCTCTATTTCTTCAATCACTGAGAACAAGCACATTGAAGTGGTCAAGGAGCCTTGGTGATGATCAAGCTGTTACAACACACTTGGTCAGATATTACTGACCAACCAATGGCTCAACAAACTTTCAGCAGTGTGAGTTGACTTCATGTGTCGGGGGATGCTGACTGGCACTTGTCTCTCAGCAGCTATAGATGTCCTAGGTAGGTCACACATTTCATGTGTGAGATATCTTTCAACCAATTTGTATAACAGTTCCCATGCAGCAAATCAATAAACTCAGTGAAGATGCAGTGACAGCAACAGCAGCACTCACACCTGTATCCACATGAGCAGCAGCAGCAACAACAACAGTGTTGTCAGTAGCAGCAGCACCTGCAAATGGAGACGGAGACCCACATCCCCCTGGACCTGTACCACCTGCACCTCCATTGATCAATATTGATGAGGACCTTGATATAGATGATGGGCCAATGGTTCTACAAGTGTTTGTGCAGCTGGCAAAAACACCTCATAAGAATTCCTTTTTTTCATTTTTAATGCTGTACTAAACATACTGTACAGAGGGAAAAAAATGTGCTCAAAGCATTCCTGCACCTGCTAATGAACTCAATATTCCTCACCTTTCTGACCTTCTCAGTTGCTTCTTGTTCCAACAGTTGCATCCCAACGATCCCCATGACACATCTGATGTACCTCTCGCTGAATGCCTGCTTTACCTCAACAAAATTTTGGTTTTCAATTTGGCATCATTGTGATTTTACATGCCAAGTGATTTGAGCAGTATTGGTGGCATGTGCATTGAACACATCTGTGCTTGTCCCTCCTGGTGGAACAAGTCCTCATGCAATGACTGCGTCTTCATCAACATGGACTCTAGTCTACCTGGCATGTGAGGCCTTGAAGTTGTGTGTGTCCCTGCACTGTGATCTGTTGGTTCAACAAAGTTGGTGATGCCACAGATGAGGCAGCCCATAGTGTCATATAGATACATCAATACACTACCATAGCCCTAAAATAGGGATACATCACCTAGTCTCATTATCCATTGTCCAGGCTGATGTATGTATATTATATCGATGGGTGAGGTGAGGTAGTTGTTATCACATATAAACATAACTGGGCTTAGACAGTTGGATAAGAAATAAATCAGTTTGCCAATGTAGGCACCAGAGAATTGAAGACATGGAGTACATACCCCTATATGAGTGCATATACCTATCATCAACCATGGAAACCTGAAACCTGAAAGCCTGAATACATCATGTCTGACATTCACCAAGTACTGAAACCTGAAACCCAACACCTGAAACCCAAAACTTGAAACTTGAACATTGAAACAAACTTTGAAACTCAAAACTCAAAACTCAAAACTCATACATTTTTACAAGTTTTGAGTCTCAAATCACCAAGAATAGCAATGCGAGCTGCACCATCCTGAATTGCAATTGCCATGGCATGGAGATCCGGCATGGGCAGGTCAAGTGCTGCAGCAGGGACTGCTTAACTCAAAGATAGAAGTGCTACAAGGGAAAATCAAGGTCAGATGGTGATGAAAAAAACTCGGGTGACTTACAAGCTGGTGCAGGTGCAGGTGCCTTGATGGCAGTGATGGTCTTGCTGCAACCACATGTCTGGGTCTTGGGGGTTGTCACAGCAGTGACACCTGGAGTTCTGGACTTGCCACAAGACTGACTGTGAGTTCAGGCCTTAGATTGGAAGGTGGAGGGAGCTTTGGAAGGAGCCTTGGAGGGTGTCCTGGACCTCATGTTCTGGGTGATAGAGGAAGCACAGATGTGTTTCAGTGGGGTACCCAGAGTTTCTGAGATGCGCTTGATCTTCTTTGTTGTGCAGCAGATGCATGACATACACAGATTCCTGGTCCTCTTGTCCAACCAAGTTGTGCAGGGCTGGTTTAGCTTGGTGCAAGTCTGGCATGGGTTGTTCTGCAGGTTGTGTTAGTGTATGGATGCACTTCAGATAAATCAAAGTACTCACCAGTCTGAGAATGAGAATATCACCTGCATTGATAACTGGGGGTGCCTGCACTGGGGTTTTGGGAATCAGCTGGGAGGGCTTGATGACCAGGTGACTGCTGGCAATCACCTGCTACATTGTAAGCATACACCTGAGTCCTGGATGCATAAATGTGACTTACTGTCACAAGGCCAAAGGGTTTTTTGGTTGGAACCTGGTGTGAAGAAGAAATAGGTACTAGGCTGTTAGCAACTAGCACTACTTATCCTAAGAGGCATGAGTCAGTAGATTGGCCCAAGAGGACTGTTATTGAAGCACTTCCTTTGAATATATGCAAGGGAAGCAAGTGAGCAAAGGAATTAAAATCTATAGCAGCCTAAGAAACTAGAGCACAGGATGTATGTATACCTTCAAATTCCTATGTCAGAGAATCAACCATGAGCATGGGCAAAAATTGACTGGCATTAGTATCACAAGTGCAAGATGAATACTAGAGGATACATGCAAGTGCAGCGAATGCTGGATACTGGTGCGGTAGATATAACATGCATGAAATCAACTGCACTTGATAGAGCAGCTGGGCACAAGAGAGATAGCATGAGAGAAGGACCACACTAAGTTACTGGTTGCAGGTTGGGTGTTCAAGAGCCTAAGTATATGGTCCTAGCAGTACAGAACTTCAGAGCAGTTGAATTGTGCAAGATTGTCAAGTATGAGCAAACAGATTGGATTGCACAAGGTCTACAAAAATAATGCAGGAGTGACTCTCCTATAGGGCTAAGTCCAGGGGGAAGGGAACTACTCAATTGTATGTACTGTGGTCATTGTATCATAGCATGTGAAGGTCCAGAATGCATAGGTGGGAATTGTAGTGTAGTAAGTGAGCGCATGACAAGTCTATAGGTAATAAGACATCATGCACTGCGGAATGTGAGTAATGTGTAATAAGACCTGTAGCTCGTTTATGTTATGAACTCAGATAGAGCGTCGTTCTAATAAAGGAATCAAGGATCAAGATTGATCAAGGACTAAGCCTTATTGAGTCAACACCTCCCTCAGGAGCGATCATCTAGACTCCTGCAGGATCTAGAGTTCAAAGGGGACAATCGCTAGCCTCCTTCCCAAGGAGCTAGAGTTCAAGTATCAAAGAGAACCGAGTAGATTCAAGTTAGAGAAAATACAAGTGGTAACTAGGGTTTATATACATAAGGGAATTGTGCACAGACCAGGCTGGGCAAAGGGTAACAACTACTAAGAGAGGAAGGTTCATGGGAAAACAAGGTATGAGTCAAAGATAAGGGAGACCATGAGGAAACAATGCAGTGAAAAGGAAGCGTTAGAAGTACAGCCATATAGGGGTCCACAGTGATGATGGGAAAAAGAGTGGGGCACTGTAACAGTTTAGCAATGACATTTTGGAAAATAATGCACCAGTGGAGATAGGTGGACATGGATAGGACATGGGAGGATAGATTCCTAGGACCGTACTGAAGTGCAGATGAGTTGATATATATGGATTAATGATCAGTGCTTTATCTCCTTTCCTGGTAGTGAGAAGAACCATGCTGGTGATCATATGTGCCTAGTGCCGGTATAATTGTCACACCAGGGTGATTGAGGTGAATTGGAGAGCCAGGGAAGGACAATGCCTGGCACTCCACCTGAAAATGGCTATGAGAAAATGTGAGACAAGTAAAAGATGAACCAGACAACATACCTGAATACCCACATCTTCTTCATCTTCTGAGTCCACTTGGGGCTTGGACATCACCCAGTGAGAGGACTTCACATGCTTGTGAGTCTTCATCACAGACTTTGGCAGTTGGGAGGAGAGTCCTGAAATCATGGGAGACTTCCTCTTCCAGCTCCCTTCCACCTCAAGCTCTGGGTCAGCATCAATGGCCTTACCTTTCCCCTTGTCCCAGAACTTGGTGGTGGTGCTGGTGGAGGGACTGGTGACATTGCCAGCGTGGATGGGTGGGGAGGGAAGGTCCACTGGAATTGGACCTGTGGAGGGAGGAGCAGCAACTGGGAGATCAAAGGTATGGTCACCTAAGACCTCCCAGGCAAGGAGCTTGGTGTGCCAGACATGTGTCAAGAGATGGGGATCGTCATACCCAATGCTGTGCTAGTTGGGCCAGACCTGGGGAGTCATGCCCTGGATGTGCAATAGCTCCTTTGAGCATGAAAGCACAATGCTGGGTAGGGGTCCAGACCCATAGTCCTTGACTACATGAGCCTGTCTGGATGTTAGAGAGAGAAAAAGAAAAAAAAAGAATGCTACATACCACAAGTGAACTGACCTGTGATGTCAGAGCAAAGTGGCTGGGATCTGGGGGAATTTGCTGGGTGCTGCTGATGATGGCCATGATCTGGGCAGTGGATGCCTTGAGACCAGTCAAAGAGGTGTCAACTGGAGTGGACATGATGGTTGAGCTGAGAGATTTAAAGATCTTGAAATCAGGTTGAAATCTGTTATCACAAGGATGAAGTTTCAAAAGAAACAACACATTTGGTGGATGATCTATAAAATCATTGATTGTTTGTCTTTGTTTGGTCATGGTTCAACTTTCGGCAATCACCAGTTTTATGTTGAACTTTGAAGTTTTTTCAATTATCAGTCAACAAATCAGTAAGTTCCCCACACAACATGAGTCCACAGTCAGCAGTTAAATTCAATGGATGTGGATGAGTCCACTGTGTCCCAGGCATCACTAGGTGTGTGGTATTTTTATCATGCCTTATCTATTTACTGGGTATCCCTTGGATGATCTATACCTAGGGCCAGATGATGACATAGAATATGATTCTCCATCATCTGGATCACTGGATGTCTTGGCTGCAATACCTGGTGAGTTTATCCATTTGTTAGGATCAAGGATCACCATGCATGCTCACTAAACCCTTGCAGATTAATCACCTCTGGCTCAAGCTGATCATCCAGGTTTTCTCATCAATCCAGACTTGTACCTTGGGCCTGAGGATGATATCATTGATGTGGATGAGTTGCTGGATTCTGCTGATCCTAAGATTGATGTTCCAGCTGCATCAGAAGTGTCTATGTCATGTGAGTCCATTAATTCCAGAGGATTATAGATACTTATTGTATCTCCCAAGTGGATGACACCTCTAATGAACTTCATTCAGAGCAGCCAGAGCTCACTAATGAAGATTTATGTTCAATGGCCCAGGAGTTCCAACCATTCAGGTCATATGAACACACTGGGTGTGAGTATCTGACAAAGCAGATCATTTATCTCTGTGCTAATTTTTCTGCAAGTGCAATCCATTCAAGATCAACCTGGTGATTACAAACACCGTACCAGTGATCTTCCTGATCCTTCCATTCCACTGCTACTCAAGGCCAAGCGACTCTTCTGGATGGCTTGGGCAGAAACTTCTAACAAACTCAGAAGAGCTGATGTGGACCTCTAGAGGTTGCAAAGAGCCCAACAGATGAGCATTGAAATGCTCAAGGTAGTAGATTCACTGATCAATTGGTTTGAATATCAGATTCAAATGTAAAGTACAAATGTTTGATAGTAGTCAAATCACATGTAAACTTCTGAATTTTCATTAACATACCCACATTGTGTAAACAACCAAATTTGTGACACATTCCTCTTCCATTTCCAATTGAGTTACCAAGGCTCAGGAGTTCCCAGGTGTCAAACACAGAAGTTTAAGTCTTGCTTTGGCTCACCAAGTCCCGAGTATTAAATACCAAAGTTCACTTCTTGCTTTATGGAGGATCACCAAGTCCTGAGTTCAATCTTCAAATCAAACTTAGGACTTGGTGATCCTCTGTACAGCAAGAATTGAACTTCAGTGTTTGACACTCAGGACTTGGTGAGCCAAAGCAAGACTTAAACTTCCATGTTCGACACCCAGGAACTCCTGAGCCATGAAGATTGAATAACATTGACATGTACATAAAGGCAGGCAGTGTAGTGTAAGTCCATTACTTCTTTCCCCTTGCTCTAGTCACTCAAGGGGTACTGTCTGATGGCTGTTGCATTGACTTACCCTGGGTTGTCCTTGCTGATGGCTCAATCACTGCTTTTTTCCCCATATGTTCTTCAGCACCAGAGATGTGTGCCCTCCTTCCATTCCAACATCTTCCTCAACATTGCTGGTGACTCATTAGTCAACCCAGCCAGGAGGTTGCCTATTTGCAATGTCAGCAGTGCACCAGTCTTTGCTGGCTTTACTGGGCAAGGCTTTGGAATTGCATGTGGGACCACTGTCCCTTCATATGCTGTCAAAGGACCTGGCTCTCTTCTGGGTCTCTTTTGTGGGGATCTACTGTCAGCCACATCATCATTAGCATCATCCTCCATGTGATGAGAGTCACTCTTGGGATTACTCTTGGTGTCAGCTGATAAATTCTGAGGCCTTCAGATCATCTGCTTTCTGACTTTACAAGTCCAATGAGAAGGTGAGTTCCTGGATACAACCAATGCTACCATGTCTCCATCTTTGTTCTTCCATGCTTTGAACAGGAATGTTGGACCTTTTCCTGTCTCCTGCCAAGCATGCCAGAAATCAAGTAAGGCTGTAGTGTTCCAATTTTGCAACTTGGAAGGCTCCATCAAGTCCACATCTGCCAGAACATACTTTCTTGCCACAAAGTCATCCTGACTTTGGATGATGGCACTCCATGGCATGACTGTGTTGTCAATCCTGGAACAGATCCCTGTGTCCATGCATTCAACAAATTCTTGGGTGTTGTGACAATAGACTCATGATAGTGCAATGTAAGAAATGCCCTCACAATGGCCTTCTTCTCCTCAAGTTTCATTTTAGTGATGTCTGGAAGCAACAGCATCTCATCTCTGTTGGTTTCCAGTTCAAAAGCAGGCTTTCTGATTCTTTTTCAACCTCCCTTCATCTGTTGTCCTCCATCTTGTGCCCCAGCACCTATCATCACGATGATCAACAAATTCCTTCTAGTAGCCAGAGTTCAAACACTCACTGAACTGTTCCTGCACATACTCCTGCCAAACTGGCTCAATGTCCTCCCAGTCCTTTGTCGTCATGACACTGTCCCCATCTCCTAATGCCTTGTTATCATCATGCCTGCATGACATCTATTGAGATTGAAGATCTGTGATGACTGACAAAATTCACTTACATCCCAAACAGCACCTCTCACTGTTCATTCTTTCAAGCCAATATCACAAACACTCTCATCCTGCATTGCTTCCACATCTCCTTTGAAAAGTGCTCTATATATGCAGGTCCCTTCTTACAAGCAACTTGTGCCTGTATCTTGGGAGGAGGAAAGTTGTTGGACCATTCTTTGGCTGTTTCCTTCACCTTCTCCAACTCATTGTCAGACAATTCAGCCATGACTCTCTTCACAGCTGCCTGATAATGCTTAAACATACTAGGACCTCCTGGCTTTGCCCTGGACTTGTCCTCAATCCTCTTTAGCACCTCTTCCCAGTTCTGCTAGTAGATCACCATCCTAGGCATCCATTTCCTCCCATAATTTATCATGTCCTTCCTTTCCTTCTTTTTCTTGTTGTTGAATAACCAAGTCTTGTATATCTGAGCATTGATGGAAGAATAAGATATTAAAATTTTATGTTTTCAACACAGCAAGGATGAATCACCTGCTTCCTTTTCTTCCATTGTGCTTGGTCAACCTTAGGAGCAAATAACCTGGCTAGCCCTAGCTATGGTAGTGAAAACTGCTTGCTTCTCTTTCCATGTTGCCGAAGTCCACTCAGGAAGGTAGTTCTTCAACTCTGAAATTTCATTTTCCATGAGCTTCTGTGTCTGTGGTTGACGTGCCCTATGTCTTCCAGAAGTCAACTGAGTGGAATGACCTGATCTTGCTATGGTGAATGAGATTGCAGAATGGGCTGAGGATAAGCAAGGTGGAAGTAATAATGGTGACAAGTTGAACTTTGAGCAAAGCCTAACAGTAGGTTAATCAACCCATATTGGACACAATGCCATTAATAGAAATGAATTTGTAATGATGCATCAAGACTGCATAACATCATATTGCAACAATGATTCATTCGACCTTCCTAAGCTAATACTTCACTTGCAATATCAGAAAATAAGATGAAGATAGGTAGATGCACCCCACTGCAAAAATCCCACAGGATAGAAGCAAGGGGCAGCAAGGGTAGGAAAACTTGGGTCAAGGTCCCACTTGTGAGCACAAAATGACATGCCTACAGGTCCATGCCTGACTCTCCCTCAGAATCACCAACACTTCAGCCTATTGAGGCACCACCTCCTTGGGAAGACTTTCCTAACAATGCTTATGAGCCATTGTTTTGCCCTGCATGTCCTCAGCCTAGGATTAACATATCCTTGTCAGGGGATGAATCACTTGATGAGTGAGTCTCATTTGATACTGAAGTCACCTCAGTGATAATAACAACTCCAAGCTGGAAATACACCCAGTCATTTGTTATGGATGGAAATTTCAAAACCAAACACCTGCATCCCATCAAGCCATTTGATGAAGTTTGGCTTTCTGATGGGTTGGGATTCATGGTGGAAAAGGACAGGTATAAAACGCATCTTGCAGAGGCTGCTGGCACTTTGGAAAAATTGAGCTGCAACAATCACCATGTGGTGAATCAAGCAAATGCAGCTCAGCACAAGCTGGAGTCCACAGGAATTGGGGGAGTTGCCTGTGCCTGACATGGTTACTTTGTCCCTCACTTGATGGTAGATTTTCAGAAAGGTGAAAGGCAAGCCAACCATGCCATTCTACATTCACGAGTTAACCATGCATCATTTGCAGACAAATGAACATGGATTATGCCCTATGTGAGGCTGCCAAGCACAACATGGAAGGCATCACCAGGGCTGTTATCTTCTATGATATCAACTGTCAATATGACAAGCACTTTTGGGTTTGGGTGGATTGAAGCTGATTTCTTGAAATGGTCCTGGAATTGACCATCATTCCCAGAATTGGGTTGTGGCATGTCCACAGACATCAGGCCAGCTGCTATGTCCAATATGCATTGAATTTTATTGAAGGCATCAGTCAGATCAATGGAGAGATCATGGAGACCCTATGGTCACATCTCAACCTGATTTCCCTTGCTGCTTGGGGAATGTCATCCCCACATCAAAAGGAATGTCTTGATTATCAGATGAACGATTCCAATTTCTGCAAGATGATCTGCATGAAAAGGACCCTTTGTAATAAATACAAGCAGGCAAAGAATGGCATTGCTGAAAGTGAAAAGGCTTTCAACAGACTTAATGAAGCAGTGCCCACAGCTTCAAAGAAAGAATGGTTAGCCAGCGAGAGGATCACTCAGTCCAGCAGAATAAATGACCCTGTGGCAATGGATGTATATAAGATTAATATCAAGAAGGGTAAGTTGACTTTGGCTACATCAAAGTCAGAATTAATTGTTGCACTCAGTACTGAGCAAAAAGGAGATTAAGCTTAGACTGCTAGAGAAGGGTAATGCCCGTAATGCAGCACCTGCTCATAGATCAGTGGCAACATGGATATCAATGGGGTTGGCAATTGAAGAGGCTCAAATTGCATTGGTTGTTGAGCTTTAAAGAATTAGAAGAAGAACTACAGAGACACAGAGATTAGACATTGCCCAGCAATATGATTGTCTCCAAGGCCAGATAGATGGATTCACTCAGTCTGCTCTTACACATCTGGGAGAGGGATTTGATGCAGACAACGATCCTGATGACTTGAACATAGACATTCTTGATGATCTTGACAATGACCTGGCAGATTTCACTGACACATCTGATACATGGGCAAACTCCCCTGAGCTCACTATCATCCCATTGCCATCAAACCTCAGGATAGATTGAAGGAGATGCTGTATGGCAGAGGATCTGATTCTGCTGGAGATGTTGCTTCATGAAGGGCAGGCCAATGATGCCCTTCACAACCTCCAGATTCACTTGTGCAACAAGGTGATCCTGTTCCAAACAATGGTCAGGCAGGCCAAATCTTAAGCCCTGAAAACTTGAGCTTGGTCCCAGGTGACATCAGTGCAGCAGGCAGTGTCCCTCCATGCCAGTATATATACAAAGACCCAGAAGCAAATGGTGCAACTTGAGCTGGGGCAAGACCAGCTTCAGACATACAAACTACTGCTTCAGGAGCAGCTCAAAATCAGCACTGCCATTGGGGATCCAAATGCCTGAGGTCAGCGAAACAAGTCCCTTGCTTGGTTCTGGTCTGTCAATGTAGACCTGGGGGGTCCAGATCACTCATGGAATGAGGAATGTGAGTTTGGGCATGCTTGATGTATCCTGTGCTCAGCTGATGGGACCCATCTGAAGTTTACCAAGTTCATTGGCTTCAGGTAAAGGCCCTATGGGATTGATGGAAGGAAGAAATGACATTGGTCCAATTGGAGATGAATTGGACATGTAACTTTTTCTTGTGGAAAGCAACCCAATGGGGCGACAGGATGTGGGAATCATTGGTGAAACACCTTCCAGGTCATTCATGCTACTTGGGAAGGCAATCCCAAATGTATTCATTACTGGCACAGGATACCCAGGCAGCATTTCAAGACCTGCAGAGCAGGTTCATAGATGCTTGAGATGAATGAATTTTTTTGCCAATGATATGAAACAGCTACTTCAACCCAAACATTTTAGTCTCAGGAAATGCCTGGATCAACCAATATTGGAGTTTGAAATTTTTTATCCATCAACCAGTGGCTCATATCTTCATGTCTGAACCAACTGTCATTGTGATTGTGATTTCCAGTGTCATACTCCTGCATTAGCCATGCCTGTATTGCAAACTCCTCCTGCATCCCCTTCTGATGCCATGGATTCTGGCAATGAATACCAACCCCTCACACTCAGTCTTGCAGATATTGCAGCTACAGTGTCAATGGCTGCATCATGCATCCAAGCATCTATCTCTCAATATCAGATGGAGGCTGCCAACACTGAGGAGCCTTCTGCTGCTCAGATCATGTACTTTAAAGCTGGGCTGCAATGGGAGATCACTGTAAGAGACTGATGACTGTGGTGGTCAATGCTAAGATTTCCAACAGACTTTTGTGACATCCATCCTGCAGTACTCAGCTGCAAGGCACATCATCTCAGTTATTCCAAACCTGGTTGCTCATATTCTTCAGTTGTTTCCCCAGCTCACCTGGAACACAGTTCTGAACCATGTCTTTTCATCCCACTTATGTCTCTTTCATGATATCACAGATCCAGGAGATCCCTTCAGGATTGTATCCAGCTATGATACTCCATGGTGGATCAGACATACTGCAATCCTGAATGAATTATGGCCATGGGATTGGGTAATGGGTTGCTGTGTCTTTCACTACCAGCATTGGCTAGTAAGGATTATACACAATTTCCTTGAGTGATGATTAATCTGTTCTAGGGTGGCATTGAGGATGATGGTCTGATTCTTCCTGAGCAGGTGGATGAAACCTCAGGTCCATCACTAATGGCACTGAAGTGGGTTAGAGAATGCCTCTGGACATTGATTGAGGAGCAACAAGAGGGCATCAGTGAAAAGATGGTGGAGATTGAAGTGTACACCAGCATCCTAACCAGATTGAACAGAGGAAGAGGAGAGTAGTCCTAGTCCTTGAGTTCAGAATGTTGAAGTCCAAACTCCACGAAAATGACATACCATCTTCCAAATATCTAACCTAACATTATATGCCAAGTCCTGAATACTGAATATCAAGTATCAAGTCCAGACTATCATATATCAAGATCTGAATCTTGAATGTTGAGTATTGAGTATTGAGATTCAGATATCAAGACCCAACTGTTGAATGTTGAATTCTGAAAATCAAGTTCCAAATTTCAACTATCAAGTATCAAATGTTGAGACCCAAATATCAAGACCTGACTATTGAATGTCAAGTTCCAAATATTGAGTCCTGAATATTGACTACTGAGTATCAAGTCCCAAATTTTAACTATTGAGTATCGAGTCCCGAATATCAAATGTCAAATTCCAAATATCAAGTTCCAAATTTCAACTATTGAGTATCAAATATTGAAACCCAACTTGATAGTTGGGTCTCGACATTTGACTATTGAATGTTGAGACCTGAATATTGAGACCTGACTATGGAATGTCAAATTCCAAATATCAAGTTCTGAATATTAAATCCTGAATACATCAAGTATTGAGATCCAGATATCAAGGCCCAAATATTCAAGATCCAGAGATCTAATATCTGGTATTTGACAGTAGGTACTAACATGGGTAACTACATTTTCTACTTATTTGATCTTTCACTGTTTGTAATCCACCCTAGCCCATCCACATGACAGAATCCCTCATATATGATGCCCAAGCAATCTAATCCCCTTTCACTGCATGAACCCTATGTCTCACAATCTTTCCAGAAAACACAATTATACAAACCAGATCATACCTGAACTCCAGCTGAAGGCTTGGCATACTCATCTGAGCACTAGAATAATTCCCCATGGTAGTGAGAATATTGAAGCATTCAGGAATAGATAAATGGTCTTGATGATTGGGGGTTTCCCGATTGGAAATGACAGACAGGCTGTTAAACACAGATGCCCAGTACTGGAGAGTCTCTGACATCTTTGGCAGTTCCTTGCTTTCTGCCTTTTCTCTGAGGCTCACAAAGGCTTGCAAACCTGCCCAGTACTGCTCAGGATGCATCACCCTGAGTGCTGCTGTTGCAATGGCTGCTGGCCTTGCAATGGCTTTGAGGATCTTCTCAGAGGATGCCCCCTTCAATGATGCAGATACCTCTGGATCTGACTGATTCTAGGGGATTCATGAGTTTAACTACCAAAATTACCATCACATCAGATCCTACCTCATGCCCCTGTTGAAACCATGCCAGAGACAAATTGATGCATCCCAGAGTTAAGACATCATTTTCCAAGCTTTGTTTGAATCACTCTTGATTAGTTTGCCAATTGCTATCAAGCTTTATGCTTTTTTTGAGGATTGGAGCAAGCAAATCAGAGGCCACCCAAATTTCCTTCTGTGGGCACCATTTGATGTTCAATATCCATTGAGTAACAATATATATTACACACCTGGGTGGCATCAGCCAGGGTGTCTGGGATGTACTATGTGATGATGGCACCGGATGCATCAAGAATTGTGGCAGGTATCTTAACCAACTTTGTGCCCTCATGGCCAGGGGGACACCTCTCAAGCAACTTCTCCTCTCTCTCTTCATTATGCCCAGTGTCCTTCAGAGAGATCAATTTGCTATATCTTGCAATATTGATCTGCATCTGAACTGTGATGAAGCAATTTGACTGATTAAACAAAATTTCCAAATCTGCAGGAAGACCCACTGGGATTTTTATATGCCTTTATCAGGTGATCAACCAATCAATCACAAGCCATCACCAGATCAGTGTCTAGGTTCAGAGAAGGTATAACTGGGTCTCCTCCTGTCCTCTCTGCATTGAATTTCCATTTGGTATATTCACATGCCTTGTGAGTGACAGTCAGGGACCAAGTGCACCAGAGGGTTATTTCAATATCAGAAGTGAAAGAAACAGTCATGATGAAATTGATCTTGGGAAATTAGACACCAAACCCTGCATGTCCACACTTTGGAGTTAAAGGGGGTGGAGATAGTGAGGATCAGATAAGGGAGCCTTGCATGATGTTATTTTCCAAAGATGTGTTATCATCCATTGCTCAATGAAATACCAGATGATTGGAAGTGTGCTGGATATCAAATATTCATTTGTTGAGACCCAGGTCTTGGAACTTGGTGTCTCATAGGGCAACACAAGCTGTGTGTATTAGCCACTTGGTAGTCAGTACTACAGATGTGAACATGTAGTACTGACTACCAAGTGGCTATGTGTAATATATATTGTTACTCAATGGATATTGAACATCAAATGGTGCCCACAGAAGGAAATTTGGGTGGCCTCTGATTTGCTTGCTCCAATCCTCAAAAAAAGCATAAAGCTTGATAGCAATTGGCAAACTAATCAAGAGTGATTCAAACAAAGCTTGGAAAATGATGTCTTAACTCTGGGATGCATCAATTTGTCTCTGGCATGGTTTCAACAGGGGCATGAGGTAGGATCTGATGTGATGGTAATTTTGGTAGTTAAACTCATGAATCCCCTAGAATCAGTCAGATCCAGAGGTATCTGCATCATTGAAGGGGGCATCCTCTGAGAAGATCCTCAAAGCCATTGCAAGGCCAGCAGCCATTGCAACAGCAGCACTCAGGGTGATGCATCCTGAGCAGTACTGGGCAGGTTTGCAAGCCTTTGTGAGCCTCAGAGAAAAGGCAGAAAGCAAGGAACTGCCAAAGATGTCAGAGACTCTCCAGTACTGGGCATCTGTGTTTAACAGCCTGTCTGTCATTTCCAATCGGGAAACCCCCAATCATCAAGACCATTTATCTATTCCTGAATGCTTCAAAATTCTCACTACCATGGGGAATTATTCTAGTGCTCAGATGAGTATGCCAAGCCTTCAGCTGGAGTTCAGGTATGATCTGGGTTGTATAATTGTGTTTTCTGGAAAGATTGTGAGACATAGGGTTCATGCAGTGAAAGGGGATTAGATTGCTTGGGCATCATATATGAGGGATTCTGTCATGTGGATGGGCTAGGGTGGATTACAAACAGTGAAAGATCAAATAAGTAGAAAATGTAGTTACCCATGTTAGTACCTACTGTCAAATACCAGATATTAGATCTCTGGATCTTGAATATTTGGGCCTTGATATCTGGATCTCAATACTTGATGTATTCAGGATTTAATATTCAGAACTTGATATTTGGAATTTGACATTCCATAGTCAGGTCTCAATATTCAGGTCTCAACATTCAATAGTCAAATGTCGAGACCCAACTATCAAGTTGGGTTTCAATATTTGATACTCAATAGTTGAAATTTGGAACTTGATATTTGGAATTTGACATTTGATATTCGGGACTCGATACTCAATAGTTAAAATTTGGGACTTGATACTCAGTAGTCAATATTCAGGACTCAATATTTGGAACTTGACATTCAATAGTCAGGTCTTGATATTTGGGTCTCAACATTTGATACTTGATAGTTGAAATTTGGAACTTGATTTTCAGAATTCAACATTCAACAGTTGGGTCTTGATATCTGAATCTCAATACTCAATACTCAACATTCAAGATTCAGATCTTGATATATGATAGTCTGGACTTGATACTTGATATTCAGTATTCAGGACTTGGCATATAATGTTAGGTTAGATATTTGGAAGATGGTATGTCATTTTCGTGGAGTTTGGACTTCAACATTCTGAACTCAAGGACTAGGACTACTCTCCTCTTCCTCTGTTCAATCTGGTTAGGATGCTGGTGTACACTTCAATCTCCACCATCTTTTCACTGATGCCCTCTTGTTGCTCCTCAATCAATGTCCAGAGGCATTCTCTAACCCACTTCAGTGCCATTAGTGATGGACCTGAGGTTTCATCCACCTGCTCAGGAAGAATCAGACCATCATCCTCAATGCCACCCTAGAACAGATTAATCATCACTCAAGGAAATTGTGTATAATCCTTACTAGCCAATGCTGGTAGTGAAAGACACAGCAACCCATTACCCAATCCCATGGCCATAATTCATTCAGGATTGCAGTATGTCTGATCCACCATGGAGTATCATAGCTGGATACAATCCTGAAGGGATCTCCTGGATCTGTGATATCATGAAAGAGACATAAGTGGGATGAAAAGACATGGTTCAGAACTGTGTTCCAGGTGAGCTGGGGAAACAACTGAAGAATATGAGCAACCAGGTTTGGAATAACTGAGATGATGTGCCTTGCAGCTGAGTACTGCAGGATGGATGTCACAAAAGTCTGTTGGAAATCTTAGCATTGACCACCACAGTCATCAGTCTCTTACAGTGATCTCCCATTGCAGCCCAGCTTTAAAGTACATGATCTGAGCAGCAGAAGGCTCCTCAGTGTTGGCAGCCTCCATCTGATATTGAGAGATAGATGCTTGGATGCATGATGCAGCCATTGACATTGTAGCTGCAATATCTGCAAGACTGAGTGTGAGGGGTTGGTATTCATTGCCAGAATCCATGGCATCAGAAGGGGATGCAGGAGGAGTTTGCAATACAGGCATGGCTAATGCAGGAGTATGACACTGGAAATCACAATCACAATGACAGTTGGTTCAGACATGAAGATATGAGCCACTGGTTGATGGATAAAAAATTTCAAACTCCAATATTGGTTGATCCAGGCATTTCCTGAGACTAAAATGTTTGGGTTGAAGTAGCTGTTTCATATCATTGGCAAAAAAATTCATTCATCTCAAGCATCTATGAACCTGCTCTGCAGGTCTTGAAATGCTGCCTGGGTATCCTGTGCCAGTAATGAATACATTTGGGATTGCCTTCCCAAGTAGCATGAATGACCTGGAAGGTGTTTCACCAATGATTCCCACATCCTGTCGCCCCATTGGGTTGCTTTCCACAAGAAAAAGTTACATGTCCAATCCATCTCCAATTGGACCAATGTCATTTCTTCCTTCCATCAATCCCATAGGGCCTTTACCTGAAGCCAATGAACTTGGTAAACTTCAGATGGGTCCCATCAGCTGAGCACAGGATACATCAAGCATGCCCAAACTCACATTCCTCATTCCATGAGTGATCTGGACCCCCCAGGTCTACATTGACAGACCAGAACCAAGCAAGGGACTTGTTTCGCTGACCTCAGGCATTTGGATCCCCAATGGCAGTGCTGATTTTGAGCTGCTCCTGAAGCAGTAGTTTGTATGTCTGAAGCTGGTCTTGCCCCAGCTCAAGTTGCACCATTTGCTTCTGGGTCTTTGTATATATACTGGCATGGAGGGACACTGCCTGCTGCACTGATGTCACCTGGGACCAAGCTCAAGTTTTCAGGGCTTAAGATTTGGCCTGCCTGACCATTGTTTGGAACAGGATCACCTTGTTGCACAAGTGAATCTGGAGGTTGTGAAGGGCATCATTGGCCTGCCCTTCATGAAGCAACATCTCCAGCAGAATCAGATCCTCTGCCATACAGCATCTCCTTCAATCTATCCTGAGGTTTGATGGCAATGGGATGATAGTGAGCTCAGGGGAGTTTGCCCATGTATCAGATGTGTCAGTGAAATCTGCCAGGTCATTGTCAAGATCATCAAGAATGTCTATGTTCAAGTCATCAGGATCGTTGTCTGCATCAAATCCCTCTCCCAGATGTGTAAGAGCAGACTGAGTGAATCCATCTATCTGGCCTTGGAGACAATCATATTGCTGGGCAATGTCTAATCTCTGTGTCTCTGTAGTTCTTCTTCTAATTCTTTAAAGCTCAACAACCAATGCAATTTGAGCCTCTTCAATTGCCAACCCCATTGATATCCATGTTGCCACTGATCTATGAGCAGGTGCTGCATTACGGGCATTACCCTTCTCTAGCAGTCTAAGCTTAATCTCCTTTTTGCTCAGTACTGAGTGCAACAATTAATTCTGACTTTGATGTAGCCAAAGTCAACTTACCCTTCTTGATATTAATCTTATATACATCCATTGCCACAGGGTCATTTATTCTGCTGGACTGAGTGATCCTCTCGCTGGCTAACCATTCTTTCTTTGAAGCTGTGGGCACTGCTTCATTAAGTCTGTTGAAAGCCTTTTCACTTTCAGCAATGCCATTCTTTGCCTGCTTGTATTTATTACAAAGGGTCCTTTTCATGCAGATCATCTTGCAGAAATTGGAATCGTTCATCTGATAATCAAGACATTCCTTTTGATGTGGGGATGACATTCCCCAAGCAGCAAGGGAAATCAGGTTGAGATGTGACCATAGGGTCTCCATGATCTCTCCATTGATCTGACTGATGCCTTCAATAAAATTCAATGCATATTGGACATAGCAGCTGGCCTGATGTCTGTGGACATGCCACAACCCAATTCTGGGAATGATGGTCAATTCCAGGACCATTTCAAGAAATCAGCTTCAATCCACCCAAACCCAAAAGTGCTTGTCATATTGACAGTTGATATCATAGAAGATAACAGCCCTGGTGATGCCTTCCATGTTGTGCTTGGCAGCCTCACATAGGGCATAATCCATGTTCATTTGTCTGCAAATGATGCATGGTTAACTCGTGAATGTAGAATGGCATGGTTGGCTTGCCTTTCACCTTTCTGAAAATCTACCATCAAGTGAGGGACAAAGTAACCATGTCAGGCACAGGCAACTCCCCCAATTCCTGTGGACTCCAGCTTGTGCTGAGCTGCATTTGCTTGATTCACCACATGGTGATTGTTGCAGCTCAATTTTTCCAAAGTGCCAGCAGCCTCTGCAAGATGCGTTTTATACCTGTCCTTTTCCACCATGAATCCCAACCCATCAGAAAGCCAAACTTCATCAAATGGCTTGATGGGATGCAGGTGTTTGGTTTTGAAATTTCCATCCATAACAAATGACTGGGTGTATTTCCAGCTTGGAGTTGTTATTATCACTGAGGTGACTTCAGTATCAAATGAGACTCACTCATCAAGTGATTCATCCCCTGACAAGGATATGTTAATCCTAGGCTGAGGACATGCAGGGCAAAACAATGGCTCATAAGCATTGTTAGGAAAGTCTTCCCAAGGAGGTGGTGCCTCAATAGGCTGAAGTGTTGGTGATTCTGAGGGAGAGTCAGGCATGGACCTGTAGGCATGTCATTTTGTGCTCACAAGTGGGACCTTGACCCAAGTTTTCCTACCCTTGCTGCCCCTTGCTTCTATCCTGTGGGATTTTTGCAGTGGGGTGCATCTACCTATCTTCATCTTATTTTCTGATATTGCAAGCGAAGTATTAGCTTAGGAAGGTCGAATGAATCATTGTTGCAATATGATGTTATGCAGTCTTGATGCATCATTACAAATTCATTTCTATTAATGGCATTGTGTCCAATATGGGTTGATTAACCTACTGTTAGGCTTTGCTCAAAGTTCAACTTGTCACCATTATTACTTCCACCTTGCTTATCCTCAGCCCATTCTGCAATCTCATTCACCATAGCAAGATCAGGTCATTCCACTCAGTTGACTTCTGGAAGACATAGGGCACGTCAACCACAGACACAGAAGCTCATGGAAAATGAAATTTCAGAGTTGAAGAACTACCTTCCTGAGTGGACTTCGGCAACATGGAAAGAGAAGCAAGCAGTTTTCACTACCATAGCTAGGGCTGCCAGGTTATTTGCTCCTAAGGTCGACCAAGCACAATGGAAGAAAAGGAAGCAGGTGATTCATCCTTGCTGTGTTGAAAACATAAAATTTTAATATCTTATTCTTCCATCAATGCTCAGATATACAAGACTTGGTTATTCAACAACAAGAAAAAGAAGGAAAGGAAGGACATGATAAATTATGGGAGGAAATGGATGCCTAGGATGGTGATCTACCAGCAGAACTGGGAAGAGGTGCTAAAGAGGATTGAGGACAAGTCCAGGGCAAAGCCAGGAGGTCCTAGTATGTTTAAGCATTATCAGGCAGCTGTGAAGAGAGTCATGGCTGAATTGTCTGACAATGAGTTGGAGAAGGTGAAGGAAACAGCCAAAGAATGGTCCAACAACTTTCCTCCTCCCAAGATACAGGCACAAGTTGCTTGTAAGAAGGGACCTGCATATATAGAGCACTTTTCAAAGGAGATGTGGAAGCAATGCAGGATGAGAGTGTTTGTGATATTGGCTTGAAAGAATGAACAGTGAGAGGTGCTGTTTGGGATGTAAGTGAATTTTGTCAGTCATCACAGATCTTCAATCTCAATAGATGTCATGCAGGCATGATGATAACAAGGCATTAGGAGATGGGGACAGTGTCATGACGACAAAGGACTGGGAGGACATTGAGCCAGTTTGGCAGGAGTATGTGCAGGAACAGTTCAGTGAGTGTTTGAACTCTGGCTACTAGAAGGAATTTGTTGATCATCGTGATGATAGGTGCTGGGGCACAAGATGGAGGACAACAGATGAAGGGAGGTTGAAAAAGAATCAGAAAGCCTGCTTTTGAACTGGAAACCAACAGAGATGAGATGCTGTTGCTTCCAGACATCACTAAAATGAAACTTGAGGAGAAGAAGGCCATTGTGAGGGCATTTCTTACATTGCACTATCATGAGTCTATTGTCACAACACCCAAGAATTTGTTGAATGCATGGACACAGGGATCTGTTCCAGGATTGACAACACAGTCATGCCATGGAGTGCCATCATCCAAAGTCAGGATGACTTTGTGGCAAGAAAGTATGTTCTGGCAGATGTGGACTTGATGGAGCCTTCCAAGTTGCAAAATTGGAACACTACAGCCTTACTTGATTTCTGGCATGCTTGGCAGGAGACAGGAAAAGGTCCAACATTCCTGTTCAAAGCATGGAAGAACAAAGATGGAGACATGGTAGCATTGGTTGTATCCAGGAACTCACCTTCTCATTGGACTTGTAAAGTCAGAAAGCAGATGATCTGAAGGCCTCAGAATTTATCAGCTGACACCAAGAGTAATCCCAAGAGTGACTCTCATCACATGGAGGATGATGCTAATGATGATGTGGCTGACAGTAGATCCCCACAAAAGAGACCCAAAAGAGAGCCAGGTCCTTTGACAGCATATGAAGGGACAGTGGTCCCACATGCAATTCCAAAGCCTTGCCCAGTGAAGCCAGCAAAGACTGGTGCACTGCTGACATTGCAAATAGGCAACCTCCTGGCTGGGTTGACTAACAGAGTCACCAGCAATGTTGAGGAAGATGTTGGAATGGAAGGAGGGCACACATCTCTGGTGCTGAAGAACATATGGGGAAAAAAGCAGTGATTGAGCCATCAGCAAGGACAACCCAGGGTAAGTCAATACAACAGCCATCAGACAGTACCCCTTGAGTGACTAGAGCAAGGGGAAAGAAGTAATGGACTTACACTACACTGCCTGCCTTTATGTACATGTCAATGTTATTCAATCTTCATGGCTCAGGAGTTCCTGGGTGTCGAACATGGAAGTTTAAGTCTTGCTTTGGCTCACCAAGTCCTGAGTGTCAAACACTGAAGTTCAATTCTTGCTGTACAGAGGATCACCAAGTCCTAAGTTTGATTTGAAGATTGAACTCGGGACTTGGTGATCCTCCATAAAGCAAGAAGTGAACTTTGGTATTTAATACTCGGGACTTGGTGAGCCAAAGCAAGACTTAAACTTCTGTGTTTGACACCTGGGAACTCCTGAGCCTTGGTAACTCAATTGGAAATGGAAGAGGAATGTGTCACAAATTTGGTTGTTTACACAATGTGGGTATGTTAATGAAAATTCAGAAGTTTACATGTGATTTGACTACTATCAAACATTTGTACTTTACATTTGAATCTGATATTCAAACCAATTGATCAGTGAATCTACTACCTTGAGCATTTCAATGCTCATCTGTTGGGCTCTTTGCAACCTCTAGAGGTCCACATCAGCTCTTCTGAGTTTGTTGGAAGTTTCTGCCCAAGCCATCCAGAAGAGTCGCTTGGCCTTGAGTAGCAGTGGAATGGAAGGATCAGGAAGATCACTGGTACGGTGTTTGTAATCACCAAGTTGATCTTGAATGGATTGCACTTGCAGAAAAATTAGCACAGAGATAAATGATCTGCTTTGTCAGATACTCACACCCAGTGTGTTCATATGACCTGAATGGTTGGAACTCCTGGGCCATTGAACATAAATCTTCGTTAGTGAGCTCTGGCTGCTCTGAATGAAGTTCATTAGAGGTGTCATCCACTTGGGAGATACAATAAGTATCTATAATCCTCTGGAATTAATGGACTCACATGACATAGACACTTCTGATGCAGCTGGAACATCAATCTTAGGATCAGCAGAATCCAGCAACTCATCCACATCAATGATATCATCCTCAGGCCCAAGGTACAAGTCTGGATTGATGAGAAAACCTGGATGATCAGCTTGAGCCAGAGGTGATTAATCTGCAAGGGTTTAGTGAGCATGCATGGTGATCCTTGATCCTAACAAATGGATAAACTCACCAGGTATTGCAGCCAAGACATCCAGTGATCCAGATGATGGAGAATCATATTCTATGTCATCATCTGGCCCTAGGTATAGATCATCCAAGGGATACCCAGTAAATAGATAAGGCATGATAAAAATACCACACACCTAGTGATGCCTGGGACACAGTGGACTCATCCACATCCATTGAATTTAACTGCTGACTGTGGACTCATGTTGTGTGGGGAACTTACTGATTTGTTGACTGATAATTGAAAAAACTTCAAAGTTCAACACAAAACTGGTGATTGCCGAAAGTTGAACCATGACCAAACAAAGACAAACAATCAATGATTTTATAGATCATCCACCAAATGTGTTGTTTCTTTTGAAACTTCATCCTTGTGATAACAGATTTCAACCTGATTTCAAGATCTTTAAATCTCTCAGCTCAACCATCATGTCCACTCCAGTTGACACCTCTTTGACTGGTCTCAAGGCATCCACTGCCCAGATCATGGCCATCATCAGCAGCACCCAGCAAATTCCCCCAGATCCCAGCCACTTTGCTCTGACATCACAGGTCAGTTCACTTGTGGTATGTAGCATTCTTTTTTTTTCTTTTTCTCTCTCTAACATCCAGACAGGCTCATGTAGTCAAGGACTATGGGTCTGGACCCCTACCCAGCATTGTGCTTTCATGCTCAAAGGAGCTATTGCACATCCAGGGCATGACTCCCCAGGTCTGGCCCAACTAGCACAGCATTGGGTATGACGATCCCCATCTCTTGACACATGTCTGGCACACCAAGCTCCTTGCCTGGGAGGTCTTAGGTGACCATACCTTTGATCTCCCAGTTGCTGCTCCTCCCTCCACAGGTCCAATTCCAGTGGACCTTCCCTCCCCACCCATCCACGCTGGCAATGTCACCAGTCCCTCCACCAGCACCACCACCAAGTTCTGGGACAAGGGGAAAGGTAAGGCCATTGATGCTGACCCAGAGCTTGAGGTGGAAGGGAGCTGGAAGAGGAAGTCTCCCATGATTTCAGGACTCTCCTCCCAACTGCCAAAGTCTGTGATGAAGACTCACAAGCATGTGAAGTCCTCTCACTGGGTGATGTCCAAGCCCCAAGTGGACTCAGAAGATGAAGAAGATGTGGGTATTCAGGTATGTTGTCTGGTTCATCTTTTACTTGTCTCACATTTTCTCATAGCCATTTTCAGGTGGAGTGCCAGGCATTGTCCTTCCCTAGCTCTCCAATTCACCTCAATCACCCTAGGTTCCAACCAAAAAGCCCTTTGGCCCTACTACAGTAAGTCACATTTATACATCCAGGACTCTGGTATATGCTCACAATGTACCAGGCAATTGCCAGCAGTCACCTGGTGGTCATCAAGCCCTCCCAGCTGACTCCTGAAAGCCTGGTGGAGGCACCCCCAGTCATTGATGGAGGTGATATTCTCATTCCTGGACCAGTGAGTACTTTGATTTATTTGACAAGCATCCATTCACTAATACAATCCATAGAACAACCCATGCCAGGTTTGCACCAAGCTAAAGTGGGAATGCACAACTTGATTGGACAAGAGGACTGGGAATCTGTGTATGTTGTGTGTCTGCTGCACAACAAAGAAGGTCAAGTGCATCCTGGCAACTATGGGTATCCTGCTGAAATGCAGTTCATGGGTCCTCTACCACCTGGAACACAAGGTCCAGGACACCCTCCAAGGCTCCCTCCAAAGCTCCCCCCACCTCCCAATCCAAGGCCTGGACTTGCAGTCAGTCTCATGGCAAGTCTGGAACTCTGGGTGTCATGGCTGTGACAACTCCCAAGACCCAGACATGTGGTCACAGCAAGACCATCACTGCCATCAAGGCACCTGCACCTGCACCAGGTTGTAAGTCACCCAAGTTTTGTTTCATCACTGTCTAACCTTAATTTTCCCTTGCAGCACTTCCATCTTTGAGTTCAGCAGCCCCTGCTCCAGCACCTGGTCCAAGAGTCCCTGCTGCAGCACTTGACCTGTCCATGCCAGATCTCCATGCCATGGCAATTGTGATTTGGGATGGCACAGCTTGCATTACCATTCTCAAGGCTCATGTGACAGAGCAGGATGGTAAGATTGATACCCTGCAATGCCTCCATGAAGGCCTTAGGTGTGAAATCATTGACCAGCACCCTGCATTCCCACTTCCCAAACCTCTGGCCAATGCAACATCCTTGTTGCTTGATCAATCCATCCCCCTGTCTATGTCACCATCCACATCTGCACTCCCTCCTCTCATTGATCTCTCAATTGGAGAGATGATGACCACACCCCTGAAATTCAAGGATGCCTCTGCCATTGAGGGCCTCTTGTTTGAGTACAACCAGGTTGTTCAACCAGAGGTTCCAGATACAGTCCAGTGAAATTGTGAACCTGGGTGATCCAGGCAACCTGGTCCCAGAATATAATTCTTCCAATGACATGGATGTTGAGGTGAATGTTGAAGTGTCTTCTGAGGAGGTTGACATGGCTACATAATTGCATAGTGATAGACATATATACAAGTTTTTCAATGAGTGTTACCTCTGCCAGTCCATTTATTCAATCACCAAGTCTCAAAAAACCAAGTACTGAAACCTAAAAGTTAGAAACAAACATTGAAACTCAAAACCTGACAGTTGTAACAATGTATGAGTTTCAAGTTTTGAGTCTTCAATCACTGAGTCCTGAGTCCCAAAACCTGAACATTGAACCCCTTATATTGAACCCTGAAACTCAAAACTCATACATTTTGATGAGTTTCAGGTTTTAGGGTTCAATATAAGGGGTTCAATGTTCAGGTTTTGGGACTCAGTGATTTGAGTCTTGAAATTCAACACTCGAAATTCAGATATTGGTACGACTTTCCAGTTTCAGGTGTCAGGTTTCAATGTTTGGGACTTAGTGATTTGAGTCTCAAAACTCAAAACTCAGAACTCAAAATTCAGATATTGGTACAACCTTTGAGTTTCAGGTGTTGGATTTCAATGTTTGGGTCTTGGGTTTTGGGACTTGGTGATTCAAGTCTTGAAACTTGAAACTTGAAATTCAGATATTGGTATGACTTTCGAGTTTCAGGTGTCAGGTTTTGATGTTCAGGACTCAGGACTTGGGACTTGGTGATTCAAGTCTCAAAACTTGAAACTTGAAACTTGAAATTCAGATATTGGTATGACTTTTGAGTATTGAATCACCAAGTCCCAAAGTCTGAGTATTGACACAACTTTGGGTGTCGGCATTCAGTATTCAGGACTCAGTGATTCAAGACTGGAAACTTAACAGTCATAAAAATGTTGAGTTTGAGTTTGAGTTTGAGTTTTGAGTTTGAGTTTGATGTTGGTATTTTGAAGTTTTGGGTTTTGGGTTTCAATGTTCAGGTTTTGGGACTCTGTCATATGCCATTCCAGACCCTCAACTCTGAACCCGCTTCTCCAGACATCTGGATCTGAGATCTGGATCTCCAATGATCTGATCTATCTTCATCTCCCTTCCAGAATCCAAACTCTATATCAGTGCCCAACCCCATTTAGACTTCCCCTGTCTCCAGACTCCAGTTAACTATGTTTCTCTTCTGATTATTGATCCATTACATACATTTCATTTCCAATATGCATTATTTGTGATCCATCCTACTTACTAATAGACTTTGCATATGCTTCATACATAGCCTTTGTGTCTGCTGACTGATTCCTATATGATACCTACAGTATATAGACCTCCTGTAACTCTCAGAAATACCTCAGTTTGAATATCATCTTAGTTCCTGCTCATTCCTGTGTCCTCTGGACTTGAGCCAAGTCTGTTGTCATATTTCAAGTCTTAGGATTGCATCCTAGACTACATCTCCAGCTCTACCTTAGGGTAGTCTATCCCCTGTTAGTTTCTAGTCCAGAATCCGTCCAGATTAGTCTTACCTGCTTGTCCAAGTAACATCTGGACATCCACCGGATTTATCTCACGTTCAGAACTGGATGTCTGTTATCCGCCCTAGTCAAATCCTGGAAACTCCAGACAACTATTCTAGCCCCCAGAAATTAAGGGCACATACTTGGGAAAGGGGCACAGCGTATGAGCTGAGGCCAAGCCCTTGTGATCCAACCCTCTTGAGCACGCAACCTTAACACTCATCAACCACTCATCAATCACTCATCAACTGCTCATCAACTGCTCATCAACTGCACTTCCGCATTCCCACACTCTACATACCTGCGTGCTTGTTCCTGTGCTCTGTGCACTTTCAGGTCTTTAGTATCATTGGCCATTCTCAGTAGCAATTCCCTTTAGGGTCAAAAATTCTTGCTTGCAAGTGTAGCAGCTAGGCAGAGCATTGACCTACAACAATATTTTTGGTTAGGCACTTTAACAAGTGTCTATCCATTGTTGTGTTTGCACACCAATCTATTAACTCACACCTCTTAGGATAAGTAGTGCTAGTTGCTAACAGCCTAGTTCCTATTTCTTCTTCACACTGTGATGTTGTAAGGCTCCATGCCAAGGAATGATATGTCATTCTGAAGCTCATCCCAAGGATCCTTGAGGTAAGCATTGACACCAAGCTCAAGTTCTGGGGTGTCAGTACCAGCTGGTGTGGTATCAAGATATGTTGTCCATAGATTGATCTACCCAGTGGGTTCAACAGTATATATTCTATGGTATTGGACATTGGATGAAGAGGTGCTGGTATTTGAAAGCAAATGTTGCACTAAGTGAGGTTTTTTGCTGGGATGACCAGCCATGAGTTGCAACACACTCCTGCTATTAAGCCAGACATTGTTGACTCACTTGTGACTTTCTGTGACACAGTGAGCTTGTTCATGATATATCCAAGCAGACAGAACCAAATTCAACAATATATCACAATGGACAATGAACTGACCTTTCAAACAATTGAGCTCTGGTCCCTTGTAGCACATTCCAGTTATACTCCAACTCACTGAAAAGGTATGGATCATAATGAGATATCATTTGAGTCAGCTCATGTTGAACTCAACCTAGATGCCAGATTGGCAACCAACACAAGAGCAACACATGTGGTTGATGCCACACTTAACCAAATTCAAACTGCGAGTCCCACACAGCAAGGAACCTGCATTCTGGGCACAGTTGAATGACCAATGGTTGCTGAAATGGCCTGAGCAAACTTTGCAATGGCCTGATCATCTAGCAGGAGATGTGTTGACTGAAGATGAAGAGAAGGAACTCTCTGCTGCTGAAAAGGCAAGGAAACAAGTAAGTCAACACTTCATTCAATGCTCATAGTGGATGATTGACCATCATATACTAGGTCCTAAGAAGCTGGATGTTGTGGGTGTGGGTTCATCTGAAATGTGCTTGTACAATGTATGGTTGCTCAGGCTGTTGCAGGACTGCTGATGGATGTTGTGTCAAATTCAATTTCCTGAGCCAAGTATGATATGATTGTAGATCATTACATAACCTATATTTCTTGGTCTTGAGGCAATCCATCATGTCATGAAAACACTGTGCACACTGTAATCAATGTGATCACATTTAAATTCAAGCTTCAAGTTGAGAGCTTTAGTGTTAGCTGTTAAGGTCGTACTCAAGGGATAACTGAATCTGAAGGGCTTTGGCCTCAGCTCGTGCGCTGTGCCCCTTACCCGAGTATTGCCCCTTATTTCAGGAAGGCACAACTAACACATCCGGAAGGTCAGATGAGTAGCATAGTGGATCCGAATGACTTCCAGATGAGGGATAAGTATTGTAGGGCTAATCCAGACAAGTCCAGACTAGAAACTAACGGTAATGGACTGTTGGAGACAGAGGCAGATACAGATAGACTATAGGAATCAATGCTAAGTCTCAGAGGGTGACAAAAGTAGAGATACTCAAGTCCGGAGGACAGGAGGTTATATACTATAGGTATCTAATGGAATGATCAATCAGCAGAGTCTGAGGCTATGTACGAAGCATATGGATGGTCTATTGGTAAGTAGAAACAGATCACAAATAATGAAACGGAGATGAAGCATAGGTAATGGATCAGGGAGCAGGATGGCTATACAGATAACCAAAATACCAGAGTTAGGGGTTTACCGAAAGGCGACGAGTACTGGTTGTGGATTCAGATGAATTGTGGGCCGGACTGGACAAGTGGTGTCATATCCGCATGTCCGGATCTCAGATCCACATCTTATCCCCCTCCAACATCTCATCATTCAATCTGTCCACTCATCCAGTCCAGTCCACAACTCATCTGAATCCACAACCAGCGCTCGTCCCCTTTTCGGTAACCCCCTAACTCTGGTATTTCGGTTATCTGTATATCCATCCTGCTCCCTTATCCGCTACCTATGTTTCATTTCCGTTTCATGATTTGTGATCTGTTTCTACTTACCAATAGACTATCCACATGCTTCATACATAGCCTTGGACTCTGCTGATTGATCATTCCATTAGATACCTATAGTATATAACCTCCTGTAACTTTCTGTAGTACCTCAGTTCGAATATCATCTTAGTTCTACTCATTCCTGTCCTCTGGACTTGAGTACCTCTACTCTCGTCACCCTCCAAGACTTAGGATTGATTCCTATAGTCTATCCGTATCTGCCTCTGTCTCCGACAGTCCATTACCATTAGTTTCTAGTCTGGACTCATCTGGATTAGCCCTACAATACTTATCCCTCATCTGGAAGTCATCCAGATCCACTACGCTACTTGTCCGACCTTCCAGATGCGCTAGTCTTGCCTTCCTGAAATAAGGGGCAATACTCGGGTAAGGGGCACAGCACACGAGCTGAGACCGAAGCCCTTCAGATCCAGTTACCCTTTGAGTATGACCTTAACAGTATATTCAAACTCACACCTTACCAAGTATACTTACACTTCCTATGGCTCCAACCAAAACTGCAAACACTCTCCTGAGTGGCTGGATTAGTATCTACCTGCCGTGATTCTACTCCTATCGTTGACACCTTCAATAGTTTCTCGCAGTGTTGTGTTAGTCAGCATGCTACTGCCAGAAGCATCTTGGAGCTTCTGAGTCGTCAACATCTGGAGACCCCTACACATGACTCCAGCCCTAGCCCCTCTGGGCCAAAGAAATACGGATGACGATGACATTGATCACGATACCCCTGGCAGAAATCTGCCAGATGGTAATGGTGGAAATCCAGACAATGATCCTGATGATGAAGACGATGATGATAGAGATGATGGCATGGGTCCACAGGATTGTGTTATGGTACTCCTATCCAGAGCTATCAACAATCTCACCCAAAACAATCGTTGCACCACCCTCCCCGAAGATCCTAAAGTCAAGGTCTGGGAGCCAGATGTCTTTGATGGCACTGAGCCCTGGAAACTTTGTGCATTCTTTGTCCAGTGCGAGCTCAACTTCCAGAGCAAACCCAATGCTTTCCATACCGGAAGGTCTAAAGTCAATTTCGCCCAATCCTACCTCAAAGGAATGGCCCTTGAGTGGTTTGAACCCAACCTCCTTTCCAATGAACATACCAATCATCTGGACTGGATGGATGACTATTCCGAGTTCATGCTTGAACTCCAGACCAATTTCGGACCTCACGACCCTTCCGGAGATGCGGAAATGCAGCTTGAACAACTCAACATGCGCGACAGACAGTGCATCAACAAGTACGTTGTAGAATTCCAACAACTTGCCTCTCAGGTCCACGGATGGGGTGATGGAGCCCTACACCGACAATTCTATACTGGACTTCCTGCTCATATCAAGGATGAAATCAGTTGCATGGGGAAACCTGGCACACTCTCGGAATACAAAACCCTTGCGCAGACCATTGATGCCCGCTATTTGGAATGCAAGGGAGAGATCTCCCGCGAAACCAAATCCTCTGCACCAAATCCCCCTGCCAAGTCTTCCAAACAGACCAATGCCAACACGTCTGGATCTGGAAGCACTTCCTCCGGAAACAACAAATCTGGAAAGACAACTTCGTCCACTACCTCCGCTTCTAAAGCTCCAGACCTTAACAACAAGTTGGGTAAGGATGGAAAGCTTACATCTGAAGAATGTCAGAGAAGGCTGGACAGGAAGCTCTGTCTGTTCTGTGGTGGACCTGGGCATACTGCTCAGGACTGCACAAAGTTGACTTCGCGTGCTACCAAAGGTCGCACAGCTACAGTCGATCTGGAAACCAAACCGGATGCCTCGGACGAGGCAAAAAAATAGTCCATGACCCTCCTGACTCCACATGGGATGAGGGTCGCATTGACTCAACCTGTGCAATGGAGCTATGACTCAACGCTGTTTCCTTGTCTGATCCAAACTCTCTCTGTCCATATGTTTCCATCCCTATGTATTCCGATATTTCCAACTTTCCAGCTCTTGTAGATTGTGGTTCCTCCCATTGTTTCATAGAATCCGATTTGTCTGTAAATATAATCTACCTACCTATGCAATTCCTCCAATTCCACTCCATTTGTTTGATGGTACTTGTAATGCAACCATTTCCGAAGCTATAGATCTGCCCATCCATTTCTTGTCCAGTGTAGTCACCTCTGATATGTTCTATGTAACTCCTTTGGATTCATCCTGTCTTATTGTCCTTGGATATAGCTGGCTTAACTGACACAATCCGTTGATTGACTGGGTTTTGCACAGCATCAAGTTCTGGACTTCATCTCATGGAATGCCATTGACCCCTCCGATATTGCCTCTGCCACCTCCAGTGGAAACTACCCCTCCGACTACTCCAGACACCTCCTGCTGATACCTCTGAGCCTAACATTTCTCTAATCAACACAGTTGCCTTTTGCCAGGCCTGCAAGTTAGAAGGCTCCAAGCAGCTCAGCATCTTCCTACACCCTTCCGGTGCCAAGATCTGCTCCATATCCACTTCAGTCCAATGCTCCAGATCTATCTGTGATCCCTCCGGAGTATCATGAATATGCGGATGTCTTTGACAAGGGAAAAGCTAGCCAACTTCCTCCTCATAGGCCTTATGACCTAAAGATCGACTTAGAGGAAGGTACTGCTCCGCCCCTAGGCACCATATATTCCCTTTCCCCAGTTGAGCTTGAAGCTCTCCAGAAGTTCCTGGATGAAAATATCTTGTCCAGACTCCTCCGTTCCTCTTATCTCCGCATGGAGCCCCTGTCCTGTTTGTCAAGAAGAAGGATGGCTCCCTGCGTCTTTGTGTGGATTTCCGTGGCCTGAACAAGATCACCAAGAAAGACCACTATCTGTTGCCCCTCATTGCCAACCTCTTAGACTCTCCAAGCTGCGCCAAAGTTTATACTAAGATCAACCTCCAGTCCACTTACCATCTCGTCTGGATCTCTTCCGGAGACAAGTGGAAGACAGTGTTCCGGACACGCTATGGCTCCTATGAATGGTTAGTTATGCCCAAAGGTCTCACCAATGCTCCAGCAGCTTTCCAGTGTTTTGTCAATAGCATCTTTGCCGATATGCTTGACATATGCATTGTGGTGTATCTGGACGACATCCTCATCTATTCCCATGACCTTGCATCCCATAAGCAACACATCCGAGAAGTACTTTGACAACTCCAAAAGCATCAACTCTATGCCAAACCAGAGAAATGCAAGTTCCACTCCGATTCTGTTGAATACCTTGGTTACCTCCTGTCTCTGGAAGGCCTTACTATGTCATCTGATAAAGTCGAAGCTATCATTGACTGGCCAGAGCTACGGAAGGTCAAGGATGTTCAATCCTTCCTTGGATTCGCAAATTTCTATTGTCGTTTCATCTTCAACTACTCGGACATCATCACCCCACTCACCCGGCTTACATGCAAGAGTGTTAACTGGGATTTTTCGGAGGATTGCCAGAAATCATTTGCTGCACTCAAGAAAGCCTTCACTTCCACTCCGGTGCTTACACACTGGATTCTGAACATTCCTATTGTCATTGAAACTGATGCCTCTGATTATGCTATCGCTGGAATACTGTCCATTGTATGTCCTGGACTCAGAGCTTCATCCAGTAGCGTTCTATTCTAGAACCCTGTCCGCTCCGGAACTCAACTACGATACCCATGACAAGGAACTCCTAGCCATATATGAAGCTTTCCGGACCTGGCGACACTACCTAGAAGGCTTGTCTGAGCCTATTGATGTTGTCACGGACCACAAGAACCTTGAGTACTTCACAACCACCAAACTCCTCTCTCGCCGTCAGGCATGTTGGTCAGAGTTCCTCCACCAATTCAATCTCATCATCTGTTTCCATCCATGAAAACTTGGAGCAAAACCGGATTCCCTCACTAGACACTGGGACGTCTACCCAAAGAGGGGGATAAGGACTATACTCAAGTTAACCCTCATAACTTCCGTCCAGTGTTCACGTCCAAACAGTTAGCTTCATCCCTACAAGCATCAACCCTAGCATATCCGGTGCTCTGAGCAGCTGTACTCATGGATGTTGACCAACTCTGAA